ATAAAGGGGGAGAAAAGCAGTTCATCAGAGCTAACATATCATCGATGCCTGATTATATCTACAATATCTTATATCCATAACCTCTTATTTCTGCAGTGAAGGGAGAGTTGCCTTGTCTCAACTTCTCTTTGGGGCCAAGTTTCAGCATTGTAATTTTGCACCTTTCAATTTTGGTATTTTGTTCTTTTAGTTTACATTTTTGTAACCATTGTGTAGTTTTCCCCTGTCTCTGCTTACTATATTCTACAGCAGTTTGTAAAAATTTTCTGTGCTTTTCTGAATTTTCCATATTTATTGTTTTTTATGGTACATGGATATTATATTCTTTTTTTTTACCATAACTTGTTTAATTATTGCCCAATCAATGGATGTCTTTATTTCTAGTTCTTTTTTTTAACTAAACTTAAGATTTCATTAGCATAGGGAACCCCTGATAAGGAAACTTCCTCTATCAGTGCAAACTCATACTAAGTCTGCAACTTATATTATTATTATAGTTATTGATCCTATTTTTACAAAAAGTGCTGTTATGAAGGTTTTTTTTAATAGGGGGGGCCTTTCTATCATTAATCTCCTTGGGATATATGATTAGCAGTAGGATCTCTGGGTCAAAAGGTATATATGCATTTTAGTCACTTTTTTTCCCACATAATTCCAAATTGCTTTTCAAAATAATTGGAATGACAGCTCTACCAACATTGTGTTATCTTCTTATGGTTCCTTCAACATTATTTCTATCCTTTGTCACTTTTGCTAATTTGCCACATATAAAGTAAAACCTCAGAACTGGTTGGATTAGCATTACTCTTAATGCTAAAGATTTGAAGAAGTCTTTCATATGGTCATTAGTAATTGCAGTTATTATTTTGGGAATTATTCATATCTTTGAGCATATGCACTGAGGACTAGCCTTGGTTTTACATATTTATTCCCTATGTAGCTTAGATATCAGACCCTTCTCAAAATATTTGAAGCAATATTTTTCCAGTTCACAGTTTTCGTTCTTACTCTTGTTGCGTTGATTTTGTTTGTGCAAAAGTTTTCCAATTTCATGTACTCAAAAATTGTCTATTTTATCTTTTATCACTTCTTCTCTCTCTTGTTTGATTATGACATTTCTTCCTAGCTGCAGTTATGAAAGTATCTGATTTTGTTCCCTTCTATTTTTTTAAGTGTGGCCTTTTGTAATTCAGACTGTATATCTATTGTGAACACATAGTAATAGTATATGAAATAAGATGTTGGTCACAACCTAATTTCCTCCAGACTGCTTTCCAACATTCTCATTAGTTCTTGTCTAATATGGAGTTATTCCCCCAACTGGGTTTACCAAACACTTAAGTTAATGAGTTTGATTATTTCTAGTGTTTGCTTATCTTATCTGTTCTACTAATTAGCTTAAAAACCTGTTCAATTATGTACATTTTTATTTTTTTAGCCAGCACTAATTACCTTTTATGACTACTGCTTTATAATATAATTTGAAGTCTGTTATTATTTTGTCTAGCTCTATAAAGTATGCCTTGGCAGGACATACTTTGGTTATTTGGTGCTTGGTACCAAGAAAGCTTTGTAGTTTGATTGATGTGGCAATAAATTTGCAAACTCATTTAGGCAGTATCATAATTTTTATTGTATTGAGGTGGCTCAACCCTGAGCAATAACTATCCCTCCAATTATTGAGGTCATTCTTGATTTCTTTGAAGAGTGTAGTGTACTTATATGTCTTGAGTATGTCTTGGCAGATTGACTCCCTGATAGTTTATGCATTTTGTAGTTATTTTAATGAAGAAATGCCAATGATCAGGGAAGAGGGTTAATTTTGTATCCTGCTACTTTACTTGTTATTAATTGCTATCATTAATTTCAGTTAGTTCCCTTGATGATTCTCTAGGGTTTCCTAGATAAATCATCATATCATCTGAAAATAGAAGTATTTTGTCTTCACCTTGCCAATGACAGTGTCTTTTAATTTCCTTTTTCTTGCCTCACTTCTATCACTAGTATTTCTAGAATGTTCGAAATAATGACCTCTCCACTATCCTCCCTCCTCCCTTCCCTCTTGTTCTTCAGTAAAACCTTTTATCCTTTTAGTTCATCTTCTCCAGATGATGATTTCTCTAGCTCCATACTAGATAGTTCTTATTAGACATATTTCCAAAATGCTAGTGATATCAGTAAGAAGAGAAAAAAATTAAAAGCATAAATATCAGCAAAGAGGAGTCAAAACTACCTATTTGCAAATAACATGATAGATTACTTAGAAAACCACAATGAATCAACAAAGAAATTAGTTGACACAATTGATGAGGCAGTAGCGTGTCATGTTGAAATAGTGCTCTACTCCTTCTTTATGTAGCGGATAGAGTTATTTTTGGGGGTCCACAGAAAATAATTGAAAAGGGAAATTAGTCAGACTCCCCTAGCCATATTATGTCCTGCAATTGCCCTCTAAGTTAATAATTTCTTAATAAACTAACCACCAGTTAAAGAAACAGTTCATACCACAGAACTTACATGTCCTAATTAAGTTTACTGAAGAATATTCTTTGTACTCATAGACTTACCTGGAGGACAGGAGGTGAGATGGGATGTTATTTAGAAATATGTTTGGAATTGGGTCTCCACCAACTATCTGAGAAGTACAGAGGCCTAAGATCTCCAGTCAGCTAATAAGGAAGGAGGCAGGTAGAGTGGCAACTTCTAAATTGTCTGGGGTATATGAAGTTGTAGCACTACACATTGGATGGCAACACCAAGGATAGTTCTCTACTAGCTATCTGGGCAATGCAGAGCTCTACAGTCCCAGTTCAGCTAGTGGGGAATTGGGTGTCTATGCCCAAACATCTTGGGAAGGTTCCAGAACCAAAGATGAGGTGGTAGCACTCCAGATGTTGCAAAGATGTTTTACGAGATTTCCCTTTTTTCCCCCCCAAATTTCCTATCTTTAATGGATATTAATAATGTTTTCATTTTCTAGTTCCTAGGGCAGGAATGGCTGAATAGGATGTCAAAGGGGCAGCTAGGTGGCATAGTGGATAGAGCACTGGCCCTGAAGTCACGAGGACCTGAGTTCAAATCTGGCCTCAGACCAAATACTTGACACTTAACTACCTATGTGACCCTGGGCAAGTCACTTAACCCCAATCGCCTAAAAAAAAAAAAAAGAATAGGATGGCAAGGATAGGAACAGAAGGCTCTCCTTTCTCTGGAACCTGGGGAAATCTATCGTTACATGTGAACTGGAGTACTAAGTAAATAAACAAACTTAGTTAACTTAGACTGAGTTGAGCATTATCACAATTACTTTAGGAATATAATTTATAAGTGAAATTACATAGTAAGCAGAAAACACTAAATGTATGCTACTGAGTTTTCTTTATCTCCTAAATAAGCCAACCTCTTTGAGAGAGGACAATAGAGCCTTTGCTTCAAAGAATTTGCACCTTTCTCTGGATAAGTTCCTAGCAAGCAATTGCAATTTATTCACTAAAAGAAAAGATCCCGTTTGCTATTTTATATCCTAAATCTGTCTAACACCAAACATTTGGTAATTGCCTACTGTGTGCCAGGCAGTGTGCTAAGTAATTGCTTTACAAATGTTATCTCATTTGATCCTCACAACAACCCTGGGAGATAGGTAGGTGCTGTTAATATCTCCACTTCTCAGATGAGGAAATTGAGGCAGAGAGAGGTGAAGTGACATATCCAGGGTCACATAGTTAGTAAATGTCTGAGGTGGAATTTGAATTCAGATCTTCCTGACTCCAGGCCCAACTCTCTATTCTCTGTGCCATCCTAGTGGGATATCAAAATTACATAACAGACGTTATGGGATATATTGTATCAGGTATTTGCCCTAATGCACATTTAAGGTCTGCCACCTTAGGCTGCATTAAGTAAGGCAAAGAGCATCTAGGTTTAGGGAAGTGACTGTCTCACTATACCCTGCCCCAGTCAGATCCGATCTGTTCTGGGCACCGAATCTTAGGACATTGATCAACTGAAGCGCATCCAGAGAAGATGGTGAAGTTAGTGCTATATGAAGTGGGGTTGAAGGAGTACTGGATGTTTATAGCCTGGAGAAGGGAAGACTTAATGACTATAATTAGCTCTCATTTAAATAGGGCTTTTAGGATTGACAAACTGCTTTACACACATTATCGCATTTGATTAAGGGAGATAAGATTACTCACTCCCCATACTAGATGGGTGGGTCTGGTGGTAGAGGGATTAGTCTTGTTTTGCTTGAGGAAACAGTGTAGTAAGGCCAGGCTTGCAAATTTCTAGGCACTAAATAAAAGTCAGATACTATCATTTTTATATCTTAGGCCATCCTGTCCCAGTTTGGGATAGCTCCAGTTGTTTTATGGCATTTTTTCTTACATCAAATCAATGTAATCTCTTTCTCCATTCTTTTCCCCTAATTCTGCTGGGGAGTAGGGGGGTGGGCAAATAAGAACCCTCCAGTTAATAATAATAATAACATTTATATGGGGTTTACTGTGTGCCATGCACTGTGCCAAGCACTTTATAATTATTATCTCATTTGATCCTCACAACCCTGGGAGGTAGGTGATATTATTACCCCATTTTACAGATGAGGAAACTGAGGCTAACAGAGGGTAAGTGACTTATTTAGGGTCACACAGCTAGTTAAATGTCTAAGGCCAAATTTGATCTCAGGTCCTCCCTATTTCTAGACCAGGCACTCTATCCACTGTGCCACCCAAGTGTCTTACCCAAGGTCACACAGCTAATAAGTGTCTGGGGCAGGATTTATTTAAACAGTTTGAGCTTTTCTGGCTTTGGGAACTGGGAGCATCTTTCCTTATGGATCCTCAAGCCTGTGCAGGAGGTCCTAAGGGAAGGTGAACGTCTTTGACTTTGTTTCTCCATGTGTTCAGCAGACTACAGATCACCTGAATGAAATGTCTTCCAGGGATGTTGAGGGAAGCACTTCTGGCCTCTAATATTACCTTGTTCTTCCCTTCTTATAGCTGGTGATGGAGTATTGTGGAGCAGGCTCAGTGACAGATTTAGTGAAGAAAACCAAAGGTAACTCCTTTAAAGAAGACTGGATTTCTTACATCTGCCGTGAGGTCCTCCGGGTGAGTCCTTGTGCAGTTATTATTCCTTGTGGTTATTGAAGGAGCCTGGATAGAGGTTTTAAAAAATGCAAATATGTAAAGGGCACTCTGTGGGGTGGGGTAGAAGGGCAACTGCAAACCATAAAAGATTGTGGATTGGAACTGGAAGGAAGGGAGGAAGGAGGGTGATGAGTGTATGAGGACAGCCTAAAAACATGAGACTTCTCCCCTTTAGAAAGAGAAAAGCAAGAAGAGATACGATCTCACTCTCTAAAATCATGATTGAATGTGAACTTAAACACCCAATCCTGGACATGGAATAGGGTGGACTCTTCAGCCTGGTGTTTTTCAGAAAAGTTTGCAACTGTCCCATTACCTTTTGCAGACAGACAGACAGTGTGAGCCCACTCCCTTCTTTCTCCATCTGAAAAAACAGATGTACAAAGCAGCTGTACTCCATTCTGCTTTCAGCGCAGTACCTGCCAGGGACTGGGCGAAACCCAAAGCCCCGACTGGCCCAAGTTGTGACCTAGGCAAATGGGAGCACCTAAGAACCAAGAACAGGAGTTAGGCCTGGCCACACTTGCACTGCCTGCAATCAGGAGAGATGCCATCATCATCTCTCACAGTGCCCCAAGTAGCTGGGGTGGGGTGGCTTCAGTGGTAGGGAGAAGGGAGTCAGTCCAGTAAGCCAATTCAAATTCAAGCCATTCTCAAATGAATTTCCATATTTCCCTAATTTTTCAGCCTTCAAAAACTGACCAAGAAATATTAGTAACTGGGCCTGAATGAGGTAAAATCCAGGGGATGTCTGGATAGCCAATTAAGCCAGCCGACTTTTTCCCTTTTAGAGAGGACAGAGGCTCCATAGTCCACTGAGGCAAAAACTTCTATGGGATGTTCTTTGCCTTTCCTGGGTGTCTTCCTTGGTTTCCTTTCTCAAAAGTCCACAGAAGTATTTCTGAGAACTTGTCATCTAAAGAATTCAGTCTGAAAAATCTAAGCCTGAGTAGCTTTTCTTACCAAAAAGCTCCAGACTTGTATCAGGATGGTCGGCAATCATTGACTGAGCCCCTGCTGTGCAAGAGCCCATCTAGGGCCCAATATTCCTACAAGAGGGTATGGTGCCAATGATGTGATTTTTCCTGCAGGGCCTTTCCCATCTTCATATGCATCATGTCATTCACCGGGACATCAAAGGACAAAATGTCCTACTGACCGAAAATGCTGAAGTAAAACTGGGTAAGTCTTCTTGAAGCAGTTGGTAGAGGCAGACATTAAGCTCATACATAGAACTGAATATAGAAGAGAGCTATAAAACACCTGGTTTATGTATTTGTGTTACCATCACTGTCTTCAGACTGTCAAAGAGTTAGCAAGAGAGAGAGCTCTCATCTAGAGCTTACTCGTCTATAACATGGGCCATGTAGTAGAATGGAAAAAGTTCTGTACTTGGAGTCTGATGACCTGGGTTGAAATACCAACTCTAATACTGGCTTACTACATCATCTTAGACAAGTCTCCTTCACCCATCTGGTCCTCAGTTACTTCGTCTCTAAAATGGAGAGATTTGGCTAAATAATCAGTTAAGGTCCCTTCAGGCTTTGGCTAGATTTTCGGCTCTAAATTCACTTATTCCTTGCCAAGTCATTTCTCCTCTCTGAGCCTTAATTTCCTTACCTGTTTAAGGATGTTTGCATTATACTCCCAGGGCTGTGGAGAGAATCAAATTAAGAGGAGCCATGTGAGAGTTCTTTGTCGCCATAAAGTAATAGGTAATTGTGGGTTGCTTTTCTTCCTACTAAGACTAACCCAACAAATTGTTTGATATCATGTAGACAGTGGACCAATCAACAAGTAGATATTAAGTGCCTCTGGGTGGCAAACAAAAAGGAAATGGTGCTTGCCCTCAGAAAGCTGAAAAGGACCTCAGAGGCCCTCTAGTTTCATTTTAAAGAGGAGGAAACTGAGGCACAGGAAAGTTATGATTTGCCCAGCCATGGAGATAATAAGCAACATAGATAGAAGGATTTGGACCCAGGTCCTGAGGCCTCAGACACAGTGCTCTTTCCCCTGGACCACACCATGTGCCCAACAACACAACCATTTGGTTGGTGGTGTTTTTCACTTTTGAACTAGATGTTGCGGTACCTGCTAGCCACATGACCTTGTTGTCATGTTTGGGCAGAAGATATTATGAGATTTAAAGTAACACCAGTAACTCACATTTGTCTGGGGCTTTTACCACTCTTGCCTCTTTTGACCCTCATGGGCCTCTCTGTGGGATGAGCAAGTTGCAAAAGTATTGCTGTCACCCCAAGGAGAGTAACAAACAGAAAATGTGGTTCAGAGAGGGGCAGCGATCTGACTGAGGACACAGAGCTAGCAAGTGTTAGAGTCAGGACTTCTCCTCGCTTTTCTCACTACATATTCAGAAGGCCTGGGGTGGGAGTGGGAGGACTTAAGGGAGCCTTGTTGTTTAAGGCAGCTTTATTTAATGCCAGCTAATCACCTGCAAACATTAGAACAGCCGCTGATTTCAGATCCTATCACTACCCGGCCTCTCCCTAATGGCTTTCCATCCTACACAGTCTTTTGGGGGTTTGTCTGCAGCTGAAAAAGTGTCCAAATAGCACCAGAGCTGCATTTTATGCTCTCTGTGAGCGCATGCTCCATGGAGTTCTTATTGAGGGAGCAGAAGGTTGTAAGCATGTTTGTCCTTGAAATAAATGACTACAAATGTGTATCAGGTTGAAAAGTAATTCCAGGAAAATGTGTTATCTTCTCTATTCCTGAAAGCCACAGTCTTCAGAAATTCAGTGTGGAAATTTGTGAAGGTCACCCAGATTCCATCAAGTCCCAAACAAACAGTAAGAATTACATACCAACCCAAAGGGCATGGCCCTGAATTTTGAACATACAGTAGGACCCCACTTATCCAGAGGTCAGATTTGTGGCAACCTCAAACAACAGTAATACAGCCAAGAAGCTGGGAGTATCTAAAAGGGCTTCTGACATGCTAGGTGAATTGGTTAGGAAACAAACAAACAAACCCGTGGCCATTATTCTGTGAGAGAGCTCCCTGATGTGGCCCCTTCAGAGTATGACTCTCATTTTACACTCAATTCTTAAAATGGTGGTTATCTTAATTTCTCAGAAGACAGCAGTTAGAATAGGCAGGGCTATAAGACAAAGAGAAGGTGGTTGGGGTGGAGGCAATGTTTGCAGGGATGTGCCCCTATAGTATCTGTCTGATATTAGCTACTAAAAAAACAAAAGCTAATTGTTAAATTTTCGGGATGAGCATTTACATTTTGAAAATCTGCAAAAGCTACAAATCAAGACTTGGTTTATTTGTTGGTGATTTTCTCTTAAGTCTAAACAATGTTAGTAATGCAGATTAAAGTGTTTGTGTGTGTTTTCTAGAGAGCTGGTGGTTAAATATTTACCAGCACAACACTGGATGTTTGTGATGTAAAGACAAAAGTCATCAATAACTTTTGGCTAGGGATAGACTGGACCTGTGATTTGATCAGTGTAGGGAATTCCCAGGTAAGGAAACTCCCTCTATCTTATCTACAACTTGCCTAGGGCCCTGGGGGTGAGTTTAAAGGACTTACCCAAAATCACTCAGACAATGTGGGTCAGAGGCAGGATTTGATTCTAAGTCTTTCTGGTTCTAAGGTCGGCTCTCTCTCTCCACTATGTTGCCTCTCATCAATTTAATGTATTTTCTTTTAAAAAAAAATTAACAAAAGAAAAAAATTACTGATGTAAAAGTACCTCATTCCTCAAAAATATGAGAAAGTGTTACAGGGACTGGGGATTTTTAGCCTGGAAAAGACTTAAGGGGATACATGGTAGCTATCACCAAGGAAAGATTTGAAGGGCTGCTCGAGTAACAAAAGGATTAGCTTTATTCTGTTTGGCCCCAAAGGGCACAACGAGGGACCAGTGGTTGGAGGATACAAAGAGAAAGATTGCAGGTCAGTGCCTCACAAGACAACCCATTCCTTTCTGCTGGAATGAGGTAGTGAGCTCCCTGTTATTGGTAGTGTTCAAGTAGAGCCTGCATAACCACCTAACAAGCATGAAGTAATAGAGTAGTGACTTAGCAGACCCAGGTTCGAATCTCAGCATGGCCTGTTGATATCTGTGCAACCCTGTGTTACATCACCTCCCTGGGCTTCAGTTTCCATAACTGAATAAATGGGCAAAATGAATAGATTGAATTAGGTGATCTCTAAGGTTCCTGAACCAACTTGAAAATGTTAAGGTTTCCTGCATGGAATTGGACTAGATGACTTTGGAGATCCATTCCTATGCTAGGATTCTGTGTTCCTATGAGCAAAGTCTAGGGCAGGGCCAGGAAATGGGAAGTTAAACATTCAATACAAAGCTGAGGTCCAAATTCAGAATAAGAGTCAAGTTGGGAGCTACAACTCAGTGTTAGCCCAGAATAGAAAAGCAGCAGGGGCAAGTTGATGGTGAATTCATCAGGTCATCAGGTGAAACTGGCTGCTGCTTCTTAGAGACCTGGCTAATTGTTTGGGCAGGTGGACAGTGCCATGGGCAGGTGGACAGTGCCATGGGCAGGTGTTGTGGGGGTGGAATCAGCTGGTTGTTCTGGAAGCTGACCTAGTAACCAGGTGTTGCCAGTTAGCCCCTGAGATTAGCCTCACTTTTTGGGTCCCCTCCCACTTCAGGAGCAACTTCATGAAGATGGGCATTAACTGTTCACTCCATAAAGATGACTACTCTACGGTAGGAATTAAAGATTTTCCAGATGATCCCTAAAGCTCAGCAAAAAATTGATGATAACAGCATCACCTCCTTCCTCAGCTCTGTTGTTTCTGGCAAAGCAAGATCGCTGACAGAACATGGCTCTTGTCTGAGATTTTTTTCATATGGTTTTCCGTAATTTCTAGCAGTATTGTTCCTTTATAGCAGTAGTGGTAATTAGGTTACAGAGGAGTGAACTGAAGGCTGCCCTAGGAAATCATATACTCAGGGAGGGCAGAGAAGTGAGTGAGGTTACAGGGATGGGGAGGGCGATCAATCCCGTGCTTCCCTCTCAGACAAAGTCAGGTCACTAGGAATCGAGAGAAGGCGACTCTGACACAGGGACATGGCTGCCTAGATTGCTAGGGTCAGGGCCTCAGATTGGTTACCTGGAAAATGAGGGGATTAGACTAAATGACCTTGAAGTTTCCCCTCTAGCTCGAAATCTGTGATCCTGCTCAGGAGCTTGCTAAGTAAGCCCTGATCTAACCTATTTCTGAAACCTTCTGGAAAAGGACATTCTACAACGTCCAGTGGTAATGTTCCAACATCCCATAATCCTTGTGCTTGGCAAGAGCTCCCTAAGCACAAACCTCAATCCCTCCTGCTTCCTCTTGGGTCCCTTCCCTCTCTTCTTAGTGCAGATGGGAACATTTTTTCATCAACTTGCATACGCCGAAAACCCAAAAAGTCCTCAAAAGTTTTCCCCCTTCCCCCCTCCTTCAGAAAAAGGCTGCCTTTTTTCCAAGCTGAGAAGCCCAGACATTTTCTCTGTGTCCGAGACTACCATGCCAAGCTCCTTCTAATGTATCCCACAGATGAATGTATCCCACAGTTGCTAATGCCACTCTTTCCAAAGCATCCCACGATTAACTTTTTAGAGCCAAAACTAAGATGTGGACATCACAGTAAATATTTACATCTGCTTCAACCTAGCTGTGGAAGACTTTCCTTTAAACTTGACCATGAAACTCATTTTTCTTCCCCATCACGATGGGACTTTCTCAAATTATTGGTGAAGCTTCCCAGTCCAGCCTGTTTTGTGTTTTTTCAGATGCTCTTTTCAATCCCTGTCCTTCTTCCAGGAAAGTGGCAAATCCAAACACTATTCAGGGTGTACTGATGGGGCTTAGTTTTAATATTCATGGTAAGCATTCAGCCAAGCCAACCATAGATTTATTACAGTACTGCTGGGGCTCCTTCCAATGTCAACATCAGCAGAAGCCTCTTTCCCAGTGTTCCTGGAGCAGGCCCCATGTTCAACTTTCCCATGTTGGAGCTTCAATCTGTTCTCCATTGTGGCTTGCGTATCTGCTTTCCAAGTGAAGGCAATAACTCATCAAGCATTTTGTCACTGACTTACTCTTTGGACATGTGTGGAATTTTTCAGTGGATTTTGGAGTGAGTGCCCAGCTGGACCGGACCGCTGGCAGAAGAAACACCTTCATTGGGACGCCATATTGGATGGCACCAGAGGTGATTGCATGCGATGAAAACCCTGACTCGACCTACGATTACAGAGTGAGTAAAACGATGGGGAACATGGGGTCTAGTGAATGGGAGCATTGGTAAGCAATGGTCTTTTCAAGGGCTGAGATGAAAGATTGAAATGTTTTCCTCAACATCACTGTGCAATGTGAATGTGTATGAAAGCAGGAGATGAAGAGAGTATCACTCACAGGTGGTTTGGGCCAGCCGTGGGTGTTCACAGTCTTTCTACCTGGCCCATCCCTGAGGTGACCCCACACCACTTTCTGATCCTCACCACCTCCTGGAGTGCCTAGGACAAGGGAGTGTGGTCCCAGAGAGAGTGACTCCCAATCAAAGCACCTTACCAATCAATTTGACACTGAGAGGCTGGTTGGCTGAAGGACAATTGATTCTGCTTTGATTTGGGATATGTTTCATTGTGATGGTGGGTGGCAGCTTTGTTTCCTCTGCTGTTTGGCAATGAATAGAAAAGAGGGGTGCTGGACTTCTCTAGCCAATATGTGCTCATTTCTCTTCCCACAGCCTCCATTTAGAAAATCGCCCCTTTCAATGACTAGGTATTTATAGTCTTTCCTAACAGGTTTTTCTATGTAAGAAGCATTAGGGAGCAGAGGCCTAATGGTTTTCCCCCTGTGGTCTCAATAGATCCTAACTTAAGCACTCAAATGACTTCCTGCCATTTTTATCCCTGCTGAAAATGCTTCTGGAGTTTTTAAGCCTTTCTCTTTCTTTTTCCTGCTCTTAAGCTGCTTCTTTTTAATTCTACCTCCTAAAGAGTGGCCTTTTGCTTTGTGGATAATGTACCTTATCTAGATGGGGGAGACCCACCTTGCTTTGTCTTGCTAATCTAGCTACTTAGAATTTTTCTTCCACAGAATGTGGGAAGCCCCTCCCCTCCACCCTTCCTCATACTGCATCTCTAGGCAATGCTTAGCTAGGACTTCCCAAAGGGGTGATGGAGAGAGGGCAGCCTCAAGCCTAATGCTCCTGTACTTGATAGGGCAGAAAGGCCTTAGCATGGAGGCTGTTCCACAATAGACTGCTGTTTTACACCATTCATTTCCAAAGAGAAAATTATTCCGAATTCTGAGGAGGTCTTGAGGGGTCATATCTTGTAGCAAGGACTACATGATTCTTCATCAGAGCCATAGCTAGGAATTTGGGCACTTGAGAAAAATTCAGGTGGGGAGAGTAGGCCTTGGGAGAGATCTCAGATCTCAGAACACATAGCCCCATGGGTGGAGAGGCAGAGAACTTGGAACACCTCTGCTGCCAAGGCCATTGGAGGAGGGAGGACGGCAGGGCCAGGCTGGAAAAAGCTCACTTGAGGGTAGGGTCAGCCTCAGGATCAGGATCCAACCTCAGAGCTCCCACTGACATCACTCCTGATCCCAGGTACCCCCATGAAAAGTATGGCAGGGGACCATCTTAGTCAGTTGCAATTATACCTGGAGAGGGAGCAATCCATCCCTCCAAAGAAGCTAGCTTTCCTCCCACAGCATGGCCAACGATCCCATCCCTAAGGAAAAGGTAAAGAAGGAGATAGTCAGTAGAGAGCATGGCAGTAGGGGAAGGCGGGTTTTAGGAAAGGGGCATAGCAGAGATGAGGCTCAGAGGGTAGAGACCTAGAACCAGACAAGAGAAGTGGAGCAAGGGTGGTTGTGAGCATTGAGGAACCACACTGAGGTCTAAAGCAAGCTCCTTTCCCTAACGTCAGCACCCAGGGGCAATGCCCTAGTCACCTATCCTGAGCTTGGGCCCTTTACCTCAGTAACTAAACTCCTTGGGCCCCTGCATACAAAATGGACCCTCCTACTACCATAGCTAAAATAGCGTATCCCAGGCCCTCTGAGCCAAAGGGCCAACCCGGGATGCAAACTGCAACTGTAGCTGACTTAGGAAGGTGGCCAACTATGAAAAGCCAGTGCTCATCAGTCCTCCCCCAAAGAGTATTCCCAATTGCTGACTCCTCTGCTCCAAGTACCTCTCCACCGCTTCCGCTTAGATAACCTGGGGGATCCCTCCAGGCTCTGAACTGGGACCCTCTGGTGCTAGGTGCTTTATTTAAGGTGTACAGCTCACTTTTCTCATACGGGCTGTGTGGATGGAGACCCAGAAGCCCAAGAGGAGACGCAGCTCACCTGGGATCCGAAAGCAATAAGAACTATCTGCGGCAGGCCTCCTATTTGCAAGGACAGTGCTCTCTCTCCAAAGCACCCCGCTGAATTTGTTTGTCATCTTTCTCTTTCCAGAGTGACTTGTGGTCCCTTGGAATCACCGCCATGGAAATGGCTGAGGGCGCTCCGCGTGAGTAACTGTTTGGTCTTTGGCAGCGTGGGTGAGGGATTGCACACGTCCCTTTGGAGCTTGCACTCATAGCCCCGTAGGCACCATGCTCTGAGCAAGTGCCTGGCAGTGATTCCACGGGGCTATTGGGATGCCCCAGGCTACTCGGAATCAGGATGTCTGTGGACAGACCCCTGCTGAGAGCGGCATGCCTTTCTCTCTTACAAGCTCCTCTAGCAGGCTGACCAAATGTTCCTTCAGTTTGGTTTCCTGGTAATAGCTTTTGACAGTACTGAATGACCAGGAGCCCGGTGGAGTCTTAAGCCACGTGGATGAGTGGCGTAGTTAGCCTTCTGAGCGGTAAGTAGGTGGTCCTTGCAGCAGCGCCCTGGAGGCATCCCCGGCTTCTGAGAGGTCTCCCGAATGACCTGGCCCATAGGCAGGATCAGAAGATAAGCTCACATTCTGTTCCCTTTTCAAAATCACAAACTCAGAACACATCCGTGATGTTTGCAAGGCCACACTTGATGCTGGGGCTCCCAGGACAACTAAGACACAAACCTTAATCTCCAGGCAGGGAGAGAGAAAAAGCAGAGATAGAATGGAATCAAGATCACAGGGGTGGGGTTCACTTAGGGAAGCTGTCCAGAAAGAGCTGCTATAGAAATGTGGTTGAGGGCTTATGCATGTGTGCGTGTGTGCACACGTGTGGGGGGGGGGGATTCCTTCTCTCCGTGCATAGGAGGATCATGAAAAACTAACCCAGCTCAGCTGTTAAAGGCTGTTAGCCATTTAATGCAAAGGTTCTTAACTTGGAGCCTATAAATTTTTTTAAAAAATATTTTGATTTCCTTTGTCATCCTTTGCCTTTTTTTTTTTTTGCCTTCAAGTACATGATTCTGAGACGGGGTCCCTAGGCTTTACAGGGGTCCAGGGCACCAAAAAGGTTAAGAACTGACTTAACATGTTCTCACTCCCTGATAACATGTGTATCATAACTGAATTCAGTGCCTGAACCCAAAAGAGTTCATTCTCGTTCTCCTGTGACAAACAAATGGGGGACATTTGGGGCTGGGGAGGGGAAGATTAGAGAGGGTTCCTGCCTCCTTCCAAATTCTACCAGTTAGATTATTGGCTAAATAAGCCCTGGTGGAATCATCTCACCACCCCTCCCCGCAAAGGCCAGGAAATACCTGTGTATTTCCACTGGAAGGACAGTTTCAGGGGGTAAGACTAGTGACCCCCAGAACTTCTGGAGCTTGATGGTATCTCAACGGCAGAAGGAGAGAGATCACCGGGTGGGAGGTTATTACTTCCATCCTTATTGACTGATAGGCTACAGGATATGTGACCTAAGGAGTAGCTAGTCAGAAGCCTAGTTGTACAAGCTAGTTGTTTTTCTTCATCAGCTCAAGATTTCATTTTTGTTTATGAAATGAGCTTAAATGAATTCAGCCCCTTTTTCCTTTGAATTTTGACAAGAGAGCCAATATTGCCCACGACCGGGGCATTTGTTTGGAGGATGGCAGGGCATTGACTTGCTTATGAAGCATGGCTGCTGGGCAGCTAGGTGGCCACACTGCAATGGATAGAGTTCAGGGCCTGGAGTCGGGAACATTCATCTCCATGAGTTCAAATCTGGCCTCAAACACTTTTCTAGTTATGTAACCCTAGGCGTGTCACTTCACCTTTTTGCCTCAGTTTCCTCAAATGTAACATGTGCTGGAGAAGGAAATGGCAAACCACTCCAGTATTTTTGCCAAGGAAACCACAAACAGGCTCAGGGAGAGTCGAACGCGACTGAAGAATGACTCAACAACAACCAAAAAAAGTTAACCCCAATTGCCTCAAAATAAAACAAAAAAAGAAGCCTGGCTGCTTCAAGGTTTGTGACTTTCCTCTGCCCGTTTTCTGCCCCTAATTTGTTTCTGAAACCCTTGTCCACATTGGCACTTCTTGCGGCTTCCTACTTGCTTGCACTAGGGTTATCCCATGACTTTTGCCTCGATGCCTTATCTTCAGCATGGCAACCAAGGAAGCCACAGATTTTGCCCCTTGAAAGGAGTTTTTGTGGTAGACCATTGCTCACCCACGGGGAGCTGTAGTGTGGAGCCAAGCAGACCTCAGCCTCAGCCATGCCTCTAGCTAAGGAGAGGGCAGAAGAAAGCAGTGCCATTCCGTGCCCCATTTCATGAGGTGCCAGGATGCTCACCAAGAGTAGCAGCGCCCTGACCAGCCTGGCTCAGGGCTGTCCCCAAATGCCACCTGTAGAAAATGATTCCTTTTTGTTGAGGTTTTCTTTCTAAGAATCTTTCTATGAAAATGTAGGTACTCCTAGGGAGGTTAAGCTATAATCAAGCTCTAATAACAATAATGATAATAATAACATTCATAATAATGATGACTATACCTGGGATTTCATTGGTATAGCCAGCTCCTGGGTACTTGGGTACAAGCCCCCTCTACCAGTGCAGGTTAGCTCCTTCTCTGCAACTTTGAGTCTGAGGAGGATTGCCTAGAACACAGAGAAGCTGAATGACTTGCCCAGGGTCATACGGCCAGCTTGTGTCAGAGACAGGACTTGAACCTTGATATTATTAGCTCTCTGTGTGTACCATACCACACCGCCTAGAATCATAATCACAGCAGCTAACATTTGCATAGGGAGTGCCTTAAGCCCTTTATAGACTTGACCCCATGTCATCTTCACAATGACCCTGTGAGATAGGTGCCATTATCATCCCCATTTATAGATGAGAAAACCAAGGCAGACAATGGGTAATTGACTTGCCTAGGATCCCACAGCCAGCATGCATCTGAGCCAGGATTTGAACTCAGAGCTTTGTAACTCTGTTCAGCACTCTGGCCTCAGTACCATTTAGCTGTCACTTTATGGGGAATTGCTTTCCAGAATGACAGTTATATCTGATAAACTAGAATGTGGAGTCATGAGAGAATGGATCTCACAGAGCAGGCCTTTGTTAGGAGCATTCAAAGAAGGGATGGTGGGCTGATCACATGAGAGGGAGAGATGGGTCCCACAAATGCTCCATTGATATCTTTGTGTCTTCAGGAACATAGGTTCACAGATGTGGAGCTGAAGCCTTTGAGATCATCTGAATCAAACCCTTCATTCTATAGATGAGGGAAAGGGATTTGCCCAAGTTATCCCATATGATCAGAGTTTTGTAGCCGAGAAGGAGCTTAGGAGCCATCTGGTTCAACCCCTTCATTTTACAGAGGGGGAAACTGAGGCCCAGGGAGGGGAAGGGACTTGTCCAAGGTCACACAGAGGATAGAGGATCTTAAGCTCCTAGATCTAGAGCTGGAAGATACTTTGGAGGTCATCCAGTCCAACCACCCCCACTTTACAGAGGAAGGAACTGAGGCCCAGAAAGGGAAAGTGACCTGTCCAACATCACACAGGTGGCACAACTATCATCTGAACCCAGAATCTCTGACTCTACAAAGATGAAATGAAACAACCTCCCTGCCCCCAAGGACATTCTATCCATGTAGGTTGACATCATAGAATATCAGGGCTAGCAGAAACTTCAGAGATCATTTAGCAAAATTTATAGATGGGGGAAACTGAGACTCACCTTGCTCAAGGTCATCCAGTTATTTGGAGGCAGAACCAGGGCTTGCATCACCCAGTCTGATGCTATTTCCCTTCCACAGTATAGTACACCAGTGCCATCTCATTTTTCTTATTTCTTTGATCTTGAGTGATGTCCATGTAGTTCTGGTTTAACTTCCTTTTGGGGATCCCATACAGAACAGCCAGGACTAACTGCTTCATCCCTTAAGCTTCTGAGCTGTTCATATTTTAGGAGCTCATGTTCATGAGATGCCCAAGTGATATGTTCTCAGGATTGGTTATGTATATGGGAGAGAGGAGTATTGAAGCAACTTTACCCAGAATCCCATCATTGCTTTCCTCGTCAATCCTTCCTTCCCCACAGGATGGCCTTAGAGGTGCTTTTTTAAAGCTGTACATACATTGTTCCCACATGGAGCCTGGGAACCCTTGGGCACAGTTCACATATACTGATGCTAAGGAATCCATTCCTATCCTCTCCCTTGCCCTGCAACTGAAGAGTCAGGGTGAGAATGTAATGGGCATCCTTCACCATTCCACAACACTTGCTCAGATCCCCTCTCAATCTTTGTCTTTCTACACTGGATGCCCCTGGAGCCAGAAGTTCCCAGCATATGTTTACAATTTACAAAGCTATGGAGTAACAACCTAGGGCTGGGCCATTGAGGAGCATGAGAAGGAGTATAAGTGGTAAGCTCTCCCCTTTAGGAGCTCACAGTCAGGTGAGTGCATAGGTACCGAGAGTATGAAGTCAAACTGAATCCAAACCTCACAGAACAAATCCCCTTAAAAGGATTTGTTCTGTAAAACTTGGACTCAGTCAAAGGCCCACATCCGCGGACCTAGAAGGCCACAGGTTCCCCACCCCTGTTCTAGAGACTCTACTCTCCCCAGCATTCTCCTTCCAAGTTGACTTAATAGTCTTCATTTACCATTTACCACGTGTCAGACACTGACCAGGGAAGGGATACAAAGATGTATAAGGCCTCAGCTTAGAATTTGTTGGCAAGACAAGACAGACACAGATGAAGGACTTTGATGCTAATGGAGAAAATGTGAGTTTGGGAAAGGTCACAGAAAGAGAGATAAGTGTGTGCTGGAGTCCCTGGAAATCTTCCTGGAGGACAGGAAAAAAAATGGAGAACAAATAATCCAGTGAAGCGTACATCTTGAGCTAAGGTACATTGTCGCCTGTTTCAGGGATGATAACTGGAGCCACTTGGGTCACACAGAGAGAGTGGGAGGTGAGAGGTAGATTGGTTAAGCACGGCTAGATTATAAAGGGCTTTTAATGACCAACTGACGAGTTAGGACTTGATCTTATGGACAGTCATTACAGAATTTTGAACAGGGTAGTGGCAGCCTCTTTCAGCCTTGATTTACTCATCTATAAAATGGGTAGTGTGGGCACCTAGGTGGCACAGTGGATAGATAGCCAGGCCTGGAGTCAGGAAGACTCTTCTTCCTGAGTTCAAATCTGGCCTCAGACACTAGCTGTGTGACCCTGGGCAAGTCACTTCACCCTGTTTGCCTCAGTTTCTTCATCTGTAAAATGAGGGGGAGAAGGAAATGGCAAACCATTCCACTATCTTTGCCAAGAAAACCCCAAATGGGGTCATGAAGAGTCAGACACAATTGAAATGAATGAACAGCAACAAAATGGGGATAATAATAGAACTTAGCTCCCAGAGTTGTCATGAGGATCAAATGAGACAAACCTTGAAGGACTAGAGAAGTGCTGTCGACATTGTAGGATGAATGGGAGAGGCCTGGAATCCGGGAGTAAAGGAGGAAAGGCCTGAATTAAGGGAGTAGCAGCAGAAATGTAGATGAGAGATTTTTAAAAGGCACAAAAGGTAGCGACTGGCCACTATCTGAACATCAGATATTAGGGAGTGTGAGCTTTTGAACCTTGGACCAACTCTGCCTTCGGTTTAGGACAGGTTCCTTCCTTTCATCCACATGTCTATAAGTAAATGAGGACAAAGCTCACCCCCTGGCCTGCTTCTTTCTTTTAGTATTAGTGAGATAACTATAGGGCTTGCTTCTGTCTGCTTGTCTGGGAAAGGCCAATTAAGCATTACAATTCTTCTCCAGGCTTGTTTGGGGGGAGACTGGAAGGAGCCATTACTATCCAACTATCCTAACACTGAAACGAATTCAAAGGCCTTGGGGAGAGAGTAGGGCAGGCTCTCTGTGCAAGGGACTTTTGCCCTGTCAGCTTTCTTTGACCAAAGCTCAAGAGGAAATAAGTGGGGTGAGACACATATTTTAATGCTTACAGACAAACCCAACATTCTCAAACCAGTGAGGTAATGAGCTTAGGAAGCCCAGTTAAAGTTGTTGGTTTGTTGGGGTTTTTTTTTTAATTTATAAAAACATAATTGAAGCCTAATAATTAGATACAGAATCCTAAATATCATAGTTAAATAGCTGAAGCGTGTTGTACCTAGGAAGTGCAGCCCCAAAAACCATTTTTTCTGTGGGTTTTGAGAAAGCTAGTCTTCTTTCTTTTGTTTATTGTTGTGTAGCGTGAGCTAAGAGCCTGGATGACTTATCCAACTTATAATTACTTCTCCCAGCTGGAGATCCCTGCCAAACAAAAACACAGGCGGAAGCCCATCCTTGCCTCAGAATTTGATTTCCACATTTAGGTGCAATTCACCCATCATGCATCATTGAAGAGAAGTTGTGCAGTGTCCAATTTAGCATTGATTTGTCAATTGTATTTTACACACCTGGAGATGATGAAGCTTTAGAATCTCTTGGGACTGCGCTGATTATGTTCAAATGAGTCTTTAATTATATTCTCTTAGTTATGAGAAGAAAATGCCTAGTTGCTACATAGCATGTTTTTAAGCAGAGCAAAATGCAGAGATGGGCACGGGCTGGTGCACTATGTAGGCAGCCATTCGTTTCACTGCTTCTGACGGCCAGTATTTTCCTTTGTAGCCCTCTGTGATATGCATCCCATGAGAGCTCTCTTTCTCATCCCCCGGAATCCTCCTCCCAAACTGAAATCCCGAAAATGGTAAGATTGAACATCTTAATCTTTTTCATGATTTGGCTCAGCCCTTCCCCATAACAATATGACAATAACAATAACAATAAATGTTTATTGACTGACTGACTGTCTAGCCAAGTAGAAATTTCTGTCCATTTGGGCAATCAGTCTCATTTCCCTATTGCTATTAGCTTGTGTCTTAGCTAAAAGGTTCAACTTGCCAGTTGGTGTTGAGTTGGCCAACTAGTAATAACATTCAGCCCTCAGTATGTTGTGATCACTACATTACTGCATAGCACCAGCAGGTACTTTTTTTCCACCCTCATTCCTAGGCATCCTCCTCTTCTTTCCACACCCCTTGACACACCCCCCCCCCAAAAAGAACCTGGTAGAAACAGATGAGATGGCCACCTGGGGTTAGAGGTTAGTGGCTGTGGAGCAGAAATAACTCCCTGACCCACATAGGGATAGAAGCCCTAAGCTTAGTCTCATTTGCATTGTGCTCTTGTTTTTCTTCAATCAGAAGGGAACTTGTTAGGATTGATACTGGAGACCTCCCAGTGTAAGCAGTGCCAGTGATTTAGTGACTGCTTTTCTTCCTTGTGAATCAATGTCACCCTTCCCATAGATTTGATTTCTCTCTAGATGAGCTCGCCACAACACTCCATTCCCTTTTTAAAAAAATTTATTTGTTTGTTTTTAACATTCATTTTTAAATTTTGAATTCCGAATTCTCTCCCTCCCTCCAGCCCTTCCCCCACTCATTGAGAAGGCAAGTAATATGATATCAATTATACATGTGAAATCATGCAAAATATATTTCCATATTAGCCATGTTACAAAAAATAAAAAGCAAGAAAAATAAAGTGAAAAAATTATGTTCCAGTTTTCACTCAGAGTTCATCAGCGCGCTCTCTCTCTCTCTCTCTCTTCCCCCTCCCCCTCCCCCTCCCTCTCTCAAGTTGGAGAGCATTTTTCATTATGAGTACTTTGTAATTGTCTTGGATCATTGTAATGATCAGAGTAACTAAGTCTACGAGACCCAATTCTTAACCATAGTTATGAGCAGTCTCCTGGCCCATCTTGTGAGCACGGTGAGCCCTAGTGCCTCCGCTACTCTCTCTTTGGAGCAAACAATTTAGGGGTCTCTACCTTAAAAGTATAGTAGAAATTTGGTAATAATTGAGTTCATCAGATCCATGTTGACAGTCAAACAAGATCCCTCAAGCTACAGAGTAAATTCATTTCGGTCTGAACTGTCTAGTGGGACTGTCTGTATAGATCTGATTAACCAGAACATTACCAACTGTCCCTTTTGTACTGTGGAGACAAAGCATGGTTATTGTTTGCATTGGACATGCCACTAGGCCTTGCCACCCTTCCTGAAAAGCTCAGTAGTATTGTTGGCTCTTTACCATTAGGCAACACAGAAGTCTGAGTTAGGAAAGACCATGATCTCTTGAAATATTAGTCTTGGGAGCTCCTTTCAAAAAACATGTTATATGCTTCATCTGGATCTCACTTGTGTCTCCATTTCTTTTAGGTCTAAGAAGTTCCTCAACTTTATCGAAAATTGCTTGGTTAAAAATTACATACATCGTCCCTCCACTGAGGCTCTGTTGAGGCATTCGTTCATTCGAGATTTGCCAAATGAACGACAAGTTCGGATCATGCTCAAAGACCATCTGGACCGAGCCAAGAAAAAGAAAGGCGATAAAGGTAGCTTGAGATGCCACACTTAAGAAAATGGGTACTCGGAGGCAATCAGTGATTCATGTATCTGTCTGCTTTGGTGAAAAGCAACAATGTTCATATGAAAGAAGACAACTGAAAGGCTCAGGTCCTCTGCTTTGCTTTGATATCTTGGCTATCAAGAATTATCATAGAGAGGTTAGTGACTTTTAATCAAATCACTAATTGTTCTATGATAATTTTTGATAGCCACACCAGGTAAGGATTAGCGTTTGCAATGTGTTTGGTATTCTTAAATAATATACTGTGGCAGCCTAAGTTAATTTTCAACCACAGCAAAAGATGAGGTCGACAGATACCCAAGTCTCCTGTTACTCTCTTCTTTGGGCTAAAATTTGGAAATAACTGCTGGGGTAAATGATGTCAGAAAGAAAGCATTTGTCACCTTATAGATGTGTCAAATGAGTCTACAACAATAAAGATGGGTGTATAGGCTTGGACCAAATATCCAGTAGTTCCACACGTCAAGGTTGGGACCAAGCTAATTTGGGTCATTAGAAGGCTGTCACAAGGTTACCAATAGGAAGAAATCTGAAGGATCCATGGAAGATAGAAAAATTATGGTTGCCTCAAGCACCATTGAATATGAATTTGAGCACAACAACAAATTGTAGTATTTATATTTTTACATTTATAGAATAGAATTGTAGAGCTGGAAAATATCTCAGAAACCATCAGATCCAACCTGCATACATACCCTCATTTTTTAAAAGGGGAAACTGAGTCCTAGAAAGGGGAAGGGACTTGCCTAAGATTACACAGTGGAACACAATTGGCAGGAAAGAAGTAAGAGGCTTACGTTAAGTGTAATTAGGATATAAAATGATGATCTTCTCAATGGGGGAAGAGCAGGGCCTAATGACATGCCAGGACCCTAGTGTAGCAGGAGAGAGAGAGAGAGAGCGCGAGTGCTCGCAGGGCCATGGAGCTGCCTCCCCCTCTAGGTCCCTTTGGCAAAAGAGAAAATACAATCTGTTTTGCAGCACAAAAAATAGATTTGAGGACCCCAACTAGATGCAGACTCTAAGATATAGCATAAACACTTCTAATAGGTACCATTCATTCATTCAACAGATATTTACTGAGCTCTGACTGTTACACTAACTGGCCCAAACTCCAAATCCTCTTCCTTCCTGAAGCCAAAGAAGGTTAGTCTGAAGGGAATTGCTGCCCAGACAGGAGAGTGATTAACTGGGAGCCGCTAGACATTAACTGAACCTGTCCCCTGGGCTCAATGATCAGGAAGGCTCTTGGGTCTGTCCTTTAGCATTGTGATGTGGGTCTACCCAATGCCAGGGGGCTGAGAAGGCTAGGCTCTTCTTCAGAGAGCTAAGGATGTTGGCCCTGAGCAGGAAAGAAATGATTTCCCAAGTGCTAGAAGAACACTAGCAGCTCCCAATCAAAACTACCTCTGGTGTCCTGGCAGTCACCTCTCCTCCTTTGAACCTGGCTCATGCGTTAATTGTAGACCTAGAAAGAGCAAATGAATTTGATTTTAAAAGACCTGTGTTCAAGTTTTACTGTGTAACCTGCTTGGTGCCTCTGTAGCTTTGGGCCAGTCTTCTTTCTGGATTTTGCTCCCTTTTGCATAAAGATGAAGTTGTTAGGAGGCAGGCGATTTCAAAGATGCTTTCTAGCTCCCACATTTTGTAATTGTTAGATTTTCAGGATGCTGCCAAGTGAAAAGGGACCATTCTTCCCAGGAACATGTTTTTCCCCCCAACCCATTCACACCCCTTCTCTCCTTTCAGACGAAACTGAATATGAATACAGTGGAAGTGAAGGTGAAGAGGAGGAGGAGGAGGAGGAAGAAGAGTTAAATGAAGACCAAGGAGAGCCCAGGTGAGCTTGACCAGCCAAATACTGCATGAGATAATGATGTGCATATGAACCTCCCAGGCAGTGGTGGGCCTGGGCCTGGGCCTAGTAGTGAGCAGCCCTGGGTCCTCAGAGTTAGTAGGACAGTTAACAATTACTTTCTTTATATAACCATTGAGGAGGGTCCTTCCTTACTATCTCCAGCCTCCTTAAGTTCCTGCGGGATCTGGAATGATCAGGTCTCTGATCATCTTCCATCAGGGCTCAGTAATCAAGGGAATGAACAAGGAAGTTTTGACATTTCTAGAGATAGTTTAAGGGACAATAGTTTTAGCTTGGTTGCTAAAGAGGAATATCCTCAATAGTAAAGCAGGTCCCCTAAAAGACTTGATCATGCTCAGTTTTAATTGTATGAGTGATTAATCACCCATGCGGCTGTGTCCTCTCCTTTAGCTCCATAGTTAATCTTCCTGGTGAATCCACCCTCCGACGAGAGTTTCTCAGGCTGCAGCAGGAAAATAAGAAAAACCCATTTTCAAAGCAGCAACAACTGAGGCGAGAACAGCAGCAGCAGCAACAGCTGCTATGGCAACGTTTGGAGCAGGAGCAGCAGGATCTGCAGCGAAAGCAGCAAAATCTGCAGCAGGAGCAACAAAATCGGCAGCAGAAGCAACAAGATCTACAGCAGGAGCAGCGAGGTCTGCAGCAGGAGCATCCAGATCTGCAGCAGGAGAAACAGGTGCCAGAGCCCTTGCCTCAGAAACAACCTCAGGTAGACCCAAAGCTGCAGTTATCACAGCAGGAGCAGCCAGATTTGCAGCAGCAGCAGCAGCCAGATCTGCAGCAAGAGCAGCAAAATCTGCAGCGGGAGAAACAAGCACCTGAACTACTGCCACAGCTGCAGTTATTGCAGCCGGAGCAGCAACAGGAGCAGCAAGATCTGCAGCAGGAGAAACAGGCACCACAGTTACTGCCAAAGCCTCAGAAAACACCTCAGGTACTGCCAACACTGCAGTTATCACAGCAGGAGCAGCAAGATCTGCAGCAGGAGAAAGAGGCACCTGAAGTACTACTGAAGCCTCAGAAACAACCTCAGGGACTGCCAAAGCTGCAACCAGAGCATCACCAGGAGCAGCAGCCTCAAAAGCAGAAGCAGGAGCAACAGCAGCAGCAGCAGCTGCCGCCACCGCCACCACCACCTCCAAAGCAGGAGCAGCAGCAGCAGGAGCAGCAGCAGCAGGAGCAGCAGCAGCAGCATCAGCAGCCTTCAAAGCAGGTGCAGCAGCAGCAGCAGCAGCAGCCTCCAAAGCAGGTGCAGCAGCCTCCAAAGCAGATGCAGCAGCCTCCAAAACAAGGACAGCAGCTGCCAAAGCAGGGACAGCAATTGCCAAAGCAGGCGGCCCGTCACCAGGCACAGCAGCAACCGCAGTCTCCAGATCATCACTGGCTGCATTTTCCACCAAAGCCCAACCATCACCACACACAGCTGCTACCAAAGCATCTAGCATTTTACCAGGCGCATCATGGGCTACAGTTGCCAGGCCATCACCACACACAACTGCTGCCGAAGCAGATGGCCCATTACCAGTCACAGCATCCACCAAGGGTCCATCACCATGCGCAGCAGCCACCAAAGGTGCCACCCCATCTCCAGGCACAGCAGCCACCAAAGGTGGTGCTCCACCAGGTGTATCAGCCACCAAAGGTGCCGCCCCATCTCCAGGCACAGCAGCCACCAAAGGTCGTGCTCCACCAGGTGTATCAGCCACCAAAGGTGACAGTCCACCAAGTGCAGCAGCCACCAAAGGTGACAGCCCACCAAGTGCAGCAGCCACCAAAGATGCCAGCCTATAACCAACCAGCACAGCTGCCAGTCTATCACCAGCCACAGCAACCAGCTCAGCAGCTTGGCCATCGCCAGATGAAGCAGCCTTCTCATCCCCTGTCACCATATCAACAGCCTCAGCAACCAGGCCAGCAGGTTCCACAGCAGCTGGCCCATCACCAGGTGAAACAGCGTCCACAGCAGCCTGCTAATCATCAGACACAACTACAACCAGAGCAGCAGCAGCAACTCAAAGACCAGGATAAGACCAAGGATCCAGTCCTGACTGAGTGGCAGAAATGCAAGGAGCAACAGAAGGAGCAGAAGAAGAAACCTGAGGATGTAAGAGTTGGTTGACATCTATTCCCCATGTCAAATCTAGGTGCCCTTGATGCATAAGTATATTATTCTCATAAAAATGGTGTACAGATGAAAACGTATACATATATATTAGAAGTTAATTTTTTTCTTAATTGCTTTTTTGGGTGACAGTAAGATTTGATTTTTTCCCCAAAGTTTTTGTGTCTTCCTCTTTTTCAGATAAAAGTTCCTTGAAATTGTGTCACCTCTAACACAGACCACCTTTGTGTATATATTTGGTCTAGTGTAGCTGTTCATCCCATTTTTTCTTCTTTAGTGCCATTTCTTATTGCCTCATGTGGCTGATTTAGGACTGTAATGTTAGCATCCAAATGTGATCGTTCCACTGTCAGTGAGTTTGTTATAAAATTTTTTACAGATCTTTTCCATTCTTTTGTTTGTTGTGTTCCTTCTAGCTTGATCATTAAATGTCCTAGAGATGACTTTTCTTAATTGGGCTTCTCACTGAGCCCTCTACAAATTTATTTTCCTCTATCTTTAAATGGACCTTATTGTTAGAAAGCTATCCAAGACAGCTACCATGTATTCAATACAGAAAATATGCTATATTCTCTCCTCTAGGTTAAGCATCCTTCAACCCATCCTCATATGGTATGATTTGGAGGCTCTTTACCATCTTGGTTGCCCTCCTAGGGACACTCTCCAGTTTTTCAATGTCCTTCCTAAAACGTAGTGCTTAGAACTAAATAGAGTACTCTAGACATGTTCTGACCAGAGCAAGAACATGCAGTACAATAAGAGAATCTCCACTTAGTTCTAGTCATTGTGCCTCTCTGAATGTAGCCTAAGCTCACATTGCCTTTTCTGACTACCATATCACACTGGTGACCCACAGCAGTAACTATAATCCAAGAGGAACAGAGTATACTCAGAAGAATTAGAGTAGGTAAGTGTTGGGAGATTTAATCAGCTTGTTTAAGTGACTTGTTTAGCAGGCCAATGTCATGAACCTAGCACAAATAACCATACTGTTGTCACTCATATCCCTTGTGCAAGATTTTCTTGTGCCCTTCCAGTCATTTACTCTTCCGTTATAGAGACTCTAGGCAGGGCTGGGGAACCTGCAGCCTCAAGGTCACATGTGGCCCTCTGGGTACGGCCACAAAGTACGGCCCTTTGACTGAATTCAAACTTCACAGAACAAATACCCTTAATAAAAGGATGTTCTGTAAAACTTGGACTTGGTCAAAAGGCTGCATGCAAGGACCACATGTGGCCTCAAGGCTGTAGGTTCCCCACCCCTGCCTAGGGAGCATATCTGCAGAATCTGACTAGACTCCTTATCACAAGTCCCCAGTACTGGCATTGCTGAGAGACAAAACAAAACCCTAGGCTGCACATACTCTTGTACACACTATGCCCAGTGGGGCAATAATCTCTAACCATAATAAGCAGTGTATAATTACATGGGTCAACTATTCGGTCCAGACTGAAAAGAGCAAAGTAAGACCAGATGAGGGTGATAGACTAAGAGAATAGGGTGGTAGGGAATGACTGGAGTTTGCAGTTAGGAGGAAGAAGAGATTTAAAGGGAGTGAGGACCAGAGGATATGGAAAGATGGGAGACTGTGAGCAGAGAGCTTGCAGAAAACTTTTAAAGCTATATTTTGTTCAAGGGACTGCTGGGATGTATCCTACACAACCAAAGCATCCATGTTTCATGGTTCTGGTTGAACATGAATATACAGATAAGTTATTTCTGGTATTCCATATACCACAAAACCCTGCGTAACTCCAGTACTAGGCAACAAGGGGTGCTAGGTTCTAGGTAATGGAACTTCCTGGATAACTAAGGGTTAACCCTTCCCACTATTTGTTTTACTCTCTCATTGTTGAAAACCATCTTTTTAAAAAGTCTCATCCCCTTACTCTGCTTTCCTAAGTCTGGTGTACATCAAAATTCAAAGAAAGTGAGCTTGTTGACAGTAATCAAACCTTTGCTGATGGAGGTTTTTACAGGACCTCTGAGTGATAACTCTGAACATTGCTCGAGATTATGCAATATTGGGGCCTATTGGCCTGAACCTGGCCTCAGCCCAGGCCATTCCCTGAAAGATGTTCTTTGATGAAATCCTTGATATGAGCTAGTATTCTATTTGTGTAGATAGTTTTCTCTCAAAATTCAAATCAGAAACAAATTCCCTTTAACCAAGGGCTTGGGACACTGATAATGTTGGTTTGGTGGAGTTCTAGTTATTCAGAATCTTACTAGATTTCTTTTCTAATTTGGCCTTGATTTGGCATTTAGTCTGGAGTTTATCACTAGGAAGGTAAGATGATATAACGGAGTGTGCTGGACTTGGAGTTAGAAAATATAAGTTCGAGGCCCAGCTCCATTATAAATGAGCTGTATGACCTACATTGTAACTTCCTAAGTCAGTTTCTCATCTATTAAATGAGAATTTAACCATGGAAATATGGATTTAAAACCTGAAGGGACTTTAGAGGTCATTGAGTCCAACAATGTCATTTGTATAAGGAAATTGAGACCTAGAGGAACAGAAGTGACTTACCCAAGGTCACACACAGAGTAGGAAGTGATCAATCCTAGGGGTTATCTGATCCAACCCCCTCATTTTACAGAGGAGGAAACCCAGGGATATGAAGTGATTGGTTCAAGGTCACACATAGGATCTTAGACCTCCAGCTGGAAGGGCTCATCAAGGGCATCAAGTCCAACCCCTTCATTTTATAGACAAGGAAACTGAGGCCCAGGAAGGGGAAATGACTTCTCCCTGCTCACACCTAGGATCCTAGATCTACAGCTAGAAGGATGAACCTCAGAGGCAATTGAATCCAACTTCTCATTTTGCAAAGTGGGAAACTGAGGGGAAATGATTTGCCCATCGTCAGACAGCTAGCTAGCAAGTGTCTGGGGGCAGTGTTCAAGCTCAGATCTTCCTGACCCCAGGTCCAACCCTCTGTCTATTCTACCTAACTGCCTCCTTGACTTGCAGAAGCTTTTTCTGAGTTCTTAGAACGTGTATTCCATTTCTTTGGTGACACTAAAAAGGCAGGCCTCCTGCTGAGACTTCATGGGTGAGTTGGTACTTTCCGGCAGCCACTGACAAATCATAGGAAACAGGAAACTACAAAAGCAGTGCGTAAAACAATCCCCCAGAAAGTGACACCAGCTGAAACTGGAGATGGTCGATCCAAATTGTGTGCCCTAGAAATAAATATAGTGACTTGTACTTAGTAAGGTGGATATGATGAACCCAAATAAATGACTGCATTCTGGGAAGACAATTGTACAAAGAAGCTATACGCTGGGATGGAAAAAAATCTCCTTAAAATTGAACTTAGAGCTGATAATTACCTTGAACTTAGAGCTGATAATTACCTCTAGCAGTAGCAGAGTAGGGAGGGAGCTCAGCTAACTAACTTTTCTCTAGCCCCTCAGTAACAGATCAATTTACTTACTTGATCTCATTTCATCTTCACAATAATTCTAGGAAGTAAATTTTTGGTTCAGTTGGGTTTGGTTTTTGAAATCTGGTGATTTCAGTCTTGAAGTAGGCATCTGAAGATGGGGGTCTTAATCAGGAGTCCACGAACTTGGTGTTTTGTTTTTGTTTTTGTTCTTTTAATTTTTGACAACTAGATTCCAATATAATTGGTTTCATTGTCTAATGTATTTTTTATATTTTTAAACATTATTCTGAGAAAGAGTCTTTCTGTAGACTTCCTCAGGCTACCAAAGGAGTTCATAACCCCAGAAAGGTTAAGACGCTTTGCTTTAGGCAGTCTCGGGGGCTTCTAATGGGGAACTCTCTCTACAAGTTAGCCTTTAAGGGCTGCCTAGGACACTGAGAGGTTGAGTGACTTGCCCAGGGTCACATAGCCAGTATGAGTCAAAAGTAAGAAGCGGCATAGCACAGGGTAGTGATTAGAGAGCCTGCCTCAGCTTCAGGAGGTATCACAGGTATTATTTCTTATATGTACAGATGAGAAAACAAATTCAGAGAAGTGATTTGACCGAGACCACACAGCTAGGAAGGGGGCAAAGTCAGATCTCAAAGCTAGGTCTTCAGATTTCAGGTTGTCCATTTGAATCAGGTCTAGTGCCTAGGATGGATTTTCATTCCAGACATTTCCCAAGAAGTTTTTCTAGCTATTTAGGGAAGTGTCATCCTGGTCCGAGGAACATGAGGTATAGCCAAGGGAGAGCCCCAAAGTAGGGATTTGTGACCACCTCCCTAAGTTCCAGCCTGGTCACAGTATAGCCTTTCTCCCTTCCCCTGTCCCTCACCACCTTGTTTCAATCAATGCAGACGGTCACTCCAGTCTTGTTTCCCAGAGCTGATCTTTAAGTTCTTTGTATTAAAAAGGCAAGCAATTGCCTGATTCAAATGGGCAGTCAGAAGCTCTCCCAAACTCCTACATTCAGTTAAGTCTCTGGTTTAGGAGAAAGTTGAACATTCTTGTAACACAATCTTAGAGAGCTCTTGATGCAGCTATAAAACCAAACTGAGGAATAAGATGAAAGCTTGCTAAATAGCACAGGAAGTTGGGGTTTATGAGTAATATAGAGAACAATTTTTCATACTTGGAAAGTATTTAGGGGATTGAAATATATTACCTCTATGGATGGAGGAGTTACCATTGATGTTTGCCTTTGGAATTGTTAATTTAACATATTAGTTTTATCCTTTTTTTTTTTTAAAGAGAAAAGCAGAGGATGTTCCACATGTTAAAAAATTTCATCGGACCCTTCCCAAAGATCAAACTCAGCTGTTATCTCTACAATATGATCATAAGCCACAGAACAAAGAGTCTCCAAAGGCTTTGAAAAAGACTCCGGATTCCTCCCCAAGCAGCTCAAAGAAAGAGGTAAAATTGCTCTAGGTGAAATGGTACAACTTTCCCAGCAAGTTAAGTATGTGGATAAAGCAATGCATCTAGTTATCCATATGTTCTCTCCTGAAATAATACCATCCTTGAACTTCCTCTTGGACAGCCATAGCCACGTGTATCTTCTCTGAGATATAGAGCCCAGCGCCCCTACCAGCTAGGTTTGGTCCACTTCACCATGGACCTGCTGTAGGGCACAGCCATGGAGCTAGAACTCAGGAGCGCTCATTCCATGGTTCACAGTACATTAAAAGAGTTCATGGTGAATCAAACAAGCATCATTTTTCAGTCCCCTCACCCAGTTTTCTGTCCTCATAACAAAGCTCACATTGATTCTCCAATCTCCTGATTGACTTTTTCATGGCAGCAAAAAGTTACAAGGGTCTTTTCTTCTGTTGAGTATTGACAAAATCTGCCTAGCTCCCCTTGGTTCATTTGTTTTTCTGGTTCTCTTAGAAGTTATGCTTTATAATTTTCCACTTGAAGCTGGAGTAGGGAATGGGCTGTCAATGCTTGGCTTTCACTTTTTAAAAAAAGGTTTTATTGATACTCTTCTTAATACTATAACTATCACTTTTCAAAGACTCCTGGCCCACTCTCCCATAGAACCTTCCCTTATAAGAAAAAAAAGTACAGCTACCCAAAAGAAATCAATACATCTGATAATATATTCCTCATTCTGCATCTCTATTCTTTCACTTCTCTGTTGAAAAGGAGATAGACTTCAATTTGTACCCACTTTGTTTACAATTCTTTGCTACCACAAAGAGTGCTGCTAGAACTATTTTGCATATATGAGGTCCTTCCTTTTGTCTACGATCTTTTTTAAGGTATGTGCCTAGTAAAAATATTGTTGGATAAAAGGGTCTGTTCTATTTAGTGACTTTTCTAATGTAATTCAAAATCAGAATTGGACTGTCCTACAGTTTTAGTGATAGTATATTGGTGTACCTATCTTCCCCAAAGTCCTTCAACATTTAACTTTTGCCATCTTTGCCAATCTAATGGGTGTGAGACGAAAACCCAGAGTCATTTTAATTTTCATAACTTTAGTAAAAGTAACTGGTTACAGAATAAATTCACAAAAATCATCAACTTTTTTATTATTTCTAATAAAAACCCAACATAAGGAGAAAAAGGAATTCCATTCAAAGTAACTACAGAATGTATAAAATATCTGGGAGTTAACCTCATCAAGACACACTCAGGACTTAGCTAAATACAGTTATAAAACATTTTTTAGAAATAATAGAAAACAAATAATTTGAGAAATATTCATTGTTCATGGTTGAGCCATGCCAATATAATAAAAAATTACACTGCTACTTAAATTAATAATCATATCATCTGCAAATAGAGATGATCTTGCCTCCTCTTTGCCTATGCTTATTCCTTCAATTTCTTTTTCTGGTCTAATTGCTGATGCTAGAATTTCTAGAACTAAAACAGTGGACATTCTTGCTTTACCTCTGATTTTATTGGAAAAGATTCTAGTGTTCCTTTATTACAGATGTTAGCTTTTATTTTTATATAAATCATATTAAGGAAAGGTTCATTTATTCCTATGTTTTTAGTGACTTTTTAAAAATAAGTGACCTTGGTTTTCACTTTTTAGAAGGCTAGGAGCACAGCTACAATTCATTTCCCCCTACTAATCTTTTCTAGATGGCTGCTGTGCTCTTGGGGTGTCTAAGTTGTGGTATGGCAGTGGTTCTCAAACTTTTTTTGCTAACAGCATAGTATTCATTGCCATAAGGAATCATGACACATTGAAACATTTAAATTGGCAACAGAAGAGTTCCTAGGAAAACTGGGCGTCCAGACCCATTACTCCAGCCTTGAAATTCCTCTGCCTTTCCTTCCCCTCCTCCATACCAGGATTCCTGGCAGAGGAAGGGGCTTTGTGTCTCCTCTGATAGAGCTACTATTGCGACTCTACTGATGCCAAATCTGAAGGTACAGCTAGGGGCAGAGGCTAGGGAAGTTTCAGTCTATGAAATGTAGTTTCATGGCACACCCTTTGAGAACCACTCTTATAGGGTCTAGGTTGTAGCCATTTTCCACTATGTTTCTTTCTTGTCTGTAGTAATGGGCTTATGGAAAGAAGGAAGGAAGGGAAGAAGGGAGGTAGGGAAGGAAAGAGGAAGGAAGAGAGGGAAAGAGAAGGGAAAGGGAGAGAGGAAACAAGTATTTATTAAGTATTTACTATGTTCCAGACACTGTGCTGGTTGCTAAGACAAAATAGAGACAGTCCCTTCCATCAGGGAGTTTGCATTTTAATAGGGAAATATAATTCATATTTTAATAAGGGAAGATAATTCATATGAGGGAATGGTGGCCAGAAAACATCAGAGATAGCAAATGGAGCCATAGATTTGAACACCCTTTCTAGGAATGTGTTTATGTGAATTGAACAGGGAGGAGGTACATGTCTGGCAGACAGATGGCCAGAAGGCAGTGTGACAGATCTGAGGGCGTCTAGATATGGTGAATTCTCAGCAATCATAATTTTAGGGCCCCAAGTTGGCTGTTGAGTGTCAGGTACTTGGGTTCTAGGTCAGAGGTGGAGGGTAGAGCCTCAGTAGCATGGAAGGAAGATGAGATCTAAAATTCAGAATTCTATTAGCCCAGTCAATTAGAGCATGATGTTAATGATAGGTTCTGTTCTTGTACAAGAAATATAGCACGGCCATGGCCTGAATTCCTAATCCTAGATAACCATTTGTCAAAAATATCATAAGGGCAGTGGACCAGTTGAAAGTATGTGAATTCAGCGCAGTCTGTGTGCACATCCCTCCCCATGTACAAATATGATCACATGTTGATGATGTGTTAGAAAACTTGCTTTCATCTTGTTATTACTGATCAACATCAGGGCCCCAGGTCATTGTCTTCTTTTCCTTAGTCACTGCTGCTATGAAGCCTTCCACTGGCAAATCTCCATTACATACTTGCCCAGTGATATTAAAAGTCCTTTAAAGTGAATGATGATTATTGCTCTATAAATTTTAACCACTGGCAGAAGAGTTTGTTTTACCAAAAGGGGGCACTGCATCTTCCCTGAAGTCTTGTTCAATGATGTGTTTGCTCTTGGCCTCATGTAATAACACCTGGTTGTGACAGTCATCTTCTCACCCTGCTTGAGAGTAAATGGTCAGATCACCCAGATCTGATCAGTCAGCTAAGAGATCAACCATGCCTGCTTGGTTCAAAGTCACCTGGGTTTTACATACATGCATTGCTGTTATTCTTGGTTTTTTTAGAATGTTAACTATTTCTCAGAGAAGCTTGGAATGAATGAGGAGGGGAAAAAAACCAAAAGCATTAAGGACCTCTGTACATATGTTCAATGTTTTCATTGACATATATGTGTGTATGTGTATATATATATGCATATACACATACATATAATATATATATATATATATATGTATGTATGTATTTTTTTTCCCCATTTTAAAGACAAAATGCTGCCTGTCCAAAATAGGGATTATCTTTCTTGTTTCTATCTGTAATCTTTTCTGGGAATTTTGTAACCAGTTGAGTTCATCTAAAAACATCTCTGCCTTTATATTCTTTTTTGCATCTACTTCCCAGGGTCAACAATTTTCTGAGAAATCAACTCCCTGAACATAAATAAAGAGGCTTAGGCTGGGACTATCCGATGCCAAACACCAGGATGAAAAGTGAAAAACACAGGCGGCCATCCAGATGTTTGACGGCTAAACATCTGGATAGGTTTAGAGATAAGTGATTGCCAAAACATCTGGATGATTAGCTGCATTATTTTGTTTCTCATCCAGCTGTTTCCTGGCATGTCAAGAGGTTGTGTGGGCTTTGGATTCTGAGGACCTGGGTTTGAATCCTGGCTCTTAGCACTTCTGACCTGTGTGACCTTTTGCAAATCACTTCACTTCTCTAGGCCTCACTTTTCTCCTCTGTAAAAAGGGGGAGTTGGGCTCAATGACCTTTGAGGTATCTTCCAACTATATGATGCTATGTACAGACAGACTTGGCAAGCCAGTGCCTAGGAAAAAACAACATCCTACAGCCAGCAACTTTTCTGCAAGACAGGAGTGATCACACCTTTGTGGTTATCAGAACATAAGCCCTAGATTTAAAAAAAAAAACTGTTATGTTGAACTTTTCTTTATCAAAGATTTGAATGTAGCTATCAGGTCATGCTATAGAAATTATGGATTTGTTCATTAGCTGAAAAGAAAATGCCCTGAACCCAAAATAGATGATACCAGAATAATACAGATAAGCCTAAGTCCCAGGGCCCATGGATCTTCACAAAAAAGAAAATGTCATTCTAATTGAAGCATAGCCTATTGCTGAGCACATGCTCTGTCTCAGGAAGATTTTGACTCAAGAAAGAATTGGAAAAAATATCTGAGTTTTCTCACTTAGGAATCAATATTTATTTTCAAAACATTGCCTGTGACCTTATAAGCAAACTGTCTGCAAAATGGGTGGAGTCAGGGACACAGGGATGGTCTCTCTTAACCCTCAGTATGAGCTAATCAGTATCAATGAGATAAGGATGGTTGGACTATTTGAGGCTTTTGTTATGTTTTAAAGGGAAAACATAGTTCAGTCCAGTCTACTCAGTCCTCTTGCAGTGACTGAGCCTGAGGAGGAATGACTAGCAAACTGTCAGAGTAATTATCCATCTTGGTTTCTGGCCCATATTTTATAAATATCCACTTTGTAGAGGAAGTGGAGTATATTGCAAAATTTCATTCGTGCATAAAGCTATCCACAGAATGTCAAAAGGATCCCAGATTTCAATGCTGGAAAGGACCTCAGAGGCCATCTCATCCAACCCCATCATTTTGCAGAGGAGGAAACTGAGACACAGAGAGGTGAAGTGATTTGCCTAGAGTCACACTGGTAGTTAACATCACAGGCAAGATTGGAACCCAGGCCTTCCAACTCCAGAGCCAGCGCTCTTTCCACTGCACTACAGGCCTTTGGCATATTGGATGGGTCACCTAGGAAAGACTTATAGGAGGATATAGATAAGAGGACATGGATGGATAGTGATCCCAGAGACTGGTAAACTATAGCCTGAGAGTCAAATCCACTAGCTGCCTATTTTGGAAGGCCTGTGAACTTCACAATAAAACTTTATTTTAAAAAATGGGAAAACCATTTTTAGCTCATGAGCTGAAGGTTGGATGACCATAGTTTTCCAGCAACTGATCATTGGTATAAAACTCATAGAAACAGATCCCTGTAGGTCATATATTGACTTAGAATACTACAAATTGACATTATGTATGTTGTGTTGTATTTTTATTTATTAAACATCTCTCAGTTACATTTTAATCTGGTTCTGTCACACTGGGGAGTTTTGCATGCTACAAGTTTGACACTTCTGCCTTAGACCATTGGAATGTATCACCACATTTATGAGAGTAGAGATCCATTGAAGGATCAAAGCTAAACAGAATTCTGCAAACTGCTGGTGATCACTAATAGTCAGGCAAGGGTCACATTTTTCAGAAGTTCTCTTCCACCCACCCCCATCTCCAACCTCAGGCTTCTTCTCCTGTCCCTGCTTCTAAGATGTCTGAACTATATGTGATAGAGTTCACCCAACTCAGTGAGACAGCCTTCCACATGTTACCATTTCTCTCTCTCTGAGTAGGACCTGCTGTCAACAAGGACACACTATAACCTTCCTAGCACTAGTTTCTTCCTGTTATTCCTAAGTTCTAGGATCACCGATCACTTATGACTCTGCCCCCAACTATTGAAAATGTATCCTGTTTGTGTCTAGCTGTTAGAATTCACTTATGTCTTTGCATAAGCGTGCAAAGCAAATTCATTCAGTCAGGGGGCAAGTATGTTCATATTATGGAGCATTGTGATAATTAACATAAAGTTGTTTATCGACATTTTCCCAATAACTATAATTGTCATTCCCTACCATTCAGCAGGGTGGACTTTAATCTATGTGTCTCTGATTTTGATTCAGCATGTCTTTACTTGTTTAGTTGTGTCCTTTGTATGTGATCCATTGTTGAAGTTTTTTTTCTTATCCATTCTGTCATTTTTTCATTTTATTGGATAGTTTAATCCATTTATCCTTAAATTTATGTTGGTTATGCTTGTGTTTTCCTCCATTTGTTTCATTAATGTTGCTTTTTTGAAATCCCCTTCCTATTAATGTCAGTACTCTGTCCTTGTGATTAATTTTTCTTGAACTACTTCAATGTTGATCTGTTCCCACAGTTTCTCCCCTCCCCCCACTCCTGTTTGCCTACCCTTTCTGTAGTTCTTGGATTTTACTTAAATTATTCATTTTTTTCTTTCTTTTATTTATTTAGTTATTTCTCCACTTCTTTCTAGAAATCTCTTCTCTTTCCCCAGAAAATTAAATGGTTATTTTAAAATCCTTCATCTCTAGAAGACACATATAAGACTCTGAACTATTTTTCCCCAGGTTGCTTCTTTCCTCGTTTTTGGAGAATTATTGTCATTGTTGAGTTTCCAAAAAGTAGCAGTAACCTAGTACAATACCATGTGTCAGTCAGAATCTCAAGTGCCAACAAACTGCTGGCCATGGTGCTGACATAGCTAAAGGACCCAGATATTACAAGAAAGAAACTTGCTGCTCCTCAGTCCAGATGGTGACTGTATCTCTCCTGGCAATCATTTAGGTGTTCATCATCTATTAGACTTGCTGGGGAAACCTGACTCCCTTGCTAATTATTATACACTAGTGTGATAGTTTCAGAACATCGATTGTAAGGATGCTTCTGGAAGATATGACTTGATATAGAACCCTGCCTTCTCAGTACCTGGTGTGTACCAAATCCCTGCTATCATGAGTTGTATACATGCTACTCATAGCTCAGACTGCTCTACAGTCTCAGTGTCCTTCTTAACTTTTCACACATTCATTTCCCATATCCATTCACTTGCCAGATTGCTTGTCATTTCTAACTTTTAGCCACTCAGCTGCCAAAGTGATTTTCTGAAAGTTCAGGTTTGACCATGTTAACTCCTACCCCCTACTCAATAAACTCCATTGACTTCCTGTTACCTCCAGGATCAAATAAAAAGTCCTCTGTTTGGTATTTCAAGCTCTTCACAACCTGGCCCCTTCCTACCTTTCCAGTCTTCTTATACATTATTCTCTTTCACATACTCTTTGGTGCAACCATGCTAGTTTTCTTGCTGTAGCTCCCATACAATGTTCTATCTTATGTCTTCATGTCTTTTCACTAGCTGCCCCTTGGGCCTAGAATGCATTCCCTATCTCCAACTCTGATCTCCACTTCTTGGGATCCCTAGTTTCCTTCAAGATAGAGCTCAAGCACCACTTTCTTCATGAGGCCTTTCCTGGGTTACCCAACCTGTTAATGCTTCCTACTTATATCTGTTTTGTATATGCGTATGTGTGCATGAATATTTTCTCCACCACTAGAATATAAGCTCCTTGAGCATTTTTGTCTTTATATTCCCAACACTTAGCACAGCACCTGGCACATAGTAGACCCTTAATAAATGTTTGTTAATTGGTTCAAATGGTATAGAATTGATGTTTCCTATACTCCATGGGTTTTGAATCCCCACTGGTATGTGACTGTGAGGAATGAAGGGCATTGCAATGTGGTCCTTAGCTGAACCACTGGTATTTTCCATGGCACTCAATGAGAGTTTGGTCTTAGACCAATCTTACCTTTGGTTCCTGTCTTAAGATAAAACATTTGGGGGCTTAGCATTTTTCCATCAGTAGAGAGATCAAAACTGGGGAAAGCTTCCACATCATGGGAGGGCTATAGTCTATTTTGATGAGGAGAATTTGCTGAGTAGCCCCAGAACAGAGTTTTGGACATTATATGTTATCTTCCTAATATGGACTTCAGGAGGCAGATAGAACTTTATATTGACAGATGATAATTCCCATCAGTTAATTGGAAGTAAGTCATATAGAGCTTGCCATGATTTGGCTACCAAATATATTTTTAATAAAGTACTGAGGTACCTTTCCTCTTAGGGAGGAAGGCACTGTGTCTGTGGCCTTGGGCAGAGAGAGACCCCATTGCTCCCATGACCACAGCAGAGGCCCATATCAGAAACACTGGTTTCTGATCAATATCATCTGTGTATTCACCAATGTCCTGGTCCAGGCATGAACCCAAGCATCTGGCTCAGAGTGAATGTTTAATACTGGCATGCCTGGTCTTCTAGGGCATCTTATCTTAGTTATAATTTAATTCTTTGAGTTTCTGAATAAGAAAAGTAAGAGATACCGATACTAGAAGGATGGTAAAAACATATTTGGAACACCATGTCTTTGCCCTCATTCCCACTTTCCCATTTTGTTTTTCAGATGAACATTAAGATGAAGAAGTCTGAGGGTTCCCAGACACCTCTGAATTGGACCCTTGCCCTTGCCCATGATTCTCCTCCACACACTAGAGTGATATCTGGCAGTAGCTCTAGTCCTTGTACACCAGCTTTGCAGAGGACAGGAATAACAAAGGTAAAATGACCTTTCCTTATCAGTAAGATGATTAACATTCCTCAGTTACTAAAGGAAGGGCTTTGGAGGTGTGAAAGAAAGAGGGAGGAAGGGATTTGCATCATTTACTCTCCCTTCTCCATATTTTCACTAGGACAACAGTTGTTTCCAACATCGCCCAAATGCTTGATGCTTTTTAATTGGATGCCCCTTTTCTTGGTTTCTATTGCATGATTTTTCTTTAGGGTCAGGTCCATTAAAATAATCTCTTCCCTTTTCCCCTAGAGCATGAGCTCATTTGAACTTCTAAAATAATGTTAATTGTTCTTTTTCTTCCTTTCTATGGTGGTAATTGTGGGGGAGGAGTTTTTTTTTTGTTTTTGGTGGGAGGAGATGAAAAAGAAGAGTTGTTAGGCAGGTCTTATGTTCACTAGTTTTGTTTCTGTGACACCAAAACATCTAAATCCAAAGTAACAAATCCACATAGTCCTCCAGATGTTTGGGAACAGACAACTCTTTGTTGACTTCCCAACTCAGAATGCCATTTGGGGCGAATCTATGTCTTTGTAGATTGAATGTCTATCTAGAGTGTTACCTCAGCTCAAATTCTGGGCTTATCATTACAAAAAATTTTAAAATGAAACATTCTTTTGGAAATTTTCTGTCTTTAAAGTATCTTGAGAATTGATCCCAAAGTGCTTTTAAAATTGTTTCACTTTCACCCAGGATTGTCTGTGTGTGTTTATTCAAGACCTGCACTTCTTCCTTATTCTACGTTCTCTACTGCCATTTTCATTTCCACATATACCATGTTGGGTGCTGAGGCATACCACATATGCTACAATAGAGTCTAAATACAAAAGTTCCATTGTCATTGATGATGAAAATAGAAATGCTGGCAGATCTGTTCCATCTTGCATCTATTTGTTATTCTTACAGTTTCATATATAGATGTTCTTGGGGTGATCTGGGTCAGCTGGGTTAGCTTTCTGCAGACTTGTTTGCCTTTTCAGAGTTTTGTGAGGCAGTACGTCTCCTATTCTTCTGTCCTTCTTCATAATGTTTTACAAATGAACCAATATTTTAAGTGGCTGTTGATCTTGGCTGTCCTGTCCCTCTACTTGGCCATGCAGCAAATGATATCTAAGGCAGTTTCTGGACATGTTTAACCTCCTTGTTGTGGGGGCTACTGGTCTCACTTTTCTCAAAATGGTAATAAACATAGTGAATGTATTTACAGTTAGTTTTAAGATATCTGATTGGAGTTTTTATAATAAATAATCTTCTCATCTTTATCCTTTCTTCTAGTTTAGGATTAAATTTGACCTTTGTTCTGTCAAAGGTCTGACTACATTCAAACAACTAATTTTGAGGAGGGGTGAATTTAAGAAGATTGAGTTACATGTTGGATATATAGTTTCCATTTTTGTGGCTACAGATGTACAGCAGGCAGATTTGAGACTGGAGTTCAGGAGAGAGATTGGAACTAGATATATAGGGTTGGATGCTAGTCCTCATATCTCAAGAGCTGGAAGGAACCTCAGAAGCCATCTAGCCCAATCTTCACCTGAACCAGAACCCCCTGGATATCACTCTCCCTGACAAGTAGTCATCTAGTCATTGCTTGGAGACCTCCAATGAGGGAGAACCCACTACCCTCTGAGGTGCCATTTTTTGGATAACTAATTCATAGAACCACAGGTTAAGAACTGGAAGGGACCTTAAAATCCAACCTTATCATTTAAGCCCAAAGATGTTAAGTGATTTACCAAGAATATAAATGGTCATTGTCTTTACCCAAGAGTCCAACCCAGATCCTCGGAATCCCAATCCTGTACTCTTTCCAGTGCCCTGTAGGAAGTTTTTCCTTAAAACAAGCTGAAACTGATTTTTTTGAACCCAAGTGTAAGAACTTGCATTTCTCCCTATTTCATTTCATCATCTTAGATTTAGTCCAGTGTTCTAGTCTGTTGAGATCTTCTCAGAGCCTGACTCCATTACCTGCTGTGTTAGTCATCCTTTTCAACTTTGTGTCACCTATGAATTTGATGAGCATGCCTCCTGTGCCTTGATTTAAGTTACTGATTTTTTGTGGTCTGACCCTGATTTCTTTGGTGTAGGAGACTTCCTCTACCAATGTAGTTCATGTGTTGCCTGTTCTGCAACTTCTAGTCTTAGCGAGTGACCTGGAGCACTGAGAGGAAGTTAAGTAGCTTGCTCACAGTCACACAGCCTGGGCCTTGAATCCCAATATTTTGGGCTCCAAAGATAGCCCTGTAGTCATTATACCACATTCCCTCTTTGCTTAACTGTAGCCATTGGAAATATTGAATTATGTGCAGAATGTTCTCTTTTTACACCTTCCTAAATCCTGCAATTTTTGAGGCTCAAACCGGGAGTCAGATTCTAATCAGGAGGCCTAGCTCCAACCTTGAATGACTGTACTGCTCACTCCTTGCATTGTTTTGCTATTGGGTAAAACTGGAGCTGTCCACATTGGACTTCATGGACTTCATCTTCTCTCTATGCTCTTCCCTCACAGCATCTAACTGTGAAGCACTTTGGAAATGTGGCATGCTAAAGCCAGCATTGATATTTCAGTGGCAGGGGAATCTTAGTTTCACTAGGGTGTTCATGTTTGAATTTAATTTATTTCCTCCAAAGAAATTCCCTTAAAGATAGATATGCTGTCTAACATCTGCTTGAGTTCAGGAATTAGGTATTTTGTTGTATGTTAAGGAATGACATGTTTGTTTTCAGGGCTTTTTAAAAAGTACCGTAAGATTTAGGACATGATCTTAGACTAATGAGGTTATCGGATGGTGACCGAGTCTGTGATGACATATATCTATGTCCCCTATATTTTGATATATTTGAAGAATGAGAACCTCCGGCTGAGTAAAGACAACCACCACAGCTACTCCCTCTCAGACGTGGCCATCAAGCCTAAAACCTCAGTGCAAGATGATGTCTTTTGGAACAAGTACCCAGTTGAAGATCAGCCTCCAAAGGTACCACTTCTTCTCAGTGATTATTTAATTCCCTTTCATATTAATCTGGATGACAGATAAAGAAAGTGAGGGAAAATGTCCAGTTCTGCTTTAGCTTCTGGGGCAGGGGGGAGGGGGGAGTACTATAGATATCTGGCATTCTCTTCTACTGATCCAGATCTCACCTTGTCCATGTCTATCCATTCTGGGCCACACTTGTCCATATCCTTCCACATGTCCAACCAACATGCTAGAGGCTTTCCTCTCTTTCTCTTGACATCGCTGAGGTATCATTGGAACACTCTGGATTCTGTATCTACAGTGATAATTTTTGTCTTTTTTTTAATATACCACATTATTTTACTAATAGAGCCCTCCCTTGTAACCATGAAAAAAATAGTTAAGCAAAACAACCTGTTTCCCATTTCTTAGCATTCAACACTTATGGTCTCCCTCCTCTACTGAAGAAGGAGGAAGTATCCATGAGAATTTCTTGAGGGTCCCTGTATGTTATACTGTGCTGGATGTTGTGCAACAAGTATAGAACCTCCAGTGTTGTTGGGAAGAGAAGATTTACACATGTATGTGACAATTCTACACAAAAGAACCAAGGATTCACATGTGGTCCAGACCCTGAGAGCTATGGGACATCAGTTAAAGGAGTGTTCCCTAAGGGTTAGGGCTAGTGGAGAAGGCTTTATGGATTCCCTGAATCACCTATTGTTGGAGCTGGAAGCCTCTTTAGAAAGCATGAAGCTGGGGCAGCTAGGTGGCACAATAGATAGAGCACTGGCCCTGAAGTCAGGAGGACCTGAGTTCCAATCCAGCCTCAGACCAAACACTTGACACTTACTAGCTGTGTGACCCTGGGCAAGTCACTTAACCCCAATTGCCTAAAAAAAAAGAAGAAAGAAAGCATGAAGCCCCTCCCGTTATAGGAGAGGACATTTCATGGAGGAGATGTGTCTTGTACCCACATTTCAAAAATAGGTAGGTTTTGAAAGAGAGGGATACAAAGAAGGGGAACAGGCATCCCAGAACGGAGGCACGGAGCAAAGAATGAGGGGAGAATGACCTGACATGAGCCAAGGATACCACAACAAATACTATTAGCTGAGATTAGAGGACCTGAAGGCCACCTGTGGCCTAGAATAGATGTGAAGGCCAATGCCCTGGGTTGGAGTGCTGGCTTTCCTTCTGTGTGAGCCTGAGGAACTTGATCCCCTCTGCAACCAAGTTTCATCCTCTTTAAAGTGAAAGAGTTTGATTAGAAGAGTCCTAAAGCCCCTTCCCCTGCTATGCTATCCCCTTCCTGGTGGGGGACTTTGGTCTTGGCCTAAGAGACAGTGCTGTATTATGAAAAGAACACTGAATGGGAAGCCAGCATCATGGACTCATAGCTCTAGAGCAGGAAGGGACCTCACACTTAACAGAAGAAGAAACTGGGGCCCAGGAAGGGGAAGGGACTTGCCCAAGATCACCCAGAGGATTCTGGCCCTAGAGCTGAAGAGACCTCCAAGGCCACTTAGTCTACCCCCCCCCCCCCATTTTAAATAGGAAGAAACAGGCCCAAGGAAGGGGGAAGTGACTTGTCCCAGGATACACAGGAAGTAATGGAGGTGAGATTTGAACCCAGATCCTCTCACTACAAATCCAGCCTTCTTTCCATTGTACTACTCTTCCTCTCATCTAATTTATAAAGTCTACGTGTACTTTAGTTTACCAGTCATCCTGAAATTAATGCCTCAGCTTCCCAATGGTAGAGAATTGCACTGAAATATTTGGTTATATCTTTAAGGTCCCAGAAAGAACGACCTCAAGATTCCGCAGCAAGGATATCATCAACCAGGCCCGCCGCCATCCAATGTAAGTACCTCTGCGCTCTGTGTTCAAGCCCATAGTGATTTATTTATGGCCCTTTGGAAAACTGAAGCCAGCCTCAGTGGTTCCAGACTCTCTCTGATTGAAGTCAAACCCAGAATGTTCGGAATGCCCCCAATCTTCTTTGGCCTGCATACCGTAACCACAGTTGAAATGATTTCTTTTGAAATTTTTTTGAAAATCTGTTTTACCCACATCTGAGGCAGCCAAATTTCCAAACTTGAGCTAGTTGACAGTTTGGCCCCAAAGCCTTCCCCTTTCACCATTGACCATGTGACTTGGAAGCCCAGGCTGACTCCCACGTCGCTTTGGTTTGCTGTGATTGGGGTTGGCCAGAATTAACCATTTTAAAGGTGACTGCAGTGACAGGGAGATACCTTGTACCAAACGTCCCCTCCATAGAGACACAGGTAGAGCTTCAGAGTGGATCGTTCGGCAAACAACACACATTCAACACACACAAAACATCCTCTCACATCAGGAATAAATGTCAGGGGAGACATAAAGGCAAAAATCAGGCCAAAAGCTCCAAGGAACATTCCAGGATTCAAGATGATATCTTGGGTCCTGATATCTTGGTATTTCTGGGTCTTTTTTATGGGGGTGCTTCATTTTTTTCTCCCGGGCTACCTTTCTTTGCAGCACTTTTGGCACTATATACTTCACTGTACGCACCAAGCAAGGTCTGTCTGGTCTGCCATGAAGAGCACAGTGTTCTTACTAAAAGACAAATTCTCCCATTGGATGATTAGTCTTAGAGTCATAGATCCCCTTCTGGAAAGGGACCAGTCATACAGGGCAGAAGCTATACAGAGCCTAGGGGAGGGAAGCCAGCAAAAAACCCAACTTTACACACCAAGAGGTGCCTAGTGCTCCAGTCTACCAAAGCCCACATCCCAGGAGCCTTTCAGGAGAGAACTCCTCTATTCAGTTCAATCTCATTCAATGGGGACACATTTACTGAGTGTCTACTGTGTGCTAGGCTAGAGAGCCAGAGCCCCAGTTTACCCTTGTCTCTGTTCTCAAGGAGTCTCCAATCTAGGGAAGACACAAGTAACTACTGCAAAATCCAACTGGAAGGGGCCAAAGGAGAAACCGGCACAGAATCCTATGAGAAAACCAAAGAGAGAACCCTTAGGGCATTTAAAATAGTATCCAGTTTACAGAAGTTATTACACAAATAACTTTTCAGGAAACCAGCTATTGCACAAAGTGAGATTATGAATAGAAGTTTCCGGAAAACCAGCACATGGGCTTCTGGTACGTGCAAGGTCTACATGAGACAATTGCTATCCCTACAGCAAAGGAGACCTTGAACTGCTGGGCAGCTTGGAAGCACTGGCCTGTCCTAGTAATTCTTCAGTGTCTTTGATCTTATAGATGTGGGAGGGAGCTGGTGGCACAGTGGAGAACACTGTGACCTTGGAGTCAGGAAGACTGGAATTCCAAACCCTGCCTTAAACACTTAATAGGTGTGTGACCCTGGGCCAGTCACTTAACCTCTCTCTGCCTCAGTTTCCTCATCTGTAAAATGGGAATGATAGCACCCACCTCACAGGGTTGTTGTGGGGATTAAAGTGCTTTGCAAGCTACAAAGCACTATGTAAATGCTAGCTCTTAATATGTGAGTACTCCCTTCAAAAAAATAAAGAAGCCCTTTAAGGTTTGCAAAATACTTTCCATTGATTATTTTGGAAAATTCTTAGAATAAACATGAGATGTGGAAACTATAGGTAATAATATCCTTTTTTGACAGATGAGGAAACTGAGAGATTATGGGATTTGCCAGTGATTGTAGGGAAAGCGCTAGAGGCAACTTTTCCCAAATCTGGGTCCAAGCTCTATCCACTAGGCCCTACTACCTCTCCGCTGCTAGAGGGATCATTCTCTCTTTAGTAACTCTATTTGCTTTTTTGTTTTGGAGGGGTGGAGCAGAGCTCTGAATTCATTTGTATAGGAATTTCCCAGTGTGAAAACTCCTTCTACTAAAACAACTGAAGTTTTATAGTAGAAGAGGGTTGCCTGGGACATGTAAAAATTGTGAAGATTCAGGGTCACACATAGTAGCATTAGCCAGAGGCAAGGCTTAAACTGAGATCATCCTGACACCAAGGCCAACCTTGCATCTTGTTGGGCCACTGTCCCTAGATCCTAAACTATATTTCCTTAAGAGGGGTTAACCTATAAAGTCAGGACCAAAAAAAAATCTTTCTTATGTTACTTGTCATTCACTTGTTCATTCGATATGATATTAAGCACTATTACCTAGGTAATCAAATTGTTTAAATATTATATTCAGAGAAATGATATAGGGCTTTCTAGAACTAAATACATTTGTAAGCTATGGGGGGTAAGCTATAACTAGTCACCTTTTCCCATAGCCACAAAATCAAGAAACTCTCAATTCTAAGTAAGATGAAATATTTGGGACAAAATCTGAAATTTAAGAATGTTACCTTGGATTGAGAATGTAAGCCAGTATTCTTTTTAGTGATATATCCATGATCTATACACACACACACACATGCACACGCACACACACACATCTGCATATATGCACAAGCTGACACATGTGCTTCACCCCCATGGACACATGTGCTTCACCCCCATGAACACATACACTCACCTTTCTCAATCTGTGATCAATCTGTGAAAGCTGGTCCTTGGTGTATAACTTAAATTGTGCGTTTTCCCTTTTCGAATGCCAGCGAGTGGTAAGTGATTTTCTGTCTTTTCAGTGGTTCCCAGCAGCCATCCTTTGGGGGACGGGCTCAGAAGCCAAAAAGTAGCAGTAAATTCACTGGCAACAGACAGTGGGCGATGGAATGTCGTCTGACCAACAGAGCAACATCAGGTGAATCCTTACAGCCAATCTTTCCCAGTCACAAAGCATAGCTAATGTCTAACAGCCCGTGTTCAGTCAACACAAGTGAGACTGGTTCACTAAAAGTACTAAACCTCCTTTGTATTTCAGCAGATGCCCAGTGAGTGGGAAACCATTCTCCTGCCATAGTCTCGTTTCCTGGGATGTTTTCCTTCCAACAGTTCATACCTGAGTAATATTGCTGTTGGAGGTGATGGGAGGCTTTCAGTGTCTCAGTTGGACCTGGCAACTTTTAGGGAATAGATATCTTGGCCATAAATGAAACTGTCTAAACAGCTCCTCTGAAGCTTGGGGGAAGCTATGGAAAGAGGAGTCCCCACTTTCACTCTCTTACCCCCATTCCTCCACTCCACCCCTAGCACAAGAAATGAGGATGCATCCTTGGTGGTAGTCAGCTTGGAAGGGTGGTAAAGCCTAGGCCAGGTTTTGTTGGCAACCCCAGCCTTTGACTTTGTCCCTATGTCCTGTGACTTTTACAATAATAAACAACAAATAAAATCATAATAAGGTAGCTTGGCTTAGTGGATTGAGAGCTGGCCTTGGAATCAGGAAGACCTGGGTTCAAGTACTCTCCCTGACACGTGTGACCCTGGGCAAGTCACTTAAATGCTCAGTGTCCCAGGCAATTCTCTAAAACTGTAAGTTGAAGAGAAGGTACCAACCTATATTGGTAGAGGGAGCACCTCATCAGGGGCTTCCTACACCAATAAAATCACAAATCCAGTATAATAATAATAATAATCATAATAACTATAAAAAGCAGTTATTTTATCCACCTGTGCAATAAGCTGCGGGAAACGAAATATGAAAGAATAAAACCAGGATAGTGACTTGTCTCAGAACTATTCGAACCATTGAAAAAGTTGAGACAAACATGATTACAAAAAGAATAATAAATCCCATTGCAAAGTATGAAAACCCAAGACAATAATGATAAACTTGCATTTCTAGAGTGTTTAAGGGCTGCAAAGTGTTTTCCTCAGAGCTACCCTCTGGTATCATTATTATCCACCTGTTACCAGAGAAAGAAACTGAGGCTCAGAGCAAGATTTGTCTAAGGTGGCACAGTTTGGAAGGAACAAAGCCAGGTCCTAAGCCCAGGCCCTCTGCCTATAGATAGCTTCAGCATTTTTTCTCCATTCGAAACCAGTTTGGGACTTCTACCAGCCTCCTATAGGAGAGGTTTTTCAGGATAGCTGGTACTGGTTTTCTATACTCCTATGGAAAGAATCCCCTTTTCTTCAGGTCACTACCAACCCAAGGTTCTGTCCTCCACAGCATACCTAAAAAAGTATCTACCCTGCTGCAGCATTTTCTCCTGAGTGTCAGTTAGGATAGGGCTTAGAGGTGACTTCCCTGTTTGTTTCTTAGCTCAGATCAGAGCAATGGGCACTATCTTCTAGATTTTCTATACAATATCCACCATATGAATGCATAAGAATATGTGGATAACTAGCTAGATTTTTTTTTCAATTTTCATTCCAATATGTAAATACAGCTAACATGATATGGATAAATAAAAGAGGGTTTTGTTGCTGTTGTTGTTATTTTGAAGGCTGTTGGGGTTAAGTGACTTGCCAGGGTCACAAAGCTAGTAAGTGTCTGAGGTCGGATTTGAACCCAGGTCCTTTTGACTCCAGGGCTGGTGCTCTATCCACTGCAGTGCCACCTTGTGGCCTCGAGGTTTTTCTTTTTTTGTTTGTTTTGTTTTGTTTTGTTTTTGAGAGGTAGCATGGCTTAGAGGAGAGAGAGCCAGCCTTGACGTCAGGAAGCTCAGGTTCAAATCCCACCTCTGACACATACTGGCTGTGTGACCATAGACAAGTCACTTAACCACTCAGTAACCGTGGCAACTCTCTAAGACTAGAAGCTGCAGGGCAGATGCCCATCTGCTTCGGTAGAAGGCATTTCTTCCTTTGGAAGTTCCCTATGCCAATGAAAGCACAGGTCCAACTTTAAAGAACAGTAACTTACTTATTAATCCTTGCCTGGCCATAACTGGCTACTTGAAGCACATTTAGATTGTTTAATTGTAAATCTGAAAAACTATTGCCATTATCTTCAATTTACAGATAGCAGCAGAAATAAGCAACTGTTAACGCCCATTAGCTCATTTTTTTCATTATGCGCTATTCATTTATTACTAACCTAATGAAATCCTATACCTGAATAGTTGCCACACATAAATATTTCTGCCCTGTATCTGTACTGTACTGGAATGAACTGAATAAACACAAGGTGGGGAAATGAGCCTTTTAATTGAGCAACCAGTGAAAAGATTCCAGTAGAAGTCAGTATAGCACGCACTGAAGCATTTTGAAGATGAGATCAGAAATCCAATTTTGAAATGCAGGCTGGGGGGCCTCTAACAAGACTGTGGTTACTAGGAAAATTGAAGGGCATTTGCATAAGACTGTTGTATAATTGCAAATCTTTTCCTTTCCCTAAACAAATCTTTTAAGTATAGAATAATAAAGGAAATAACGGTTTCAGAGCTGAGATGACCATTACCCAAGCCTGATTGTAGATGCTATCAGTGGAATGACGGCTATTTCCAAGGGCTATTCCAACTGCAGCTTCCATCCAGGCCTATCAGTGGGGTCTGGGTCTGTTTGCCTGGTCATTCAGCCAATTAGCACGTGTTTCTTAAATGTGTGAGATACTGGAGATACAGAGACAAAAATAAGACAGTCTCTACCCTCAAGGAGCTTATCTTCTATCCATCAGCTGAAACAACCAAGGTTTCTGGATGGTCGTGTAGACACCAACTGCTGACTAGTTTGCCTAGACCTGTAGCACTTCTCATGGCCCTTGAGCGATTAACCACGGGCTCTGTGGTATTAGGAACTTTCTTGGGGGGAAAGTCAAAGCTACTTCTCTCACATTGGCAATTTCTCAAAATGCACCCTGGGGGCCACTCTCTAGTAGTAAGGGGTTAAATAAGATCACTCAGTTACAGGCCTGCCTCTCTCCTAGCTCTCAACTAGAGCTTAGAGGTGGTAATGGTGTAGGAGAGGAAAAGAAAGCTGATAGGCCTCAGGAGCAATCTCAAAGAAGTGAGAATGAAAAAAAAAGATCAGGTTTCCCATAAACACATGTCCAATGGTTGATGTAAACTCTTGCAAACAGAGAGTGGATTCTGCCTCTCAGCTTCTATACTAATTGAAAGAAAAACATGGGAAGTAGGCCTATGGCCCTCCAAAAGGCTAAATCCTACAAGTGTTTGGGTTTTTTAGGAATGATAATAATAATAATAATAATATCACCATGCCAAATACTCATACTCTCCAAACTACTTAGAATGAAAAGCTTTCAAAATATAGATACCTAGTGAAATTAAAACCTTGTGGGAACAGGATGAGGTATATATCATCTCCATCATCCTGTCTGCTACTAGAATTGTCCCAAAGATGCTTTTAGTGAGTATACAAAAGATGAGCCTGGGGGCAGCTAGGTGGCGAAGTGGATAGAGCACCGGCCCTGGAGTCAGGAGTACCTGAGTTCAAATCCAGCCTCAGACACATAACACTTACTAGCTGTGTGACCTTGGGCAAGTCACTTAACCCCATTGCCTACCAAAAAAAAAAGATGAGCCTGAACCCCAATACTCTTATTCAATTACAAAAAGCAGGTAGTTGACCCACCTGCAAAATAGTTCCTAGAACATTAAATATAAAAGATTAATAGTATGGGAACTATTTCTTGGACCATTTCTTTCTGAACTCCATTAAAAAAGATAAGAATGAGATAACAATCCTTTCATAGAGTAATCATGGCAAACCACATACAGCATCTTATAAACATCCCCAAAGGCTATACATTGATACAGTCACATAGGGCCCATAAGTAAATGAATACAGAAAATACCTTTCATAACTTGTGGCATGAATTTCAAATTCTGATATGAATTTGAGATATGTGCTTTAGAGAATGACTTGGAAATCATTAGGAGTTTACAGAATGCCTAGGAGAAAAGAAATAGAAAGACCATCCCTACAATGCCAAAGAGAAGGTTGAAGGATGGTCTGATGAGTATGGAACTTGTTTGCATAGTCCAGATGAATTACAAAGGTAAATGTTTGCTTCAGTTTAATTTAGTAATTAATTAAGCACCTGCTATGTGCCAGGCACTCTCTTAGGGGCTGGGAAGAGAACCAGTCCCTGTCCTCAAAGAGGAACATAGATAAGTAAATATAAAATGTATACACAATAAATACATGTATAATAGCACTTTAAGGTTTGCAAAGTTCTTTACAAATATTTGATTTATAACCTCGCAACAACCCTGTGAAGTAGGGTTATCCCTATTGTACAGATGAGGAAACAAGCAGACAGGTTAAGTGACTTGTCCAGGGTCATATTACTACTGTCTCATACCAGATTTGAATTCCAGTCTTCCTGATTCCAAGTCCAGAGTGCCACCTAGCTGCCTTATGTAGGAGATGATGCTTGAGCTTGGCCTTTAAGGGATCTTATGATTCCAAGAGGTAAAGGTGAGGAAAGAGAGCATTCTAGACATGGGCACAGTCTCTGTAAAGGCCTAGAGACTAGAAATGAAATGTCATGTACAGAGAATGGCCAGTAGACTTGTGTGGTTGGAATGTAAAATATGTGAGGAGTGTTAGGGGGCTGTACTTTGTAATCGATCTGGAAAGATAAATTGGAACCAAATGAAGGGCTTTAAATGCAAATAGGAATTTATATTTAATCTTAGAGTCAATGGGGCAGCTAGGTGGCACTGCAGTAGATGGAGTGCCAGGCCTGGAGTCAGGAAGACCCCAGACACTTACTAGCTATGTGACCCTGGGCAAGTCACTTCACTCCGTTCACCTCAGTTTTCTCATCTGTAAAATGAGCTGGAGAAGGAAATGGCAAACCACTCCAGCATCTCTACCAAGAAAACCCCAAAAGGGGGTCATAAAGAGTCAGACACGACTGAACAACAACTTAGAGTCAATAGGGAGCCACTAAACTTTTTGAGCAGGGAGTGACATGGACAGGCCTGTGCTTTATAAATATCACTTTTGCAGCTTTATGTGAAGATCCCTCTGCAGGGGAGAGACAAGAGGCAGGGAAACCAATTAGAAGGCTGTCAAAATAGTCTAGGTGACAGGAGATGAGGTCCTGAATTAGGGTGGTTACTATGATCTGAATGGAGAAATTTGAGAGCTAGTGTGCAGATAGAATCAACAAAACCTGGCAACTTGTTAGATAGATATGTGGAATATATGAGAGAGGAGAATCAGGGATAACTCCCAGGTTGTAGAACTTCCATGACTGGAAGAATGGTGTGGCCCTTGGCAGGAAGTGAGAGTCAAGAAAAGGGGAAAAAATGATGAGTTCTGTTGGTTTGTGAATTTTCTGTTGAGTTTATGATGCCTATAATACATCCAAATGACAAGGCTGAGAAAACAGTTGAATATGTGGAATTAGAGTTTGGAAGAGAGAGGAAGGCTGGGTGTGTAGATCTGGGAACCATTTGCATAGAAATGATTTTCAACCCATGGAAGCTAATTGTCACAATTAGCATGTAAAAGTCAAAGAGAAGAGAGCCCAGGACAGAACCCTGGGGCACACCCAGAGTGAGGTGAGATATAGATGGTGACCAAGGAAGGTATGAGAACCAGAAGAGATAAATGTCACAAAAACCCAAAGAGAGAGTCTCCAGAAAGAGGATGTGGTCAACAGTATCAAAAACTGATTGCAGAGAAATTGATCAAGATGAGAATTGAGAGAAAGCCATTGGATTTATCATTGGAAGATCAGCTTGTAGTGCTTTTGGAGAGAACAATTCCAATAGGGTGGTGGCGATAGAACCCAGATCTCAAGAGGCTGAGGCTGAGAAGTGAGTGGGATGAGAGAAAGCAGAGTCAAGAGAGTATTTTGTAGGTGTTTCACAGGTGTTGGCTGTGAAAGATGAAAAATATGGAAAGATAACTTGAGGGGATGATAGAGTCTGATCCAGTCCCAAAGTCAATGTACCAAACATATATTATGTGGCTTTTTTATTATTCCAAAATAGGGAAAAAAAGAGTCAAGCTTCACCTTAAATATATGTGCATATATATATATGTATATATATGTGTATATATGTATATATATATACACACACACACAAATGTACATGCATACATATATATTTCCAAAATTACAGATAAATAATGATCTGAATATACATCAAATAATAGACTGTCGTAACTAGAGGAAACATTACTAAAGAAACTATTAGAAGAATCATTGAGATCTAGCATCCTAAATTGATAGGTGAAGATTCTCATTACAAAAAATATAGATGTCATATGTATGTGTGTGTGTAAAATTTACAAGGATTCATTGAAGATAATAACATTCCTTTAAATAGCAAATCTCTTTATTAAATTTAAAATCAAATTAAATTTAGAAATATTTTGTTCAACCAAAACTTTTCGGGACCTAAGGAAGACAGTATGATCCCGATAGAAAGACCATATCAGAAGACTTTAGTTCGAACCCCACTTCTGCTACTTCCTTCCCATGTGACCCTGGGCTAATTACTTCATCTCCCTGGGCCTCAGTTTCCTCTTGCATAAAATGAAGAGGTTGGACTAGATGACCTCAGATGTACCTTCAGTTTCCAGACAAGGAGTTCTTAACAAGCGACAAGGAGTTCTTTTTGACTCATGGATCCCTTGATGAAGCCAATTCTCTCTTCTCAGAATCATGCTTATAAATGTAATAACTAAATTACGTTAAGATTAAAAAGGAAACCAATTACATCAAAATACAACTATCTGTTTATCTATCTATCTATCTACCTACCTATATACCAAGTTCATGAACCCCAGGTTAAGACCTCCTGCTCTAGACCCGTAACTTTGTAATCCATTTTCCAAGATCCTTATTTGGTTTGTAAAATAAGGTACCCCGGGATGCTAAGTGGAAAGTAACCTGTTTCCTTTCATCCAGGCATCTCATTGTCCTTCCACCCAGCAATTTAGTGCAAATATCTGCCCCACCGAAGTTTTGTTTTTATTTTCTAGACATGTAACCACCACTAGGGAGTGTGGTCACTCTTTCAGGGTACTGGTTTTGTCTCTGGAGTCAAAACCCAAATGAGCAGCTCCTACCGCCCAAGGTCAAGGTCATACTGCAAATGCAACCTCCCCCTACACACACACACACACACACACACACACACACACACACACACACACCCATCTTGAATCTTCTTCCTTCTTTTTCCAACACAGCTGGGAGGCTCTTTCTAACAGGGATTTCGAATGACCATAGGCAACTGCTTCTAGGGTAAATGTTGGGTGTAATTCAATTCTATCCTTCATGCTTTCCCACAGTGCTCAAAGGTGGTAAGAAAGTGCAGAGGAAAAACTAGGCTGGGGTTGAGGAGGGGAGAGGAAGGGATGCATAGGAAAATACCATATTAGCTGCTGGCTGTGTGTCTGTGGGTGTGGACAGACTGGATAATTCCTTGCCTCTCTCCTGCATTCTGTGGGCTTCATAGACCAGGAGCTTCCCCTGGGACTGCGTGCTTCCTCGTGCAGGAAATCAGAGAAACTTGCTACAAATTTGCCTTCCAACCTCAGGCACTAACCCAAACCTCTTCCTTGGGCCGAGGCCACACCAAGGGACTTGGGGGAAAATGAGCCGTTCCCAGCAGAGGACAAAAGGGGCAGCAAGCAAGCCAGGAGCCTCCAGCTACCCGCCTGAGGAGGGGATGGATTTGTTGGAAACTGGCCCCTCTGCAAACCACCTGTACCTTGGGGCAGCAAAGTGGCCATCTGGCCACAGATTTCCAAGCACTCTATTCTACGTCTGCAAAACAACAACAACCAAAGGGACGTGCTATTCATTTCCAAAATTCAAATGCACCAGGGGCCTACCCTGGCCTCTGCTTGACCTCTTTTCCAAGTAGAAGAGGAGAGACAAGGCTCTCAACAGACTTTAAAACTCGTTCTCATTGAGGGTTTAACAACAGGTGGGCCCCACTTTATGAAAAAACTAGAGCAAGAAAATCCTAACTTACAAAGCAGAAATTCCTATCATAGATTCAAGATTATAAGAAAAAAAGATGATCTGAAAAAAAAATTACCCCGTGGTTCTTTTTAATGGTTAGTTCTCCATGTATTAAAGGAGGTGGGGTGTGCAAAGAAGTGGGGAGGGTTCTTGGCAGTTCATTCTAAGGGAGCTAGGTGGCACAGGGTCTTAAGTCAGGAAGATGTTGTTTTGTTATTTCAGTCGTGTCTGACTCTTCATGACACCATCTGAGTTGTGTTGTTTTGTTTTGTTTTTGGCAGAGATACTGGAGTGGTTTGCCATTTCCTTCTCCAGCTCATTTTACAGATGAGGAAATTGAGGCAAACAGGGTTAAGTGACTTGCCCAGGGTCACACAGCTAGTGTCTGAAGCTAGATTTGAACTCAAAAAGATGAGTCTTCCTGACTCCAGGCCCAGCATTCTATCGATTGCGACACCTAGCTGTCCTGGAGTCAGGAAAACTTGAGTTCAAATTCAATTTCAGACACTTACTAGCTGTGTGACCCTGGGCATGCCACTTAATCGCTGTTTGCCTCAGTTTCTTCATCTCTAAAGTGGGAGTAATAATAGCACCTACCTGTTCCATCAGATGAGTTAACAGATAAAACACTTTGCAAACTTTAAAGTCCTAAGTAATTGCTGGCTGCTGTTGTTGTTGTTATTGTTATTAACAGCTGACAGGGAACAGAAAGTGCCTTAGAAACTTTAGAAGCCCCTGTCATTTGAGGATGGATCAGAATTTAACTTAAAACAATTCTAAAAGTAGAATGTAAGACTATGGTAAAATGATTCATTTTCCAAAACGTGCCTTTCCCTAAGTATTTCTCAGGTCTTGGCCTCTAGCATAAAGTGAGGTCCTATTTTGCATAAATTGTCCTGTCTCTAATACAGTTGATTGCTTGCATAGTGATTTACTTTTTTTTTTCTTTCTCATTTTATAGTTCTTTTCACTAGTGCAGACTTGACCTGGGGCAGACCAGATTGGGGAGGATATATGCAAGAAATTTGTTCCTTGCCCTACTCCTACTAAGCCCTCCCTCTCTGGGGTAGTGGATTAGGGTGAGAGAGAGACTAGCACCAGTAAACCCAAACCCAGGAGGTCCTCTCAGCCCCACATGTTCTCTAAACCTCCATTTCCTTGCTGCAAAACAACTTGATGCCCTGTTAGGCTAGAAAGCAGCTTTCCCAGAGTCAAATCTATTCCACGACAAAGGACTGGACACCTAGTCAAGTGCTCCTGAGTGCCAATTTATCTTACATCATGGTAGTTCACAAAACCACAGTAAAACATTCAATTGTTTGTGAATAAGAAGACCAGGTAGAGGCTGTCTAAAATTGAAACTGTCCCAGCCAAAGTAGGGCATCCAATCACCCTAGATTAGGTCTTTCTTCTTACCCACTTAGCAGCAACTATTTCTGGGTTCTGTCAGGTGCTTGGGATTTCTTGGGAGGAGGGAGAGGCAAAAGTCGAAAGCTACTGCTTTATTGGATCCCTCTGTTTCTTCCTGCTCAGTGGTCTGAGAGAGGACCTGCACACCTACCTTCTCAGGCAGCAGGAAGTAGTCATTGCAGAGGGGTTCACTGCTGCTGCCAGCCCCTGAGAACGTAGCCTGGTGGCATGTCCTGAGTGCTTTTCAGAGGGAATCAAAGCAACACTCTTGTCCTGTAGGGATGCTTTGGGGATATTGAATGGGTGCAAAGGAAATTGGTATCAACACTGTCACTAATGCTATTTTGGGCAATTCACAGGATCTTCTAGGCCTGAACTTCCCCTGACCAGGGCCCTGGAGCCACTGTACAAAAATGGCGAAAGTGCCCCTCCACCAGTACAAATCATAGTAAGTTTTCTTTTCCTTCGTTTCTTGATTGATTTTTACCTGCTGTCATTGTCATTGTGGTTAATTCACTACTTCCATGGTTTGTGATTTCATTGTCCCGTTTACTCCATTTGCCAGCTCCGGTTATAGCATCCTCCCACCCCCATAATTTAGGAGATGGATATCACTAGTGGACATGGCTAAAAAGGTACATTGCTGTGTAGGTAGTCTGATGATGAGCACTCTTAGGTGTGTAGAAGAGACGTAGTCCATTTCCAGGCCTGTACTTTCCAGCCTATTAGAGTGAAAGCCTCCACTGATATAACCTTTGAAAATCCAAAGTCACCTTACTGCATGTTTAACCTTGGATCAGTCAACTTACTTCTTGAGGTGGGCCTCAGTTTCCTCCTCTGTCCAGCCTGTGAGGTTTCTTCCAGCTTGAGTTGTGTAATTGTTCAATCCTGTGACTTAAGTACAAACCTCACATTGTGACACTACTTATATAACCCTGAGCAATTCACTTAACCTCCCTGGGCCTCAATTTCCTCCTCCATTTAGTGAGATGGGTCAACTTGATGGTTTCTAAGGTCCCTTCCAGCTCTAGATTTATGATCCTCTGTGAAATTTCACAGCAAGGAAGACAGCATATGAAATCAGGATTTGAATCCTGACTTTCCTGCTTGCTAGCTGTATGACTTTGTCTAAGTCCTTCTCTCTGGACCTCAGTTTCCTCTTCTGTAAAATGACCCAAGTTGGACCATATACTCTTTTCCTACTCAAAATTCTATGATCCTATGAATCACTGAAACCTCAGAGTTGAAAGACACACCCAAAGCCATAGGGTAGGATCCAAAGACACTTAAATAGGAATCCCCTCTATGTAATCCCAACAAGTGGTTATCCAGCCTTCACTTGAAAACTTCTAGCAGAACGGAGCTAGCTCACCAGATCCCAAGGCAACCTACTTTTGCAAAGCTCAAATGGTTGGAAAATTCTTCCTTTCATTGAGCCAAAATCTATTTCTCTCATGCTTCCCCCCTTTTCTCCTAGTTCTTCCTTCTGGGGCCAACCAATCAATCGATCCCCCAACATTCATTAATCTCTACTGCATGCCAGACACTCCATTAAGTGTAATGAAGAAATATAAATTGAATCCCCCTTCCCCATAACAACCCTATGAAAAAGATATTAACTTTATTTTTTTTCAGAAGAGGAAACTGAGGCCCAGAGAGATTATGGCTTGTCTGAGATCACACAGCTGCTAAGGAGCAGAGCAGAGACTTTCCTCTCCCCACTATACCATACTGCCACCTCCCTGGCAGCAGTCAGCAATGAAAGAACCTTGTTTATTCAAAGAGCATAAATTCTTTAAAAAAGATTACTTATTGCTGGGTTACTCTAGGAGATGAAAGATTTACAATTAAAACTGAAATGGAAAAAAAGATTTCATAAGCCCATCCAAGGTTAGAGCCAGAAAGAACCTTAAAGATGATCATATCTCAGCCCCTCATTTTGTTTTGCTTTCCATATTCTTCTGTTCAATAGAAAATATTTGTGGGTAAAGATGGATCACTTTGTTATTAGAAGCCAACCCTCAGATACTTCCTAGGTTAACCTCAAAGACTAGAGCAGTAAAAGTTAGATACTTACAAACCATTAAAGGGACCTTTACTTCTATAAATCCAAGGTTATCCGATCTTTGGAGAGTTGTGACACCCTATTATTTTGGGTTTGTTTTTGCAACAGCCTCTCCTGAGCCCAGAAAGTGCAGTGGGGCATGTATTTATTTTTCAACCTGAAGGGATTTTTTGGGGGGAGAACTTTTTTGAGGTATTCAGGATACCCCTTCATGTCACTGGATGCATCCTGCAATGTGGCAAAACTAGAGAGGGGAAATCTCTGAGAGAGACAGTCATTCCTGGACCTCAGATGAAGGTTTTGACTTCACCTCGTCTGGGAGCCAAACAGAAAGTCAAATGGGGATGTGTAGAAGACCCCACCCAAAGTGCCTAGTTAGCTGTGTCAGTCCAGACGAATCATCATGATTCACTTCAGTGACAAAGACCGGTTGGAAGGTGCCTTAGATCGAGAGTTTAAAGGAAAGTTAGAAGTCATCTGGTCATCAGACTCCAGATCTAGAGCTTGATGGGATCTCAGGGACTATCTAGTCTGACCCCTTCATTTTACAAAGGAGGAAACTGAGGCCCAGGGAGGGGGAGGGACTTGCTCAAGGTCACCTATTGGATCCTAGCTCTAGAGCTGGAAGGGACCTCAGAGACTATCTAGTCTGACCCCTTCATTTTACAAAGAAGGAAACTGAGGCCCAGGGAGGGGGAGGGACTTGCCCAAAGCATCTTGGTGAGTCAGTGGCAGAGCTGGGACTAATATCTTGCCCTCCATCCAGTTCTCCTTCCATTATATCCTATTGCTTCCCATCTGCTTGACACTCTGGTGTACCCTGTGCAGACAGCCTTCCTTTCCAGGAGGGCTACAGGGGACAAAATGACTGAATAAATGATGGCTCCCCCCACTTGGGGCCACGTAAACTTGCCTTAACATTTGTGTTTGGGTGTTTCATCCTCGGTCAAATATTGACTCTGTCCAGGGAGGTGGAATTTACATTTGAGTGGGAAATATTTGGAATGGGCTTTTTAAGCCTGTACAGTCTTTCCTACCCTGAAGCAAAGAGCGACTTCAGTGATTTTCCTTGTTCTCACAGGCTCCTGGTTTCCTTAGGGGAAGAGATAATATCAAACTGTTCTTAAAAGCCTCTGAATTTTCATCCTCCAGTGATGAGATTGTTAGCAGCGATGAGGAAGAATACTATTACTCAAGGTTGGTTCTTTTGCTTTCCAATATTATCTGCATCTTAACAGGAGAAGACAAACAGAAGTAGAGACTAACCGACTGGCCAGTGATGCACTAAGGGAAGCTATGAGCTCTGCTCATTGTATATGACTTGTGCACATTTGCAGTTTGACTCTAGATTTCGGATGTGTGCCTCTTCTCTCTCTTCTGACAGTATTGGCATTGGCCCACATGAATACATGTATTCAGGATGTCCTAGGATGTCCTCAGTCAGAATAATTCCATTACAAATAGCCTTGAACTACTCTGCTCAGTAAAGTCATTATGAATACTTTTAAGGGCCACATTTTATGAGGCATTCTGGGAAGCTAAAATGCAGGAAGGCAACCAGCATAGGGAGGGGATCATTTTGATGGAGTTGGGACTGTTTAGCCTGAAGAGAGAAGAGCTAGGAGGGACAAATATAAGAGTTTAGAGTTGGGATGTACCTTAGAGGTTCTCTAAGAGAAATCCCCCAAAGGAGGTATGACTTGTCTGAAGTTAGATGCTACTAGCAAGTCACGGAGCTGAAATGGGAATCCAGATTTTCTGACTCAGCATTCAGTGCTCTTTTCATACCACTGTTCCCCACAACTGTCCTCAAATATTTGAAGGGCTGTCATGAAAAGGAATAAGGCATTATCATTTGCATAAGAGGACCGAACCAGGAACAAAGAGTGAAAATGACAGGAAATCAGGTTTCAGCTCTCAATATAAAGACCAAATTCCTAGCGATCAGAATTGGCTAAATAGGCATATTCTATTTTAGTAGATGGGAAGTTTTCTGTCATTTGAAGTATTCAAGTAGTGCCTATAAATGCCCAGGTCTACATCAGACAGGTGGTCGAGCTACCTCAACTCTACACTTTCTTCTGTGGTCATACTATGATAAATTGTTTACCTTACATTGGGTGTGTATTTACTCAAATTAATGCTCAGGGCCCATTTTTTTCTATGTGAGAATCTTTCCCCACAAGCAACCAATATTAAACACATGGTATACATTATAGTATTTAAAAAGAGACAGGAGGGCAGCTAGGTGGCGCAGTGGATAGAGCACTGGCCCTGAAGTCAGGAGGACCCGAGTTCAAATCCAGCCTCAGACCAAACACTTGACACTTACTAGCTGTGTGACCCTGGGCAAGTCACTTAACCCCAATTGCCTCACCAAAAAAAGCAAAAAAAAAAAAATAAGAGGCAGGTAGGTAGCTCAGTGGATAGAGCACCATCCCTGGAGTCAGGAAGACCTGAGTTCAAATCCAGCCTCAGACGCTTACTAGCTGTGTGACCCTGGGGAAGTCACCCAACGCTGTTGCCTTAACCACTTAACCCTGTTGCCTTAATCCACTGGAAAAGGAAATGGCAAACCACTCGAGTATCTTTATGAAAAAAACCACATGGACAGCATTGGTGTGCTATGGTCCATGGGTCACAAAGAGTGAGACCCAACTGAATGACTGAATAGTGATTGAAAAAGAACAATTTATTTAAAATAATGTAGGGGTGGGGCAGCTAGGTGGCACAGTGGATAGAGCCCTGGATTCAGGAGGACCTGAGTTCAAATCCGGCCTCAGACACATTAAAAAAAAAAAACAACCAAAAAAAACCCCCACTTACTAGCTGTGTGACCCTGGGTAAGTCACTTAATTCCATTGCCTAGTCAAAAATAAAATAAAATAATGTAGGGGGAGTTGTTGATCATAACTCTTTTTTTTTGTTGATCTTAATTCTTAACAGTCTCTTAACAATGTGATCAGTTCCCCAGTTCAGCTTGATAAGATTACAGGGCATGAGTGCTTATTCAAAGGCGTCTGAGGGACACCTTTCCCAAAAGTTAGGCATGCCCACTGGCATCTTGCTAGGACACAGGGGACTCAAGATGATCAAATGATAGGATCTCAAAATGATGAACTCTTGTTAGAGGAGTCACACTTCTCTAAGGCAAGCTGACAAAGCTGAGCTCACTCCCTATGTCTTGAGTTCTCTTCAAGACTCTCTCTTTGCTTTTTCCCTTGTACCTGCCTCCAGAGTATAGCAGGGGTCCAGCAGAGTATAATATGGTGTGGGTTTTTCCCTTCCACCCCTCCCCCCAACTCCACAGATACTAGTTAATGGTCACTTGCAGCAGAAGCACATGGCACACTACCTGCATTTGCTCAGGTGACTTGAGAAGAGAGTTCCCAGTTTCCCTCTGGCTTCTGTTTGCTATTCTGAACACAAACCGGAAACCAGAGATCTGAAAGTAGACTTTCCCTGCCTAAGACATGACAGCAGAAGCATACCAACAGGTATTTTCCTCTTCACATGAGCCCTCTCTACAGGAGCCACCATCCAGCTCTCACAATCCATCTCTAAATGATGGATGATCTGTTTTCCCCCTAGCTAACACGGAGTCCAACCAATGAGCAATAGGTAACTGCAGTATATTATCCTTGCAGGGCCCTGTCTATTTTCTGGGACCATTTTTTCTCAATTGGCAGATTGCCCAATCTTTCAGCTGCTTGATATGGGGTACCTTTTCTTGCACAAGCACAGCCAGCCAGGAACCTTAACTTCTATCTTTGCCACAGGATTGGGGAACAAGTATTTCTCCAGTTATAGCTTCCTTGCCAGGAACCATTTTGACCAAGGTTGAGATTTGGAGAGCAAGCTACTCGAGGCAGTATTCACTGGGGCAGGAATCATTAAGTCTAAAACTGCACCTTACCTACCATCCTTAAGGAGACCCATACCCTGAGTATGGTAATCACATGCTCCCAAACATGATGGAATGAGTCCCTGAGGTCTGAGCAGAAGGCGCAGTAGAAGAAAAATGGGGCATTTTTAGTGTACGAGTACTAGCAAGATTGGCCCTACCAACTTTATTCCACATCCTCCCTATCCTGATGTTTGTATAAGAGCCACTTTTACCTGCTAATTTGTACTCAGAAGTCTTAGAAGACTTGGGGATGGAGAAGACGTGGCAGCTCACAACCTGTACACTGTGGTTCTCTGAAATAAATACAGCAGCAAGAAAAAGGTGCTATTTTCAGTTTGAAAAACAAATTCCCCATATTCATGAACAGAAGTTCTCATTTTGCTGCAGACAAGTTAATTGCAAAATTTACTGTCACCACTAGATATTTCCGGAGCTCGGGATATGCCCACAAAGCCCCTCTTGGGGTTCCACACGGTGCTAGGCCTACCCTGTTCCCCCTGTTTCTCTGCCTTGCTTTGAACTTTTGTCAACTTAGTGCTCTGGGCACATCACCAGCTCTCTGGAGCATATACAGGCCCTCTTCTTTTACTCTAAACACATAGTATTTTCATATTTATATTTGTTCATGGCCATTGGTATTTAAAATATTTTAAAAGAACATTAGAAACCGTTGAAAGTCTCTCTCTTTTTAGAAAATCGTTAACAGTAGATTTGTTCATGTAAATTACACACACACACACACACACACACATACACACACATGTGCATATACACTCACATATTTGTAAAGAAATCCTCTACTGTTACTAATTCATTCTGATTCACCTGAAATTTTCAAAGGCCTTTTTAGGTCCCCAAGAGCTTTCATACAAATGTTCTTATTTACTCCTCCTCAAGACCCCTCGTTGCTTAGTAGGACAGGGATTGTTATCCCAGAAAATTGTTCATGGTCATATAGCTAGTAAGTGACATGGGTGGGATCTGGACTCAGGTCTCCTTTTGTAGTTTGGCTCTCTTCCTTTTCTGAGATTTCTCAGTAAAACTTATAAAAGAGGTGGGAGGCATGTAGAGAAATAAATTTTATATATTTTTTTTATTTTTATTGATGTATTTTGCTTCTGTATCATCATTATTTCTGATATATCCGTTCCCTTCCCTCCCCACCCTCATCTCTTAGAATAAGTCTTTTTAACAAAGTTCAAAACTAGATTGCTTTCCTTTATAATCCTATGTACTTTATTTTCTGCGTCTAAAAATTTTATTCTGAGAAGAGGATCCATAGACTCCACCAGACACTGCCCAAAGTGGTCCAGGATATCAAAAAAGGGTCTAAAACTTTTGCCTTATATATGAAACAGGCATTTTTTGAAAGAGGTAGGGGCAAAAAAAAATTTCAGTCAAACTAACCAAGCCATCAACAAAGTGTGATGATATAATGCAATGTTCCATACCCATCCCCCACCCCCACCCGCACCCCCTCCTTCACCAAAGAAGGGAGAGTGGTACATGAGAAATAGATTTTTGAAGATATAGGCTGATATAGACTGACAAACTCTACCAAGATTTGCTCCATATGTGTACCTCACTTTAAACAAGTCCAATATATCTAAATTCATATAAAAGATCAATTGTGATCCCGTTACAAAAAGAATCGCCAGCTACAGTTTATGTGAAACTAAGAAGAAATCTAGGTATTGTGCAAAGTGTGGCACATATATTCTAGACCAGCATTGCCCATTTACTTTATCATTCAACAGAAGCTTTTCTGTGTGATGGCACAGTTATATATTCTCATTATTACCACCTTGGAAATAGATACTAAAGCAACAGGCTTATTGCAAATTGAAGGGTAAAAAGGCTCAAATCGCTAAGGCCCCTCCCAGCTCTAAATCCTGTGAGGTAAGAAAAGTGGATGGGTTAGCATACAATCAGTTAAGTAGGAAGAAAGAAGGCCAACTCAGCTACACTGCTTAAAATAGGAACTGGATCCCTCATGCAAAATGGACAATACATGAAGGGGCCTCTCATTTATGGGAAATGATGACGTTTGCTACAGAGCAAATACATTCCAGTCCCAAAAGGGAATAGCAGTTCCATCTCCCTACGGCATTGGGTGTCTTTGGGCTGATTCTGGCCCAACATTGACAGGGGTCTCCTTCATTTAATTGGGAATTGTTGGTTTGGGTTTTTTTCTTTTTTTGGTTTATTTTTTTAAGCAGCTGCTGGGAACACAAATGCCTAAGCATTGGAAACCGTGGGTGTTGTGAGTTCTAAGAAATTTGTCTTGTCTCTGGTCTCCCTCTAGGCTAATATCAAAGTGAACCCATTGAAGCAACATAGCTGGGCCTTGTTAAGTCGCACCCCAATGCTATTTAGTGAGCTTCTTTCCAGATGTGTTTGTTGCTGGGTTTCTTCTTTTCATTAATTGGAGTTTGTTACCAGGCACCACTTAAGCAATGGAGGATTGGATTTCCCAAGGACAAGGGCCCCAAAGGGACCAGAGCGGAAAGCCAAAAGCAGAGGAGTTGAATCGAAGGTAAAACTAACTGTTTGAGAAGGGGTGAAAATGAGTTCTCAGTCATTGTAAATTTCTGTTTGTATGTGATCAACAGCCCTTTCTAACAGGAGGACAGCAGTTCCCCTGAATGCCGTGAACACTTTTAATATTAGCTGGGGAAATTATACCTTCCCTGTTGCAATTCCCTTGGCTCCTCCATGCTTTCAGGGACAAAACCCCATCTCTTGGCTTGCTTTTCTTCCTCACTGAATCATATGTTTGAGGCTATGTCTACAGATACATTTGGTTTTAATTAAAACACATTCGAAAAGATGCTTTTACAGTTGAAAAACTGTTTGCTGAAAATAAATGGGGTCAAAGAGGGTTTACATGACTCCATCAATCCAGAGCATGTCATTATAGGGCAAAGAGGAGCACTCCCTAAACATTTCCCAACTTTTTTGAGGTTCATGTTCTTCTGTGTCAGTATCAGAGACAAATCCTAGGCTGACTGATCAGTAACCCAATTCAGTGTAGCATTTATGATATCCTAAAAGCTAGTTTTGTTTTGTTTTGTTTTGGCGGGGAAGGATAAAGATCTTAATCTAAATGTATATGTGTCAATACCATCTGTCAAGATCCTAAAACTTCTGGCATAGTTACACGCTAGAGAATAAGGAAGAGTTCAAAGGTGTTTTCAAGGAAGCAGCCATTGATGACAAAGGGTCAATGCTGCCTTAGCCTTCTGGTGCATGCTGTGGCTAAGTCCTCCTACACTTTGTAGTACAAACCCCACTGCACAGATTCTCCCCAAGGATATACACAAAACAGGGAAATGAGTCAATCAGTAAACATTTATGAAGTGCTTACCCTGGGCCAGGTACTGTGCTAAGTACTGGGAATACAAAGACAAAAGTCAGTATCTCTTCCCTCAATTAGCTTAGTCTAGTGGGGTGACAGGTGTATACATCATATACGCAAGGAAGTTTGGGGGGGAAGCACTAGTAGCTGGATGCAACAGAAAAGGCTTCAAGTAGTTGATAAAGCTTGAGCTAAGTCTTGAAGGAAGCCAGATCTTCTAAGAAGTAGATGGAAGGAGGAGGTACATTCCAGTCATGAGGGCCACTGCATAGGTACAGAGATAGAAGATTGTGTGTGCAACAGCAAATAGGCCAGTGTGATTGAATCAAAGAGCATATGGAGGGGAGTACTATGTACAAAGACCGAAAAGGTAGGAATGGGTCAGGTTGTAAAGAAATTTAAAGGTCAGAGTAGCTTATAGTTGATCTTAGAGGTAATAGGAAGCCTTAGGAATTCATTGAGTAGGACTAGGTGTGGGACAGGATCAGACCTGTGCTTTAGGAATTTCACTTTGGCAGCTGTATGAAGACAGATTAGAGGAAGGGAGACCTGAGGTTGGGAGACCAAATAGGAGATTCTTCCAATAGTCTAGGTAAGAGGTGATAAGGGCCTAATTTAAGGTGTTGGTGATGTGATTGGAGATTAGGGGACATATTGGGAAGGTAGAAATGACAAGATTTGGCAGCTGATTGGATATTTAGAGTGAGTGAGAATAAGGAGTCAAGGAGGACACAGAAGTCTTGTTCCAATGGCACCCTTGACAGCTATAGCAAAGTTTTGAAAAAGTAAAGGTTTGAAAGAAAAGGTAATGAGTTTTGGTTTGGGAGATGTTGAGTTTGAGATACCTATTGAGAATCCAGTTCAGAGCTGATGAGGTTACCAAGTGAGAGTAGAGATAAGAGAAGGGTGCCCTGGATAGAGCCTGGGAGAATACCTCACAGTGAAGGGGCACAGTATGGTTGGAGAATCAGCAAAGGAGACTGAGAAGAAACAGTCAGACAGGTAGGAGGAGAACCAGGAGAGAAGAGTGTCATGAAAACCTAGAGAGGAGAGAGAATCCAGGAGGAAAAGGTGGCCAACAGCTTCAGGTGCTACAGAGGGGTCAAGAATGAGAATCAAACATAGGCCATTAGATTTTGCAACTGAGAAATCATTGGTGACTTTGGAGAGAGTAGTTTTAGTTGAATGATGAGGCCAGAAGTCAGACTTTGGAAGGTTTAAAAGAGAGTGAGAGGAGAGGAAGTGAGTGTAGACAGTTTTTTCAAGTTTTCCTGAGAAAGTGAGGAGCCCGAAGGAAAAATGGCAGAGGTAACCAGACTACAGAGCTTCACACAGGCAGCTACACACAGTGCCACACAGGCAGCTCACCTTACTCCCCTGCTCTTCCTTCCAATATGTCAGTCAACTCTGTAGCGTCGGAGCCTGCTTAGAAACACCAGCCAAGTAGCCTGAGCTAGTTCTGTTTTTATAAGCTTGCTACAGGCAGCCTCCAAGGGAGAGACAGGTTGACACCCTCTCTCAGGCAATTGGTGATAGCTGCTGCCTTCCTGAATGTGCTAAGAGTCCTTTCCCTAGATGAAGGGGATGCTAAGACCTGTCTGTCTCTTGTTTTCTTTTCCCTGACAAAGGGTGTGTGACTGGACCTTATCACTTGTACTTGGTGGCAATTGCCTCACGCTGGCGATGGCACAGACACCCTTCTCCTGTAGTTCACACAATCATAGATAAAGAGCAACAAGAGACCTTAGAGATCATCTCGTCCAACCCCTCATTTTACTGATAGGGAAACTGAGGCCCAGAGAGGTTAAATGACTTGCCCAAGGTCACAAGTTAATAAGCAGCAGAGCTGGGATTCAAACTCAGGTCCTGTGACCCCCAAACTCAGCACTCATTTCATTAAGCAACACTGCCTCCAGCTATAATAATCCAGTTACCTTGAGCAAATCACTTTCCCATCTTCCTGGTCTTCGGTTTCCTTCTCTCTAAAATGAGGCCATATCTAGTTCAACCATCTCAGATTTGTCACTGCTCACTTGGTGATGTGGTTTATGATGCTGTAATGAGGAACTGAGAAAGGAAATTCTAAAGGATCATGTACCACACCACCAGGTGAGAAATGACAGATTTGTCTTCAGCCAGGGCCTAGATTGATTGAACTGCCTTTCACTGACCAACAGGTCAATTGAAAGAATTGCTCCAAAAGCCCTGGAGATTTCCCCAATACAAAGCGACAGGAGAAAAGAGTGGTGATCTACCATCTGAAATTCACACAGCCGTTTCATGTCCTCGAGCACTTTCCCACCAATCTTTCATTTGCTCCTCGGCAGAACTCCTGGGCCCAGGCCTTATCATCTGAAAAATTCACCCATGGCAATATGGCTTGTAGGTAACACAGGTGGTATGTGAATCCAGGTCTCCTAGCTCCCAGACCAGTGCCCCTTCTACATACAAATCAATCATCTCATAAAATCAGTAATATCTGTAATTAACATGGAAACACTCAGTGACCCCAGACCAACTGAACCATATTCTCGCAGGCCCACATGTTCCACTGAAAACTAGGCTTATGGGCATTAGAAGTGGCTCAAGGCCTCTACCAAAAAGCTGCAAATAAACATAAGAATCTCATCTCATAGGTGGGAAATCCCTTCTAGTGGAAGTAGCATGAGCAAAAGGTTCAAAAAGACAACTACTGTGGGATAGATGGAAGAGTAGCTCCATAAACTGAGAGGAGCCAAGGACAGGGAAAAGGGAGGGACAGAGAAAGATGGAAACACGGGCCAGGCCTGGGTCACCCTTTCCTACTGGGACCCAGTTATCACCTTGGGCAGTTCCAGTTTTCTTTTTACTTAAAGTTAAAACCTGCACTTCTCCCCAAAGACATTTGATCAACTTCCCCAGATAAAATATTTTATGGCCTAGATGATTCCCCCTCCACAAAAATGTGGTTTTGCTCTTTAGGTTTTTTGTTGCTGTTATGAAGATGGTCAATCAAAAAGAAGCATTTGGTCAAACGTGACATTACTATCATCCTCACGTATGGTAAGGTTTACAGATTCAACTTTCAAGAAATACATTCTTGAAAACAGAACTGAATCTACAACTAGGTATCCTCCCACCTGATGGCACCAGATGCCTTTTTTGCATTGTCCTAACGCAAAGGCTTAAGCTAGAGATTATGCATTGTGATTTCATCAACAGAGGGTGCTCCAGGTGAGGAATCCCCTGTCCCAGTGCAGATGGGCACCTGCACTGCCGCTTAGAATCTTCAAAGTTGCCTGCAGTTACTCGTTAAGGGTCACATGGCCAGTGTGTCAGAGGAGGGACCTGAACCCAGGTCTCTCCAGACTCGAAGGCCAGCTCTCCACCCATGATGCCATGCTGCTTCTCCAGCCAGAGATAGTCAATTCCAGTTGACAAGCATTTATTAAGCACCAGCTCTGTGCCAGGTGCTGGGGATGCAAGTCAAAAAATGAAATCATTCCAGCCCTCGAGGACCTTTCAAACCACGTGGACCAAACACCACATAAACATATAAGCAGAGACAAACAACATCCAAAGTAAGTTGGGCAGGGGGGAGTACCCATGGGGGTCATCAGGATAAGTCTCCTGGAAGAGGTGGCGCTTGAACTGAGCCTTGAGGGGACCAAAGGATGTATCTATCTTAACTTAGACTTAAGTTAAGATCACTCAACTAAAGATATCAGCATACTTTTTGGCTCCCCTCCCCCAAAATAAAACTACTCTAAAAGCCCAAAGTATCAAATAGTAGGTAGCAGAGTAGATCATTTTATAGAGGAAACTTTTTTCGAGGGAAACTTTAAAAAAATACTCTAGTATGATTCTGTACTCTTTTGATGATCTTCAGCTCTTAGCAATCATAGCTGAATCTAATCTCTTCTTACCAGACTTTTATTAGACTTAGCCAATTTAACTCACCCTGAATCCTGTCTTGGAACTAAATCCCTCCTGGGGCTGGTAGTATTTTCCAAGACTTCAAGCTAGTTTGGCCTCAAAAGCTCCCCTGGGCACCTTTCCTTAGTTTGCCAGTAGTGTTGTCCTACAGCAGCCACAGGTGGTCTGGTTTACCCTGCTTAGAATTAGGGAAGTTCATTAGTTTACCTTTCTGGCGTTCTGTATCATTTACAAGGCCTATATCATGTTTGCTCTGACACTGCTGCATCCTTGTACTATGTAGGGTACATAGGATGTCTCTCTATTTCAGCTTGAAAGCTCCTTCGTGATTGGTTCTACTCAAACAGAAAACTTCTCTATTTTCTGTCCATTTTGATAGAGTGCATTCTTGGCCCCTTCCATCAGGTATTTATTTGACTTGAACCTTACAAATTGTGTCTGACGCCAGCCCATCTAGGATCGGTTTTCCAAAAGGGCCACAGTGTTTTTAGTATCTCAGGTCTTCCTCTTCTGTTGCTTCGTCCTGATGTGAAAGCGACCCCAGCTCCTCAAAAGCTCTGGGGAGGTTTCACACATGGGCCTGGTTGACAGAGCAGCTCAGTACAGCAATTCACAAAGTCACAGAGGGGTCTCGGAATCTACGGGAGAAGTACTTGTGCCATTGAAGCCATGGCCCCCTGAGCATGCTCAAATCCCTTCTGCCGATGCCTGTATTACGTTAATATTATCGTAACTGAAGCTTGTCTGGGGCTTTGAAGCTTGGAAAGTGCTTTATATACATTAACTGATTTGAACTGCACAGCAACCCTGTGAGGTAGGAGCAATTGTATGAGAAGCAGATCAGAGAATGGGTTTGTCACAGCAAGCACTCAGTGGCCTTGTAGTGTTGTCCACATGAAGGTCATTATTATTCTCTCAAGTCACACCTCTGACATATACTGGCTGAAGGACCCTGGACAAGTCACTTAACTTCTCAGGATGCTAGGCCACTCTCTAAGACTAGAAATTGCAGAGAACATCCCAACCTGCATTGGTAAGAGGGAGTTTCCTAACTAGTGAGATCCCTATAAGCAAAGAAATCACCAGTCCCTAAGTGACTATTGCCTAACCAGTCAACCCCTTTCTACAGTGACCGACCACTCCAGGGAACATTTATCCATGGCAGAGCAGAATGAGTGAGGATATGTGATTTTAAAACAGGGAATCACAGTGCTGGCTTTGCAACATCTCAGGGTCATGGAATCAGAACGAGAGCTGGAGAGGAACCTCGAGGCCACCTAGCCCAACCTCCTCACTGTACACTGAGGCACAAGAACAGGAAGAGACTTATCCAAGGTGACACAAGGGATTCTAGATTTGGAGCTAGCAGAGACCTCAGAGGCCATCTGGGGCAACCCCTCATTTTACAGAGAAGGAAATGAAGGCCCAGAGAGGGGGAGGTACTTGTCCAAGGTCACACATAGGACCCTAGGTCTAGAGGTAGAAGGGACCTTTAGAGGCCAAGTAGGCCAACCAACTCATTTCGCACATAGAAAATTGATACCCAGAGAAGTTAAGTGACTTGCTTGAGGTCACACACATAGTCAGTGGCAAAGCTGGGATTTAGACCCACTGACTCCAAATCTATTACTCTTTCCACTATCCCACATTGCCACCCGTGGCTCCATTTATCTCAAGGCACATTATGAAATTCCTAAAGGCATCCTTTACTGATTTTGGTTTTCTTTTGTTTTCTTTCATTTTTAAAAGAAGACATACCTTGGGGCATTTTAGGGGTGGGTAGCCATCATGAAACCAAACAGCATTAGGACAACCCAACACAGCCCCCCCCACTGAGAGTTGGTGCCAAGTACAAAATCTTGTACAAATTTCCCGTCATCTCTATCTTGGATTTTTCCTCTTACTTCCCCCCACCCTATTCACCCAAGACTTCTTTTTCTATAAGTCAATGTTAGGGCTGCATGTTCAGGTTGCAGAATTGTATATTCCTTTTCCCCACTGTTAGCTCTGCTAGAGGCAAATGCATGCTCTAAGGACCTGATGCTCCCCAGCCAGAGGGCTAGAGAGTCTCTCACTGCATGCAGCTCCAGGTTCGAAGGGTAGGTCAAACTACAGATGCTGAAAGCTTATATTCCTCTAGCCGTGTGCATCTCAAGCTGAGAGGACTGCCTCCTTCTAACGATGACCTCCTGATCAAAATGGGTCTTGCTTTGAATCCTAGGTTGCAAGTGCTAAAAACAAGTCATCCAAAAGCATCTCCTCTTCCACCTCATCATTCACTTCATTTTTCGACCCCAAACTCCTCCAGCTCACACCTCCGACCAGCCCTTCAAGACGTTTCTTTGGCTCCTGTAAGTATGCCTGCTATGATCTCAGATATATTATGGCCTTTGTGGTTTGGGGGTAGGTGGGGAGGGAGGAGCAGGGAGTTGGCCATACCTGTGATTTCATAGGTGTGGGTATAGACCGGGTTCAGATCAATACTTCTCCTATAACTTAGAAAGTTAGAGGTGTCTGGGGCCCAAAGAGGTTAAATGATTTATTCAGGTTCACATAGCCAATATATGTCAGAAGTGGGACTTGAATCTTGGTCTCTGAGACTCCAAGACCTACAAACTCTACCTCACTGCTTCTCATTGTAGTCATTCGTTATTAAACATACTGTAGTAACAACAATATTATAACGATGATCAACTGTGAAAGACTTTGCTATTCTGATCAATACAATAATCCAAGACAATTCCAAAGGATCCATGATGAAAAATGCAATCCACCGCCAAAGAGAGACCTGGTGAATTCTCGAGTGCAAACTGAAACATGTTTGTTTGTTTGTTTGTTTTTTAACTTTATTTTTCTTGATTTTTTTCTCACAATATGGCTGATGTGGAACTGTGTTTTTCATGACTTCATATGTAGAATGGGTATCATATTTCTTGCCTTCCCAGTGGGGGAGGAGTGGAGGGAGGGAGAGACTGTGGAACTGAAAATAAAATTTAAAAAATTGTTAAATGTACCATAACATTCTCCAGTTGTGGTGGTATTTAAGGGAATTATGGAATCTTAATTTTCAAGTGATATATGAAGTCAGCCTGATATGTGTGTTTGTGTTTGTGTGTGTGTTTGTGTATGTGTTTTGTGGTAGGATAGAGGTGTAGGGGGGGGGAGCAGAGATACATGAAACCAATCATCTGTCCCATAACAGAAAAACTCAGTTATAAGCCTAAATTTTTCCATTTTCATTCAGATGTAAGCTTCTGAAGGACAGGGACATAATTTCATTTTTATCTCTGTATCCCCAGCACCTAGTACAGGGCCTGGCTCAGGGTAGGTGCTTAAGGAATGAATACTTGTTTATTGATTGATTAATGGGCCATCGCATCACTTGTGGCTAAGGATGGGCATTGCATACTGAACACAATATCTTGAAATAGCTTCTTGACTTGTTCTCTATGGTCCCTGAGTCTTTGACTTCATCATTCTCCATTCTTGGAAAGGACTTGTTTCCTCTTACCCTCCCCACCCCCCATATTTCCACCTGTTGAAGTCCTCCTTTTCCCTCCTCTACTCCCCTCCTGGCCCAGCCCAGGTGTCACCTCCTCCTCATTGCCTTCCCTGATATCCCCTGCCTCAAGTGATCTCTCTCCATACTCACCATATTCTGATGTGTACTTTTTTCTCTCTGCTCATGGAGAGTATGGCCTATGTCATTTGCACATACAGCTAGGTCCTGATTACTGCAAAGAATTTATCCCCTGAACATGTATTCAGATTTCCCTCTTTGAAGTTATAATTATACAAAATATGCTACTTGGTTCTAACCCAGCAGAAATATTAAATGGAAATTCAAATAATGGGGATTGATCGCCATTGACTTTATAGAATTGAATTAGTCTTTGTCTAGATGGATGACCAACACCTTTAACAGCTTCTTCCTCTTCCTTTTTTTTCCTATCAGATGAAGAGAAATATGAATTTCGTGGGAATTCAGGAAAGAGGAAAGCCTCTGTTGTCAACGTCAATCCCATCAATGCCCGCCCACAGAGTGACAGCCCCGAAATCCGCAAGTACAAAAAGAAGTTCAGCTCCGAGGTTCTCTGTGCAGCTTTGTGGGGTGAGCTGGTCCTCTTTGAGTTTGTCCAAACTGAGTCCCTTCCTTTATGAAGGGCTCCAACCCAGTGGAAATTAGATAATGAAGTCATTTGCTCCTAATTGTCTCTGTCAGTCAGAGAACATTTGTTGGCAGTGACCAAATCAGCCAGAAATAATTGTCTAAATAGGTACATTGGATGTCTGATGATTTCAGTGACCTCAATACTCATTTAGAAATATACATATTTTTATTTTTATTTTGTTTTTACATCTCCATCATTTCTGAGTATATCCACAAAGAATAAAAAAGAAAGGGTGAGGAACCAGTCCAGCAAAACCAACCGTTTTTTTTGTTTTTGTTTTTGTTTTTGTTTTCAAAATATACAATGTGACACACCCCTAGGCCCCCCCCCTCTGCAAAGAAGAGAGAGAGCTGCATTTTCTCAACTCTTCTCCAGGACCAAGCTCCGTCGTTATAGTTATACAGCATTCGCTTTCCTTTCTTGCTGTTGTTCTTTCTGTTTACATTGTTGTAGTTTTTGTATACATTGTTTTTCTTACTTTGCTTACTCTGTATCAGTTCATGTAAATTTTCCCATATTTCTCTGTATTCTTCATATTCAATTCTTTTTTTTTTCCTTTTTTTTTTGAGGGGGGGTTAGGCAATGGGGTTAAGTGACTTGCCCAGGATCATACAGCTAGTAAGTGTTATGTGTCTGAGGCCAGATTTGAACTCAGGTCCTCCTGAATCCAAGGCTGGTGCTCTATCCACTGCGCCACCTAGCTGCCCCCTTCATATTCAATTCTTATGGGGCACTGCGATGTATCATTACATTCATGTACCAAAATTCATTTAGCCATTTCCCAATTGAAGGGCATCAATTTTCATTTTTACGACTTCAAACCAAAAATATATACCTCTCTGTGTGTAAATAGTAAAAAATCAACTCATTCTCCCCATTCGTCCATCCATCCATCCATCCATCCATCCATTCACCATCCGTCTAATTTCCTAATCATGCCATTAATCCAGACCTGAAGGAATGGCAGACAGGAATGGGAGGAGGAGCTTGAGAAAGCTACTCTTGTCTCCATGGCTACGGAGAGCCAGCTGGTATCTGATGACTGCCGCTCAGAATGGATTCATCAGTTCTTCCATGCCCAGAGCCTTCACTTCTGTGATCTCAAGTGACTAGAACAGTGGAGGAGGGAGGGGCGATGACACGAACCATCCTTTTCCTAACATCCACTATTCCCCTTTGCATTGGGTCCTCCCATGTTGTCTGCTGTCTTGCCAATTTTAGACCAATGCCATGAACTCCTTTTCTGCTTATTTCCTGGTCTTCAAATTTGCTTACCTATTGAACCCAGGTTTGATTATCACTCAACTTGCTGATTCTCTCCATTCACAACTTGCACCGTGGCTTCTTTCCTGGGGTCCTAGTAATTGTCCCCTAATCACCAACATTGGGGATTTCCCAATATTGTCTCAGTGCTTCTCCACCAAGGCTAATCTCTGCCTCCTCTTTGTTCTATGTGATTATCTTCATTTTATAGATGAGAAAACTGAGTCATAGAGATCAAGTGACTTAAGTCACTTGCTCAAGGTCGTGCATCTACTTAAAAGGATATCTGGCCTCAAAATTTAGTCTTCTAACCCCAAATCCAGTACCACTTTCCAATTTTAATATACTTCGCCAAACCAGTTTCTATTACACTTCATTGCCTCTCAAAATAATCTCATTTTAAGTACTTTAGTTTCATTTTTCATTTTAATATTTTTATCTTGCCTTTAGAGGATAAATAGAAGGATCATTAGAACTTGTCCATGTGTCAGATTGGGGCCTAAAGAAATGTCAGCAGGAAACTGATTTCATAGGCACTTGGTACTGGGGTGTTATTGTTGTTGTTTTTCCCCAAGGAAAAAGTAGCTTAGTATTAGTTCTTTTTTAAATAGAGAAATATTCGAAAAGTACGAAAGCCATTAGCTGACAGATTTTGATAAAGGGTGTCAAAAGACATCATAAGTTCTCTTTCTGAGACTAAATGACTTCCAATAAAAATGTTCAAATGTATTTTCAGAGGCATGTAAGTAACTTCTGTAATTGTTCACAGATCCCATGGTCAGAGTTACAAAGTGTGACGGACAATTTCCAAAAATTTACCTGCTCAGTTAGCACAGTGGGTGAGCACACTGGAGTCAGGAAGGCCTGAGTTCAAATCCACCCTCAGCCATTTACTAGTTGTATGACTCTGGGCAAGTCACTTAAGCTCTGTCTGCCTCAGTTTCCTCATCTGGAAAATTAGAATAATAATAGCATCTACCTTGCAGGCTTGTTATGTGGATAAAATGAGATAATATTCGTAAAGTACTCTGCAAACCTTAAAATAAATGCTAGTTATCATCATCATCTTCATCATCATCCAGCCTAGAGCAGTGTCAAAGTCTCTACGTTTTCTACTCACTCTTTAAGGCTTAGACTGGCTTAGACTCTGACAAGCTTAGACTGGGAGCTGGTGGTGGGAGGTGTCAGATACAGGGAGGAACAAGAATAGAAAAGGTCCATTTTTCAAAGTGTACAGGTCAGCGATGGGGAACCTGCGGCCTCGAGGCCACATGTGGCTTTCTAGGTCCTTGAGTGTGTCCTTTTAACTGAGTCCAAGTTTTACAGAACAAATCATTTTATTAAGGGGATGTGTTCTATGAAGTTTGGATTCAAAGGGCCTCACTCGAGGACCTAAAGGGCAACTTGTGGCCTTGAAGCTACAGGTTCCCCACCCCTGGATAGGTGTTTGAAGAAATAGGATCTTTGCCAATCAATGTTTTATGAACTGGTAAAAATTTGCTAGAGGCATGTGGTTTCGAAGCACTTAATGAAATAAAAACCCACAATGCAAGGGTATCAGTAAATAGGAATAGCAAGAAGAAATGCAATGCCAAGACAATATGATGAAGCAGTGTGAGCTAACTGAGAATATTGTTTTCTATGTGCAGGTGTCAATCTGCTGGTAGGAACAGAGAGTGGACTGTGGCTGCTGGACCGAAGTGGCCAGGGAAGAGTTTACTCTCTGATAAGTAGACGCCGATTTCAGCAAATCGATGTCCTGGAAGGGCTTAATGTGCTGATCACCATTTCAGGTTTGTTCATGATCCAGAAGGGATCCTGTTTTTGCCTTCCTCTGTAATCCCAGCACTTCCCTCAGTGCCTCACTCATAGTAAGCATTTCATAAATGTTCATTTGTTGATTGATTGATTAATTGCCACACCAAGGAAGCTATTACACCCATAAATTAGGTTGTGAATTGTGTTAAAAAACCTTTTCTTAAGTAGTGAAACAAAAGTAAAACATTTGTAGGAAAACACTTTTTAAGCTTAGCTTTTTTTTGGGGACTCAGTTTAGCTCTTAATCAGCTTCCATGTTTATCTGAGTGTCTGAATTCCTATTTAAATTGTCTTTCCAGTCTTGCTCTAAGTTTTTTATTTGGATTCAGAACTAGAGATCGTAGAGCTAGAAGGGCCTTCAGAGGCCATCTAGGCCAAGCCCCTTGTTTTATAAAGGGAGAACTGATGCCCAGAGCGGTCTTTCCTAAAGATCAGAGTATCAGAGGTAGGCTTTGAACTCTGGTCTATTAACTCCAGAACCAGTACTCTTCCCACTGTACCAAGTAGAATGCTTGTCCTCTTTTCCTCTTCCATGTTTCCCCCCACTGCAACCCTCTATATCAAGACAAGGTAGACGGTGCCAAGAAACCAAACAGATACCCATCTCACTGTGCCCTTTCCTTGTTCTGGTACTGTATACCTACTCATCTTGAGATCTGCCCTTTCCCATGGCAGTAGATGACCTAGCTTCTCAGGGCCCAAAGCTTCTGCTGTCACAAAGCCTCCAATGCCTGGGGCAGCTGGCACAGAAACAAGGATCTAAGAACTGCCCAAAGTGCCCTGGGGTTGGACTATGGGGAAGGACCATGATGTGTAATAGACAGCACTCTGGATTTGGAGTCAGGAAGATCTGAGTTCAGATCCTGCCTCAGATACTAGCTGTGTGACTCTAGGCTTTCACCTCCTTGGACCTCAATTTCCTCATCTGTAAAATGAACATTGGGATCATTGACTCTAAGGACCTTTCCAACTGTAGATATATGATCCTGTAATCCCTGAGAAATGGGGTATGGAGGGAGGGGCATGGACATCAAGCCGTCATGATCAAGGGAATACAAGCTTCTGAGAAGTAAGATCTGGGACCTTTGTCTTTGAATGTGTGTGGTCACGGTGATGATAATTAGTTGGTATATGGTACCCTGGTAGACTGTTAACATTGACTCTAGAGATCTGACAAAAAGAGAAGGAAAAAAATACACAAAATAGGCTTGATTCTATAAAAATTTTTCTAATTATAGTCATTCGTGAAAAGTGCTTCCCGGTTTAATTGCCATGCAGTCCAATAATGATTAAATGCACCATGAAATACATGTCAGATTAACTTGGTTGTAATTTTTATTTGATCTGAACAGATGTTCATTCTTCGTAGTTTGTTGCTCACATAGAAAGGTTGTAAGCTCACAACCCAAAACCTGAAAAAAAAATAGAGGGACCATTGCCTTTTGTTCTACACTTCTTCTAACATATTGGAAAATGTTTGGATGTTTTGGAGATTTTATTCTGTACGGTTGCATTTTTTTACTTTTTGTCTAGATGTCTGCAGATGTGCAGACACAGGCCAACTGTGACTTCAGACATGTTCAGAAGACAAAAGTGAGGGCAGATAGCAAGAGGATGAATGCAAGTGTGGAATATGCCTTTAAGAGTAGTGTCAGCAATACTAAACTCAAAATCAGCTGTGGCCAGTGAAGAAAGCTAAGGGCAAAAGAAGGGGTTGGGATCGTTTAGCTATGTTGGGGAAAATAGGAAGATGAAAGGTAGGATAAGACAGGTGCTTCAAATGGATGGGACAATGCTAGTTGATGATACAAAGAAAGCAAAGATGCTCAACTCTTATTCAGCTTCTGTTTTCTCTGCCAAGAAAAAATGACCTTTGCCTTGGAATTGATGGAGGTGATACCCAAGTTAAGTAAGGAGATAGTAACCAAGCCTTTAAGCTGTCTTGGCTGAATTCAAGGCATCTGACCCAAATGAACTACATTCTTGAGTACTGAAAGAACCGGCAGATGTGATGACTGAGCCAATGTCAGGGATATATGAAACACCATTTTTTAAAGAAAAGCTTGTGCAGAGCAGGAGGTGTCTGACAAGATTGGAGATGGGTCAAATGTCCCTATTTTCAAAAAAGGGAAGGGAATGGAGTCTTTAAACTACAGGCCAATGAGTTTGACTTCAGTTCCTGGCAAAATTCTAGAAAGTTATTAAAAAGATGGCTGGTGGACATCTATAAACCAGGGATCACAAGGAGTGTGACTTCAGCAAGAACAGTGTGTGCTAGATTAACGTCATTTCCTTTTCTGATGGGGTTATTAGTCTGGTATATAAGGCGAATGTTGTGGATACAGCTCACCTGGAATTTAGCGAAGGATTTGAGAAATCCCTTCATGCTATTAATGTGGTAAAGATGGAACTAGGTGGGATGGATAGCTGACCCCAAGGAATAGTGTGATGTCCATTTCAAAGGTCTTCAGTGAAATGCCTCAGGCATTTGTGCTTGGCTCTGTGCTATCCTTTATTATTAGGAACGACTTGGCATGCTTATCAAATTTGCAGGTAACACAAAGCTGTCACTAACAGGTCTGAAAGACAGAATATGAAAAGATCTTGACATGCAAGAATACTGGGTCAAATTGTTTAAAATGAAATATAATAAGGATCAATATAAAGTCTTATCTCGGGTTAAAAAAAATCAGCTTCAGAAGTATAAAATAGTAGAGGTGTGGCTAAAGAGCCACATCTGTGAAAGGGCTGGGCATTTTAGTGACCTCTGTGGTCAATATAAGTCAGTAGTGTGATGGCAGCCAAGAAAGCTAGTGTAATCTCCATCTCCATTGAGAGAGGGATAGTGTCCAGAATGAGGGCGGTGCTGGTTGTACTGTACTTTGCAGACCACATCTGGAATCTTGTTTTCGGTTGAAGGTGCTACCTTTAAGGAAGGACACTGAGAAGCTGGTGAGTCTCCAGAGGAGGATAGTCAGGATAGGGAAGGGCCTCCAGGTCATGTCATATGAAGATTGGTTGAAGGAACTGAGCACACTCAGCCTAGAGAAGAGAGTACTGAGGGGTGCCATGCTAGCTGTGTTCAAATGCTCGAAGGCCTGTCATATGGAAGAGGGATTAGCCTTGTTTTCCTTGGCCCCAGAGAGCGGAGCCCAGAGCAATGAGGGGAAGTTGCAAAGGGGCCCAGTGAGGCTGGATGTCAGGAAGAACTTCCTCACCATAAGAGGAGTCCAAGAGTGGAATCGAAAGCCATGCTGTGGTTCAAAAGCCCACAGTTTAGTTTGGCCCCATTAGAAGAGGCTGAGGGTGGGTGTAGCCATCAGAAACCTGACATTCCATCCAGACTCCTCTGGAAATATGTTCCAGATTGATCCCAGAAGTGAGACCTTCAAGGTTGGCTACAGAAGTATTCCTAACATCTGCCTCAAAAGGGAGGGGAGTGGGGAGAGACATCAAAGCAAAAACAAACTGGAGGTCACCATATTACCACAGTTTCCATGTAGAGCCCAAGGAATCGCCTGAAGACCTCCAGTGAGGAGGAAGCCACTACCTCCCAAGATAGCCCACCTCCCTTTTGGACAGCTTAGCCTCCAGGCATAAGGATAGCATGTTTTTAAAGTTCTTGCCTACATCAATTGCAAGAATCTGAAAATAGAGGAAGGGTGAGGCGGGGGGGGGGTGTGTTTAATAGATAAAAAAAATGTACCTCTATTAAAGTGTTCTGTGTTGCTTCACTATGGCTTGGAAGTGACCCTGAGTTTTCAAAGGTTGTGTCAGCTGAACTTGACCTGGGAAGATTTCAAGTTAAGGTCCAGGGGTGGACTGTATGTCTCAAGGACCAGGCTAATAATAATAGTAGCTAACATTTATCTGGTGCTTAAGGTTTGCAAAATAAAACAACCCAAGGATGTAGGTACTGTTATTATCTCCATCTTATAGATGAAGAAACTGAGGCTTAGAGGTTGTTATTCACCCTGGGTCACACACTTAGTAAATATCTGAGATGAGACCCAAACACAGGTTTTCCTGACTCTGAGTTCAGCTCTTCTACCGCTGTATATTGCTCCCTTAGTCTAGCCAAGTTCAGAGAGCCATCTTCTCAGGTTAGCCACAGGACAATGCATGTTTTGGTCGGAGCCACTTTCCAAGACCAACTCAGAGAAGAGTTGCAATCTGTATCAGTGTAGAGATGACCCACACAGAGGAAGTCAGAGACCCCTGAAGTCCTAAAGTTCTCTCTTTTGAATTCCATGGGTCTTAAATGCTCATTTGACTCCCTATCATTGAATCAATCAATTAGCACCTAAGTGCCTGCTCAGTGCTAAGCGCTGTGTCCCATGACTCTGGAGAAGAGAGTGAGACTGCTGACTTGACCCAGCTCTGCCTCACTTAAATCCAGTTCACATGAAGGTCAAGACGTCAGCCTCCCAAAGTCATTGGTCCTCTTCAAGAACGAAGGATGAGGAGCAGCTAGGTGGCGCAGTGGATAGAACACCAGCCCTGAAGTCAGGAAGACCTGAATTCAAATCCGACCTCAGATCAAACACTTGACACTTACTAGCTGTGTGACCCTGGGCAAGTCACTTAACCCCAATTGTCCAAAATAAAATAAACGGAAAAAAAAAGAATGAAGGATGGACAACAACTAGGTGCTGGGAACATTTTGCTAAATGGGCAAAATATTAACCTTCACCCCTTTCTTTGTCCTTATACAGGAGATGGTTCCTTCCCTCCCTCATTAAATGAACATTTATTAACCAATTATCATGTTCAAGGAATAGGGATAGAGACTAGAGCTGTGGTTTCATTGGTATAGGGAACTTCCAGGTGAGGAAACTAACTTTATTAATGCAGGTTGGCACCCTCTCTATAATTTATAATCATAGAGAGTTATGTAGAGCATTGAAAGATTAAATGACTTGCCTTAGGCCAGACCTCTAATTTCAACAGTGTTAGAAACTCTGAAGTGGAAACACCTTCCATTCCTCTGTACTTTATGGAACTTTATAAAGGATTATTTGGGGGCACTGAGAGGTTAAGTGATTGTAATAACTTTTTACCTACTCTACCTGCCTCCACTTTCTCTCACTTCTCCAATTCATCGTGCATACCTCCTCCAGAGAAATAGGGCCAGGGACCAGGCCTAAGATTTCATTAGTAGAGGTCATTATCTCTATCAGTACAGGGGGACACTTGCTTTGAAACCTCTAGTCTTGGAGAGTAGCCTGAAGCACAAAGTAGTGAAATGACTTTCCTAGGGTAAAGTAGCTAGTATATGTCAGAAGCCGGTCTTGAACCTAGGTGTTTCCCACTTTTAGGCTGGCTCTGTATCTGTCACAGCAGGGCACTCTGTGTGCAAGGCAGGGGAAAAAAAAAAGGAAAAATCTCTTCCCTCTAGGAGTGTATATTCTATTGGATAAAGTATGGTCCTTGCCTTTAGGGGCCTTAGAGTCTAACGGGGAGATAAGACACAGTGAAATACCATTATTATGTTGTTCTATAATAAATGCATTAGAGAGGTTGGGAACAAAGGGCCAGGATCCATTTCAGAGTGAAGGCTCTTACCTGTAGTGTGGCTTAGGGAGGACTTCTTAAAGAAAGTGGCGTTTGATTTGTTTTAAAGAGTATTTGGGGGCAGCTTGGTGGCACAGTGGATAGAGCACAGGCCCTGGAGTCAGGAGGACCTGAGTTCAAATCTGGCCTCAGACATATAACACATACTAGCTGTGTGACTCTGAGCAAGTCATTCAACCCCAATTGCCTTGACCCCCCCCCCCCCCAAAAAAGAGTATCTGGGAATTCTAAAATTGAAAGGGAAGGAGTAAGAGGAAGAGTATTCCAAACCTAGGGCCTGGAGTCAGAAGAGAACAATTGTACTGAATACAATGAATGGAGGAAAAAGGAGACGAAGACACACTGTTTCACTTTCATGTATTTCCATGTTCATCAGGAAAGAAGAATAAGCTACGAGTGTACTATTTGTCCTGGCTGAGAAACAAGATTTTGCGTAACGACCCTGAGATGGGAAAGAAGCAAGGTTGGATCTCTGTGGGAGACTTGGAAGGCTGTGTGCACTACAAAGTCGGTAAGGTTCATCTCGCTTGGATTCCCTTCTTGACTTCCACTTCCTTTGGTATCATTATTCATCAGGGAGATGGTCAGTGAGGAAGGGAAGAATTACAGCTTGAAATATAAGGGTAGGTGAGACTCCAAATCCTTCTGGGACTTTATGTCATGCCCCTAACTCCATCAATTCCATTCTGGTCAACTCAAATGATAAGTAACTCCGGTTCACTTTGGGGTTCCCCCTCCTCCTGCCCTTCTTCCCTCCCTTCCAATCCTTTAGTAGTTTAGCTAATCCAGTCTGCCAGGCCTTCTCTTAGAGCCAAAGCCCTACCCAGCCAAATACTCTCAGGGAGACCGAGTTCTACCACTTACTGGGTGACCTGGAGGAACTCATGTAACCTCTTGAGCCTCAGTTGGAAAGTGGCAATAATATTGCTAGTCTTCCCTCCTAGACTTGTTGGATAGCTCCACTGAGGTTCCTTTGCATACGAAGGCAGGAGCTCCGTAAATGTTAGCTGACTATTCTCTGCTTCTTTGTGTCAGCAAAAAAGAAGAAGTTTGTATGTGAATAGTGCTTCTAGGTTTACCAAGTGTTTCTCAATAGTCTTGGCCTCTAGTCTTGTCCCTATTTCTTGAACATGATAATTGGTTAATAAATGTTCATTTAACAAGGGAAGGAAGGAACCATCTCCTGTATTAGATAAAGAAAGGGGAGAAGGTTAATATTTTGCCTTTTTAGCAAAATATCCCCAGCCTGTTTTACAGATGAGGAAACATAGAGATACTTACTCAGGGTCACAAAGTTTGTAAGTATCTGAGTTAGGGATTCAACTCAACTCAAATGTTTATTAAGCATCTGCTGCATTCAACATAGTGTGCAAGACACACGTGATGCAAAGACAAAATTGAAATACCCCTGTGCTCAAGGAGCTTACATTTCACTGGGGAGAGACAATATGTATACAAATAAGGAAATCCAAGGTAATTTAAGTGAGGAAGGAGAGAGTACCTATAACTTGAGGGAATCAAGGAAGGCTTCACAAGGGTGGTGGTACTTGTCCTGGGCTTTGAAGGAAGAAAACACGCATATACATTGTGGATTAGGAAGGGCTTCTTGAAGAAAATGGCATTTGTTTTAAATATTCTGAGAGATGGAGGTGAGCAGAAAGTACATTTCAGGCATGGGGAACAGCCTAGTACAACACTAGAGACTTGAGATGGAACATTAGGTGGGATAAATGGCTGATAGTCTAGTTTGTGCTAGAAGGGCAACTATCAATTCAAACCCAGTATGCTGGCTTCAAGTCTAGCACTGTTTCCACGATGCTTGATGCCTAGTCCAGAGCAGCACCTAGTAGGTTAGAGCTGAAATGGGGGCTTGGAACATGGACTACCAAAGCTGGGAGGAACCCAAGAGCAGAGGTTCTTTACCTTTTTGTGTTGTCGACTCTTTTGGCAGATGACTGAGGGCTTCGGACCCCTTCCTAGAATCATGTTTTTATTTTATTTGTTTATTTATTTTTTTGGGGGGGTAGGCAGTGGGGTTTAGTGACTTGCCCAGAGTCACACAGCTAGTAAGTGTTATGTGTCTGAGGCCGGAATTGAACTCAGGTCCTCCTGACTCCAGGGCCGGTGCTCTATCCACTGAGCCACCTAGCTGCCCTGCATAGAAAGAATATAGAATGACAGAGCAGGGAGTACCTTTGCCAATTTGATCGAGTTGTTTTGATTTACATTTCTCTTACTATTAGTGAATTGAAGCACTTTTCAAATGGTTGTTGATAACTTACATTTCTTGTTTTGAAAACTGCCCATTGACCATTGATCCATGGGGGAATGGCTCTTGTTCTTATATCTTTATATTAATTTTACAAATCAGGGGCAGCTCGCTGGTGCAGTGGATAGAGCACGGGCCCTGGATTCAGGAAGACCTGAGTTCAAATGTGAACTCAGACACTTGACACTTACTAACCATGTGACCTTGGGCAAGTCACTTCACACCATTGCCTCACCCCCCCCCCAAATGTAATTTTACAAATCAGCAATATTTCCCAGAATTCTTTCCACTGTACTATTTTGCCTCCAGGCTTAAAACCTTGGAGTCATCTTTGATGCTTCCGTTTCCTTCACGCCCCATATCTAACCAATCACCAAATCTTTTCATTTCTTCCTTGTCTCTTGGAGTTTCACCCTTTCTCTCTATACCCACTGCTTCTATCCTATTCCATAAATTCACACCCAGTTTACGGCAACTTCTGGTTTCCCTGCCTGTGGGTGGGGGTGGGAGGCAGGGTACTCAGTCTCTACTGTACAAAAATGCCAGACACCTGTGGAGGTCAAGAGGGAAGCAATGTAGAAAGGGGCCACTGATGCACCTAAATGGGTAGTATTTTCTCAGGTTCTCTTGGTGGTTCAAAATGGCTAGCTGGCTGGGTCTCAATAGCTCTGCCTCTATCCAGTGAGCAGAACAGATGCAGGCTGGCCCAAGCTACTCATTTGAGGCAGTATCGGTGCTAAAGGCACTGATCCCGTCTCCCCTGACCCATCTATCTGCATTTACATTGAGCTATGTTTACACAGACAGTCCGAAGGGGAGAAATGAAGCAATGAACCAGATAATTTAGGCAAACATCAACTCTCTTCTCCTTGTGAGTGTAACTGCTACCCAAACAGGCCTTTCAAGGATTATGAAACCAGAGGGTAAAGACACCAACCCAGAAATTACAGTAGCAGAGCTGCCTCCTATATATTTATAGGTTCTGTAATTTCAATTCAACTTTAAAATATTTATTGAGTACCTTTGATGTACAAGGCCCTGTTCTAGGCATTGGGAATACAAAGACAAAGGTGAAATAGCTTCTGCTCTCAAGGTGCTTCCATGGGGGGGTGGCGGGGAGAATCCATACTATGCACAAGTAATTAAATACAAAGTGTTTACACAGTCATACAGAGCTACTTTACACTTATGCATACAGAGTCATCTGTGAATTCGATCAGTGAGGGAGGGCATTTGATCCTTGGAGCAGGAAGGCAGCAGTTGTTGCCAGTAACCTGATGAGGGCACCACTGTCCCCCTCAGAGCCTAGGCTTTAAGGTATGTGTTTCTAAACTGGCCCTCATACCACAGGAGCTGAGTTGTCAAGAGAACCAGATAAGACCTCCATGTAGCAGGACCAAAACAGCAGAGCCATGGGGAGCCCGGTCACCTGGGTGGCTTTCCTGTGTGTAGTCACTGTTTGTGTTCCCTGTGATTACATGTATCCCTGAGGGTAGACTTGTTCTTTGCTGAGAGTTACTAGAGATCTCAAGGTACAGTGTACAAGGGCTAGCGTATCAATGATGGCATATCACAAAGTCAATAGCTACATCTTTGACAACTCCATCAGAGCTCTCTCCTACTGTCCTGGAGGTAAGCTGTAATGACACCAACCAGCCGACAAATCTGAGCAAGAGGATGAGAAGAGTGGCTCACATTTATATAGGTTTCTATAAGGTTTATAAAGCACTTTCCTCACAACCCTATGAGGTGGGCCCTATAGGCATTATTACCCCATATTACAGGTGAGGAAACTGAAGCCCAGAGAAGCAAATGGGACTTGGCCAGGATCAAAAAACAAATAAATGTAACAGCCAGGGTCCCCAGGCCTCCTGACTCCAGGTCCAGTATTCTGTCCATAATACCTTATATGCGGATGGATGACACCAACAAATTCATCCCTGGAGGGGGTAGGGGAGAGAGAGAAGACAGGGAGACAGATACTCCTAGGTGCAACTTGTTTTTGATTAAGGCAGAAGCAAAGACCTAAATCTCCCAGGGCCACAGTAAACCCACTTCTTTCCTTGTGGCTCCCCACAGATATAAATACCACCCAAGTTGCCCCTGAATTGCTAGGGAACTGTAGAAGATTGATTTTACAATTAATAATGGGCAAGGAGAAGCCCTTTCTGAGATGTCTGAGGGGCCAGAAATAGCTGATGTCTGCAGATTCCTCAGGCCCCCAAACTAGGCCATCTTCCATAGCTTGGCAGAAGCTCAGTCCTTCCTTAACCACTTTTCCCTTTGCTAGGAATGTTTTTTCTTCTTCCTCACTTATTTTAAAGAAATTCTTGTGCTTTTTTCATTAAAATCTCTCAACTCTCTTTTCTCCCTCCAAAAAGGAAAAAAAAAATAACAATCCCAATTACAAATGGGGCAGGGAAAAGTTCTTTGACCGCATCGGCCAAAAAAGATGGAGTATTTGAAGTGGAGAGGCTGAGCTGATATTTGGATGAGCCCCTGTATTCCAACTTTGTCCTCTTTCACTGTAAAGAGAGGCTTTCCCAGAACATTTTCATTAAAGGATGGCTCACCTGAATGGATGACATGCACAATCACCATATTTCACCTGAGGCCTAGACTTGACAACTTTCTTCCGCAGACAGAACATGTACATGGCTTGCTTACTTGTCAGTCGCAGTCTTGTCTGGTTTGACTCGCTTTCGGTATGGCTGCTAATTTGGGCCAACAGTTCTGGTTGGCATTGCACTCGAAGTCCTGACATCCGCAGTACTGAGCTTGTCTTCAGAGTCCTGTCTGTTCCTGCTTGTTCATGCGGCTGCTTTTACAGCTGGGTTTCCCAAATGACACCAGAGAGATTCTGATCGATCAGAACAAAGGCATCTAAGAGCTTGGGGTGACAGATATGCTTTGATATAAGTCCAGGTCTCATTGTTCTCCCCTCAGCATTTCCCAATTGATATGGAACTCCCTTCTAGAACTATACAAGGCAGGCCTGTGTGACAGGAGAAACAGGCTACCCTCAATCTTGGTTCTCCTTCAACCTGCTCCAGAGCCAAGCTCTCCAGTGCCTGATGCATTGCAAACCAAGTGCTAAAATTCTGCTGCCAAATTGACGTCGAGTGATTTCTTGGCAAGCAGGCTGGCGGGAGGACGTTTGAACTTCAAAAAGATTGCGCTGTTGCTATTCATTTCAGAGACAGGACTGAAATACTTCCACAGAAATCCCTATCAGTCAATAATAGGATCAGATTCTGACTCTTAAATGAAAGCTTGATCATTTTCCTCTGTCTACTTCTCTTTCTCCCTCCATCTCTACCCTCACCCCTACCCCAAGCACCTTTCAACTGGCTGCACCAGCAGGTGAATGGCAGGTCAGTTGTCTGGCTTACATAGGCCTCATCTGAGAAAATTGCACAGTCTTGAACAGTGTCCCTTTCCCTACTCATGTATTTGCCATTTATCCTAATCCAGATCTTGATTATTAAGAGGTTGATGATATACTCTGTGGATTATTCAGGCTTCTTTCTCCTTGCTAATGCCTAGAACTTTTTGTAAGGCACCACATGGATTTTACTTATGTGTCAGCGTGTTTTAATGGATAAGGCTCTGGACTTTGGAGTTAGGAAGACCTGAGTTCAAATCCCACCTTAGACACTTATTAGCTGTGTGACCCTGGTCAAGTCACTTGTTGGCCCAAATGGGTCTGAGTTTCATCACCATCAATGAGGGATTTAAACTAGATGACCTCTAAGGTCCAATCCAGCCCCAAGCCTATGATCCCCTACTTCTATGACCAGCCCTTCTCAATCTACTTTGCTCGATCATCATCCTGCTTCTTGGTCTGGGTTTACTCTATCCTGGACTTTCTTCTCTTTTCATGCTATACAATGATTGAAAGTTATGCTGACTCAGTGAGCCATTGTTCCCAGCCTTGCTTGTTAGTGTTGGGGGAGGCAACCATAATCTGCAGCTTTTGGCATTACCTGCTCTTGGTCATTTATGCCTACCCTGAAATTGTCTCCTATTTTGCTACCTAGGGGAAGAACTAAGATTCAAGAGCCCAACCTCTTTTGTTGACATTGACCTATCTGAATTGTCTTTATCGGAAGTTACCAATAAAAGCTGGCCCTGCCTTGAAGCCATCGGAGATCAGTCTGCCAACCCAGCAGTACTACCTTGCCATACTTATGATGAACTCCTTTTAATTCTCTTTGTCCTGAGTTTTGCTTTGTTAATCAGAGTAAAACCCCAAACAATTTTCCTTTCAACACTATCTCTTGGTGATCTCAGTAGCTAACCATGGGTTCAATTATCATCTCTATATAGATGACTCCAAAATGCATTTATCTAACCCTAATTTCTCTCCTGAACTCTAGTCATCCATCACCAACTTCCTGTGGGATATTGCCTCCTTGATATATTATAGGCATCTCAAACTTAACATGAGCAAAACAGAACTCATTCTCTCCACCCTACTCCTACCCTACCTCTGTTCCAGATAGCCTTGTTTGTAGTGAGGTTACCGTCATCCTTCCAGAAACTCAGGTTCACAACCTCAGAGTCACCTTTGATTCTTCTTCTCCCTCCCCTCTTCCCCCCCCATCTAATTAGTGACCAAAAGCTTATCAGACTACCTGTACAACTTGTATATCTGCCCCCTTTCCTCCCTCACAGCTTTGACAATAGTTCATACTTCTATTTACTCTCACCTGGTCTAATTCAATAGCCTCTTATTTGATTCCCTTGGTTTCATCCTCTCCCTTCTCCAATGGATCCCACACACAGCTGCCAAAATAATCTTCCTTCAGCACAAGTGTGACCATGTCATTCCTCCATTCAAAACATTTCAGTCATTTCCTATTTTCTCTAGGATAAAATGCGAATTCCTCAGCTTAGAATGTAAAGTCCTTTACAGTCGTTACTTTCCATGTACACTATGTTCCAAGCAAATTGGTCTCCTAGCCACACTCCAATCTAGGCATTTTACCTCCATGCCTTTGAGTCTTTGCCCCATGCCTAGAATACATTTGCTCCTCCTCTCTGCCTCTTAGAATTCCTGGTTTCCTTCAAGATCCACCTCAGATGTTACCTCCTAAGTAAAGTTTTTCCTAATCTGCCTGTTTCTTAGTACCCTGTCCTCAAAAGGTCTTGTATTTATTTACTCATCCCTTTACATTTTCATCTTCCAGTAGAATATAAACTCCCTGAGGAAAAGGGCTTTTTATTGTCTTAGTAACACACTGGGGGGGGGGGGCCTACCCTATGCTAAGCATAGTGCCTTACACAATAGGCTCTTAATCCCTTTTTTGTTTCATTGGATTGAGAACCAGAAATAGACAACATTTCCATGCAAGGCTTGACCCAAATGCTGCTGATTTGCATGCCATAGATCCTTTGCTAGCATCCTTTCATGCAAACTGGACTCTAGCCAAGCAGCTTCACTCACAAACAGCTGGCCCTTGATTCTTAACTCTTTGTCATTGTCATCTTTTTGTCTGTTATAGTTAAATATGAGAGGATCAAATTTCTCGTTGTTGCTTTGAGGAATTCAGTTGAGGTCTATGCATGGGCACCGAAACCGTACCACAAGTTTATGGCCTTTAAGGTGAGTGAACCATGATCTTGTCCTTCATCCCTTTTAGGATGTGTCATCGCAATTCCACTTGGACAGCAAGAACAAGAAGATATAAGATTCTTCCAGTTTGAATAAATGTGACCATTGTAGAACAACTCCATCCATCTATTCCGGAATAGTCAGTGGGATATTTATAATACTCCATAGGTTAACACCATGGTATTTAAAGGAATAGAACTAGACTTGTAATTTCATTAGTATAGGGAACTCTCACATGAAGAAACTCCATTTACTAATGGAGGTTGGCAATTTCTCTGCAACTTTATAGTCTTAGAGAGTTGCATAGAGCACACTGAGAGGTTAAATGACTTCCACATACATAATCAGTATATATGGCTTGAACCCAGATGTTTCTTGCTTCAAGACTAGCTTTCTATCCACTTGTTTTAAGTGAGAATGGGAAAGCACAGATTTGAGGCTAGAAAGTAAAAAAGATGCCAAAGGTAAAAAACGAATATCAATGATGATTCAATCAACATGGAGGCAAACAACAGTTTCTGTTTTATGGGAGAGTTCATCCCATTCACATTCACAGTTATGATTATTAATTATGTATTTCCCTCTATACTATTTTCCCCTGTTTATACTTTCCTCTCTCCTTTCACCCTGTCCCTCGTCACCAGTGTTTTGCTTCTGACCACCGCCTCCCTCAATCTGCCCTCCCTTCTATCAGCTCCCCCCCCACCGCTTTCCTTTTCTTTCCCCTTTCCTCTCCTACTTCCATGTAGGGTAAGATAAATTTCTATATCCAACAGTGTGTGTATGTTATTCACTCTTTGAGCCAAATCCAATGAGAGTAAGGTTCAAACAATGCTCACCCCCTCCTATCTTTCCCACCACTGTAATAGGTCTTTTGTGCCTCTCATGTGATATAATTTACCCTACTCTTCCTCCCCCTTTACTCTTCTCCTAGTACACCTCTTTTTTCACCCTCTTAATTTTTTTATATCATCACATCAAAGTCAACTTATACCTACACCCTCTGATTATGTATACTTCTTCTAACTGCCGTAATAGAGAGCCTGTGTAGGGATGTAAACAGTTTAATCTTTTTGAATAACATGGTTTTTTCTTTCCGATTTACCTTTTTATGCTTCTCATAAGTCTTGTATTTGAAGATCGAATTTTCTGTTCAGCTCTGAGTTTTTCATCAGGAATAATTGAAAAGTCCCCTATTTAATTGAGTGTCTATCTTCTCCCCTAAAATATTATGCTCATTTTTGCTGGGTAGTTGATTCTTGGTTGTAATCCAAGCTTCTTTGCTTTCCAGAATATCATATTCCAAGGCCTCCAATCCTATAATGTAGAAGCTACTAAGTCCTGTGTAATCCTGACTGTGGCTCCTTGATATTTTAATTGCTTCTTTCTGCCTGCTTGCAGTATTTTCTCCTTGACCTGATAATTCTGGAATTTGGCTACAATATTCCTTAGAGTTTTCATTTTGGAATCTCTTTCAGGAGGTGATTGGTGGATTCTTTCAATGACTATTTTACCTTCTGGTTCTAGGATACCAGGGCAGTTTTCCTTGATAATTTCTTGAAAGATGCTGTCCAGGTTCTTATTTTGATCGTGGCTTTCAGGTAGTACAATAATTCTTAAATTGTTTCTCTTGGATCTATTTTCCAGATCAGTTGTTTTTCCAATGAGGTATTTTACATTTTCTTCAGTTTTTTCATTCTTTTGATTTTGTTTGATTCATTTTTGATGTCTCATAGAATCATTAGCTTCTACTTGCCCAAATCTAATTTTTAAGAAATTATTTTCCTCATTGATCTTTTGTACCTCTTTTTCCATTTGGCCAATTCTACTGTTAAAGGAGTTGTTTTCTTCAGTGAATTTTTGTGCTTCCTTTTCCAAGCTGTTGACTCTTTTTTCATAATTCTCCAAAATAACTCTCATTTTTTCCCCCAATTTTTCTTCTGCCTCTCTCACTTGATTTTCAGAATCCTTTTTGGGCTTGAGACCAATTCATATTCCCCTTTGAAGCTTCACGTGTAGGCATTTTGACATTGTTGTTATCTTCTGAGTTGGTGTTTTGATCTTCTCTGTCGCCATAGTAGCTTTCTGTGGTCAAGGCTCTCTTTTGTTTTTTGCTCATTTTTAAAAGTTGAGCTCTGCTCCTGAGTGAGGCATGGGGCACTGTCCCAACCTTCTTGTGCTGAGGGTCAGGGGCCTGGTCACTGGCTTTCTGCACCAGAGCGTCAGATGCTGGCAGTTTGCCTTCTATGCTGGGGCTGCAGTGATGTGTCACTACCCTGCAGAGGCAGAACTGAGGGGCCTCGGTTGTTGATCTGTGATGTGACTTAGATCCTCTTGCTGGCTTGCCTGGACACTGTCTGCTCTGGGCTACACTCCCCTTTTACCCAAGTGAGATTGACCTTTCCTGAAGTTCTTCTAAGTTATCTTAAGCTGGGAAATTGTTTCACTCTGTCTTTTTGTGGGTTCTCTTGCTCCAGAATCCATTTAAAGGCTTGATTTAACATTGTTTCTGAGAGAAACTGAGGAGAGCTCAGGCAACTTCCTGGCTTTTCTCTGCCATCTTGGCTCTGCCTCTCAAGTATATGATTCTTAGAACTTGATCAGGGCTTAAGGTTTAACAAGAAAATCTTGTAGCTTGTCTTGAATGTGCTCTGGAACCTGCCTAGGACAGCTTGACCCACCTGGGTTTTCTCCTTCCTTATTAATCTTACATTGGCTAATCCCTAGACTTCCATGCCAAGTGATCTTTTGTTTGAGTTGAAGATGTTATTTCATCCTTTCTCACCATATTTTTTTATGATTACAGTCATTCCACTCCCTTTATCAGAAGCCTCTGGCAGTTGACCTCACAGTGGAAAATGGACAGAGACTGAAAGTGATCTATGGCTCAGTTGCAGGATTCCATGCCATCGATGTTGATTCTGGGATGGTTTATGACCTATACCTACCGACTCATGTAAGATAATCCCTTCTAATTCCCATAAATGATTATTTAATGATAGTTGCTTTCTTTCCTAGCTGGTTCTTCTAAAGCTTTTGAAAATGTCTGTCAAGCTTTTCTTATACTAACTACCAGCATTGATAAGGGAGTGCCCAAGTATATCAGACATTGGCCTTGGATAAAGAATGCAACTCCTTAATCCTTCTGAACTCCAATTCATTAGCTCATTCCTTAAAATGCAAAAGGACTATTTTCTGATAAGATGTCTTCAGATGTAGAGAAACCAACAAGGGAAAATTGTATTCTCAATCTGATTTTCATCACCAAGGATGCTGAGGTAGAAATAATGGAAACTTTTGGAGAAATGACTACTCCCTCCTAGATTTTGTGTTGGAAGAAAGGAATATTGAGCCTAATCTGAGATGCATCCTAAATTTGAGGAGAGAAGATTTCAGAGGGTTCAGAGGAAGGAGAGGTAGGATCCTATATGCCAAAATCTTTGGAAATCAGCCAAGAAGAGATGAGAAGTTTTCAAAAATTAAATTCTAAAGACAGAAAGGGGAATGATTCTAATGAAGAGGGAAAAGGATAATTGTCTGAAGAGACCAATGTAGATGCATAGAGAACTCACCAAAAAACTCAGATGTGGCAGAGTTGTTCACTTGGGAGAACGGAGGAATGCTGTAGATAGAGTTTACCTAGATTTTAGCACATGTTCAAAAGATGATGAGATATGGCATGGACAATTAGGTGGATTTGGATCTAGTTGAATGGTCAAGGTCAACTTGGAAAAAAGTTGGATGGTGAGGTCCAATGGTTTGATATCAACTTGGCAGGAGGTTCCCAGTGGAGTACCCCAGGGATTTATGCTTGGCCCTGTTCTATTTAACATTTCTACCCATGACGTATATAAAGGCACAGATGGTACGCTTATCAAATTGGCTTAAGCCACAAAGCTGGGAGAAAGAGCTAAACACTGGAAGACAAAGTCACAATCCAAAAACAAACTGTTGACAGGCTACAACATTGAGCCAAATCTAATAAGATGATATTTACAAGGGATAATTGCAAAGACTTATGTAGATCAAAAAATCCTATTTACAAGTACAAGATGGAGGAGGCACCATTAGGCAGCAGTTTGGCAGCCAGGTGATCTTGGGCCATGTTAAAGAGACATAGCTTCAGAAAAATGAGGAAACAACAGTCCTTCTTCTCTACCTTTGATGTGCCTTGCTCCATTTCCTTCAGGCAGGAAGCATAAAGGTGAGATTTGAACCCAGGCCCTCTGACTTCAGAGCCAATAGTCATTTCACTGCACCACACTATCTTCTGTAATATGGAAAAGCTAAGGGAGTCAGGTTGTTCCTTTTTCTTCTTAGGCTTTGCTTTTATTGAATGTTTTGTTGGTACTGATATTCAAAAAACTCCCGCCAGAAAGGATCTAGGAATCATTATTAACATGATAAAATCCCTTCCTGAGCAAATGGCTAGTGGGATTCCAAGCCTTCTGAATGCTTGAAGAGGTAATGATGATGAGGAAGAAAAGGAGAAGGAAGAGCAGGAGGTGGATGATGACAGTAATGAGGAGGAGAAAGAGAAAAACAACAGGCACCAGTTCCGGAGTAAGGAGGACCTGAATTCAAATCCAGCCTCAGACACTTGACACTTAATAGCTGTGTGACCCTGGGCAAGTCATTTAACCCCATTGCCTAGCCGAGAGAGAGAGAATGAGAATATAACAACATCTATTCTGGTGCTTTATGGTTTACGAAGTACTTTCCTCAAAACAATCTGTAGTGAATAAATGCTGGACTTGGATTCAAGAAGATGTGGGTTCAAATCCCACCTCTGACACTTATTAGCTATTTGGCCACAGGGTTCTCTGAGCCTCAGTTTTCTTATCTGTAAAATGGCAATAATGACACCTGAAGAACCTAGCTCTCAGATTTGTTGTAAGCTTCACGTGAACTAGTATATTTCATGTGTTTGGCAAACCTTAAAGTACTCTATAAATGTAAGTTATTATTATTGTCATCATCCCCATTTTATAGATACGAAACTGTGGCTCAAAGAGATGAAATGCCTTGCTCAAGGTCACTACATATCAGAGCCATGATTTGAACACAGGGTTCTTGGCTTGACACAACTAATTAGCAAAAAGGAAATAAAATCTTAGCTTGCATTAAGAATTTTGGCCTCCTGGTCCAGGTGATAGAAATGATAGTTCTGCTGTATTCTGCCCATCAGACTCCAACTGGAGAGTGATCTTCACTCCTGAGGGCCACATCTCAGGCAGATCATTAGTAAAACTGGAGAATGTCCCGAAGAGCATGATCAATACAAGAAAAGACCTTGAGGTCATGCCCCAGGAGGACAGAATGAAAGAACTGAGGGTGAGAAAATAAGACTCAGGAAGTAGCACATGCTAGTCACTTTCACAGTTTTAAAGGGCTTTCATATATAAGAGGGATTAGACTTGTTCTGCTTGGCCCCCGAGGGCAGAACTGGGACAGAGCAATGGGTTGAGGGTGCGGAGAGGTGTCTGAGCTGTCCACAAGCAGAACGGGCTCCCTCTGGAGATAGTGGGCTCCCCATCACGAGAGGTCTTTAAGCAAGACTGGCTAATGACTTGTTGGTGATACTGTAGAGGGGATTCTGAGTCAGGTGGGAGTAACTAGGACTAGATTGATCTAAAGTCCATACCAGCTCTGAAATCCTGTGATTCTAATTGCTAACAGTCTATGACTCCACATCCCTGGCTCTTTTGCTCTTTTCTTTCCTACCAGAAAGGAACATTTTCTAATTACTATATAAGATAGAGGAGTGAGGGAGGAGAAAATTAAGCCTTAAGCCTTTTAAATCACTCTTTTTGACAGCAGATACCCAGCCTAATTAGGATAGCTCATGTATGTACCAAAATAAATTTTTAATCTGAATGCCCCAATATCATCGGCCTCTCAGGAGAGCGTGGATATCATTCCTGTGGGTTCTTCCTTTTTAAAGCAGAACAATCTAAAAATAAACGTTAGCTTCAAGCTGCTGGATCAGAAATGCTGTGCTTCTCCGAGGGGACCCCAACCTGTTCAGAGGCTTTGCTTACTTTAGGGATGGTTGAAGAGACAAGAATTAGCTCTTGGTGTCTGTAGTTCAGTTTGATTAGAAAACGCCTGCATCGAGACCTGCTGACTCTCTCCTGGTCTTGCACTAGCACCTGAACTCTCCTCCTCTCCTGCCTTTCACCTCTCCTCTGCACCAATAGCTCATGGGAGTACCAAGGCAGCACATTAAAATCACTCTCCGCCTCTGGATCCCAGTTTTAGTTTTGCGGATAGTAACGGCTGAGACATGGACTCAAGCTCTTGGCCTGAGCGCTCTCAGTTTGGCAAGGACAGCTTCTGCCCTCCCTGTGGTGGTTAGTACATGAGATTGTGGACGTGGGGGTGGAGGGATGGGGCTGGGTTAAGAGAAGTCCTCCCCCATGTTGATAGTTTGGAGATGGTACCAAAAAGCTTGATGATGTTGACTTTGGGGGAAAATACTTGACTGGGAAAATGTCTAGTGTTGGAATTCATTTTTGTCACATGCTACTGTTGTGTGCAGCAGGAGAGTTAGAAATGCTAGGATGTTCTCTCATGCCTCAAACAGCTCTCTTGGTAAATGATATGCATGTTTGTTATTTTTTTCTGTATAGTAAATCTCTCACATTTAATTCCTGACCTCATGCAGTTGTTAAAGTCTACTGAGTATATGGTAGGGATGGTTTCTTTGGTCGAACATCTGCTAAAGATGTTCACATTTAGCAAAATGAAATATTTGAAGCTTAGTGCACTTTAAAAAATGTCTAATGATTCTATTTCTAGTTTGATTAGAAATTCTTCTTAGGTTCTAACTGGTTAATAAAGAATGAATGAGTTTAGGGTGTATACTCAGGCTTGGTGTCCGTTATCCTAAAATCTTCTTATGATGAGCCGCTTGGCTGGCCCTTGTTTGGGGAAAATCCTTTTTGAATCAAATGACATCTCTTCTTCCATGGTTTGTCAACACCAGTTCCTTGAGAAGAATTTGGGAGATTCTTCGGTGTCTGACATCCATCTTAACTTCTTCTGAGCTGGGATTTCTTTTCAAAATAAAGTGAAAGATTGAACAAGGACTATTTTATGAACTCTAGCATAATAACAGGAAAGAGACTCTTTCCAAGGGTTGGAGAGAAAAGCATATAGTCTTGTTGTGAAATAGATGTTTCTTTTCCCTTTCCTGAGCTGTAAACCTGCTTTGTGTTCATTGCACTGCCAAGTTCCTTTGATTGATGTAGGCTCTGGAATTGTAGTCAGGCTGGTCATCTAAATCCTTATAAAATATCATTCCAGATCCAGGGGAGCATTCAGCCACATACTATCATCATCCTGCCCAATACCAGTGGCACAGAACTTCTGCTCACCTATGAAGATGAAGGCGTCTATGTTGACATATATGGACATTTCACCAAGGAATCGATTTTGCAGTGGGGAGAAACCCCAGCATGCGTGGGTATGTATGAGACATAGTCCCTACCCAAATGGCTTGGTAGAGACTTCTTATATGTTCAGGTAGTTAGCATGAAAACAGAGCTCATCCATGGCTTTACACATCCTTTCATTGGGGGGCTCAGCAGGCTGACTGATAAATGTACATTTTGTGCTTAAAACATTTGGGGCAAGGACAGACTTGGGGATGTTGGAGTTGGTGTTCATTCACAATAATCACATGACTGAAACCCAATCAGATTTGATTCTATAATCATATATTAATTTTGGTTTTGTTTACTCTCCATACAGAATTTATATAGACAGTGAAAATGTACCCCCACACCCCCACTTCCAGCTGATTTATTCCTGTATCTGCCTTTATTAAAGAGACCAGCACATAGAAAGGGGGAGGAAATGTTTGCATCCCTCACAGTAGCGTTTCATGTAGAAATATTTCACAGGCTCATAGGATCCTAGATGTATCGGACACAGAGAACACAAAATAACAAGAATTTGCATTCAAGTTCATAAAAGAGCAAGACAAATGACCTTCTTTCTCTGACAAACTCCATTCCCCATCTCACCCAGATCATAGTGATAGCATCATGGGAATATGGAATTTAGAACTTGAAGGACCTGTGAGATTATCTAGTCTGGGGCTTCTTAAACTTTTTCCACTTGTGACCCCTTCAGCACTTCTTAAACTGTGTAACCGCAATACTTTTTTTAATCATTTATTTGTCTTTTACTTGATAACTTCAGTTGTTTTATACCAGTCACTTCCTAATATCTCCTTCCCGCCTCCCCTCATGGAATCCTTCTAATAAAACCGCAAAGTCAAATGTATCGTCCAGACAGTTCAGAAAAACAGAGATAGCACGTGCAGTATTCCACACTTGTAGTCCCCCCTTCTCTACTAAGAGGAGGGGTATATGCTTCCACATCTGTTTTCCAGGATAGATATTGATCATTGCCATTAATCTGAGCTCAGAGATACCTTTGAGTATCATTTCCATTTTCATCATGGTAGTTGTTATAGGTGCTTTTCCCTCAGTTCTACCTTGCTTCATGTCGGTCAGTCCTCCCCATGCTTCTCTAAATGCCTCATATTTGTTATTTCTTACAGTACAATAATATTTCATTAAATTCATGTACCACATTTGGTTAGCCATTCCCCAATGGAAAGACATCTACTTTGTGTCTAGTTCTGAGTCCAAGTCTTACAAAACAAATCCTTTTATTAAGGGGATCTGTTCATTGAAGTTTGGATTCAGTCAAAAAGCTGCACTTGAGGACCTAGAGGACCACATGTGGCCTCGAGGCCATAGGTTCCCCACCTCTGGTCCAGTACCTTCCCCCATCACAAAAAAGTACTGCTATGAATGTTTTCATGTATGTGGGACCTTTCTTTGTATCTTTGACCTTCTTGGAATACCCCCAAGAAAGAAAGGAAGTTGCCTTGACTGTTTATGGTTGTGGGTATGAGTCCTTTGTGTTTTGTATTTTCAGGGGTGCCCTCCTGATATCTGACTCTCCCAGAAGTGTCATTCTTTCCTCCCTGTTGTGTTAGGGTCAACTATTCCATAGCCTTCTTTATTCTCTCTTGACCTTTCTCTCTGTAGTTTGATTATGTTGGGCTTTATCTGGTCTTGAGCACTAGTGACAGGGTTAGGGTGAATGGACTTCATTGTCACAACCTTCGATATTTTCTAGTTGTGCAGCTCCAGTATTTTTCAGATGAGAAAATGGAGGTCCATTGAGGGGAAGTAACCTGTTCAAGGTCACCCAGGTATTAAATAACAGAGATGCCCTCCTTTATCGTAAAAACTTTCCATTCTTGCTTAACAGCGCAGTCAACCTAGAAGTACTGTGTTGGTTAGAATATTTTCTTGGTGTTCAGACATTTGAGAAAGTTCACTTGGTCAGTTGTGTTCCATGCAAACCAGAGACACTGGAGGAGTGTCACAAACAGGCCCAGGGAACCTGCAGACAAATATACCCATCTGGCCAGAAGATTCCAGTTACTCTGCAGCCCATAAACAAATTCTCTCCACTCCTCACCCCCAATCCATGATGGAAAATTAGATGTCTGGACTGTAGCCATTTAAATAACCACCTGATCAGTTCCCCAGATGTTCTGCCCTTGCTCTTGGGTTAGAGTCAAACATTCCATACACTTGCATAGCCCTTCTCGACCTTTCTCTCTCTACCTCAGTTAGGTTGGGCTGCGTGTGGAAGTGAGAACATGTGGTGGCACAGTTAGAGCGAGAGAGCTTCTTTGGCACAAGCGTTTATGGTTTCCAATGGTGATTGTACCCGTATCCAAAAAGAAGGGATTCTGTGACACTATTTTAAATAGTGCCCTGAAAACGTGTCCCCGATTCTTCAAATAGGTGAGAGCCCAGAAAAGGTTGAAAACCATCGGCTCTCAAGGAGCCCATTTTCAGTGACAGAGAAGGCAAAGGCTTGTAACATAATTGACAGATCTGGGGCAAGGAAACCTAAAAATAACAGATCTGGGTCTAATCTTTACAGTGACATCTCTGCAACCAACATGTTCATCAGAAACAGAAATAAGGAGGTTCATTTCTACTAGGAAATTTAATAAAAGTTCACTCTATTAGCACTATTTGATACTTAATTGTAGGGGTCAAAGGGGTGGTGAGAAGTTATAGGATCACAGTCAGAGATCTTGAACTGGAAGGGACTTCAAAAGTCATCCAATTCAACCCCCTTATTATTACAGAGGAAGAAACTTAGGCTCAAAGAGGTTAAGTGACTTGCTCAGGGTCCCACAGTTAGTAAGTAACAGAGACAGGGTTTGAACCCTGGTTTCTGGTTCCACATCCAGCACTCTGTCTGCTGTACCACTGCCTCTATGTCTTCTAGTTCAGCCCTGTCCTTAGGCACAACAATACTTGACCCAAAAAGTTAAAATATTTCATCGACATGGGCTATCAGAGCTGAAAGAGAAGAGAAAGCCCATCTAATCTAGCCCTGTCTTTATACCAAGGGGGAGAAGAGACCTACCTAAGGTCATTCAACCAGCCATTGGCAAAATTGGAACAAGAACCTAGACTCCTTACTCCCAGTCAGTCCAGTGTTTCTTTTACTATAGCTTGAGAACTTTATCAAGAAGGCCCCCCATGTCTCCCTCAAAGGACATTTGATCTTTAAAAGGGGACAAAGTAATGGAACATCTCCAGGGCAGGGTTCTAGGCATCCAGCACAGTGTACTGGTGGGGTGGGGGTGGGGTGAATGGGAAGAAGTATGTGCAGGGGAATTGGTTTCTAGCTTACCTAATTATGGAGGTGGTGAACTCTTAATTATCCTCTGGAGTAGAAGGGGGTCATGGCACGGCCAATGATCCAAAAACCCCGCCAGCTTGGCCTCAGACTCTATTGGTTATGCTTTTCTTAAAGTTAATAGAATTTTATAGACTTCACCTTATGCATATGTAAAATAAATGATCGATGATGAAGCAGCTGCTTGTCTCCTGACAGAAAGGTGATAGACTCAAGATGAAGAATGAGAAACACATTTTCAGACAAGGTCAATGTGGAAGTTTGTTTTGTTGGACTATCCATATTTGTTACAAGGCTTTGATTTTGTCTTTTTGGTGGGAGGGAGTGGAAAAGAAAGAAAATAAATTTTTATTAACTGGAAAAAAGCCAAATAAGCTGAAAGCTACATAAAAATAAAATGAGAATAAAGTAGATGAATTCTAATTTCCTATCCATCTCTAAAATAATATGATTCTTGTAATTAAAATAATTGGTTTGTAGATGTTAATAAAATAAAATAAATGATAGCATTGTGAAAAGACATTTTGATTTACAGGTTAAATCTCTCCAAAATTAACAATAGCTGGCATTTGTATAGCATCTTAAGGTAGGCAAAAAGCTTTACAAAAATGTTATCTCACTTGGTCCTCACAACAACCCTTGAGGTAGGTGCTATTATTATTCCCATTTTACAGATGAGGAAACTGAGGCAAACAGTTACCCCACCCCCGCTGCCATAAAATATAGTCATATTTTTGACTTTTCCAATAAGTAGCCTGGAAGCTATGAAAATCAGAAAATGTCTGTGGAAGACTCTTTAGGCAAGTGACACTAAAAGAATAGATAAGACATATAAATAGTTGTGCCCTTCTCTGAGCATTGAAAAGAGGGTGTGCTATGGAGTCCCAACCATTTCAGAATCCTGGAATAGTCCATTTCTAAGTACTCCACCTTGGGCGGCTAGGTAGTGCTGCATTGGATAGAGCACTAGGCCTGGAGTCAGGAAGACCTTAGTTCAAACCTGGCCTCAGACACTTATTAGCTGCGTGATGCTGGGCAAGTCACTTAACCCTGTTTGCTTCAGTTTCCTCATCTGCAAAATGAACTGGAAAAAGAATGGCAAATCACTCCATTATCTTTGCCACGGAAACCCCAAATGGAGTCATGAAGAGTAAGACATGACGGAAACAACTGAACGACAGTTATGTTCAAATCTGGTCTCAGACACTTCCTAGCTGTGTGACCCTGGGCAACTTAACCCTGTTTGCCTCAGTTTCCTCATCTGTCAAATGAGCTGGAGAAGGAAATGGCAAACTGTTCCAGTATCTTTGCCAAGAAAACCCCCAAAGGGGTCATGAGAGTTGGACATGACTGAACAACTCTTTTACTCTAGGCCACCATCTAAGATTCATTTTATGGAGGAGAAAACTAAGGCTGAGAGAAGTGAGTGTCTGAAGCAGGATATGAACTCTGGTCTGGTCTTCCTGACTCTCGGCTCAGTGCTCAGTGTGCTGTATCACGTAGTCCTCTCCTTGGCCGTGTGCTTTTAACTACACTGTGCTGCTTGGTAACAGTAGGGAGAAAGTGCAGAAGAAGCCCTCAGACATGACATGAGGTAGGACACTGGCCCACTTTTCGGGAAGCTCTGAAACCATCATATTTTCTTTTCCCTCACTCTGAGTCCTGCCCATAAGTAATTTCAATCTCAAAATTGTGTATTACAACTTCAGTGGAGCCCTTCTAAATTTTTCCCGTTTCTCAATTTGGAATTATTAATCAATTTAATATCATATTAATTGACTGCCTTTTTATTTTTATTTTTTTTTTTGCAGCAACAATTGATTTATCTCTACTTTTTCCATCAGAAAAATCCAACTGGTTAAAACTTCCCCCAAATCCAGGCATACACAGTGAGAAAAGCTCCCCCAAGTCAATCTTTGACATTGTCCTGAGCCCTAATAAACCTTTACAATCAATAACTTAGTCTCTCTGAACTTTCCATCAACAGTATAAAACAATATAAACAAAGATGTTAGAATACCGAGGTGTAATATCAAAACTCAGGCAATCTTTAAGCAGTTCATGGCTTGGAAAGTAATGAGACCTCTTTTCCCCAATCCCAGGTAATAAAATTCGATACATCACATCTTTGAGGGTAGAGTACACTTACAAGCTGGGGTAAGCCATGCATTCATATGTCTGTCTTAAAAATTTTCTGTCAGATTTTGTTTTCAAGACCAAACTGGAAACCATGTGATACCAAAACCTTGGGCCCCGGCAAGTTTTAGCACATAGCTGAGACATCTTTGCTTAATTAACAAAACATGCACATACTATTTGTAATCAAATGTCAGTAGGTAAGGAGATGCAAAGAAACTTGGAATATATATTTTTAGTGTTTTGTTGGCACCCTTTTGTATTTCTTACATTATTGTCACTTCCCAGGGACTCTCTCTGCCCAACAGAGCCCTCTCTTTTAACAAATGAGTCCAGTTGAGCAAAACAAATCCACACATTGTCTATGTCTAAAAATGTGTGCCACATTCTGCACATGAAGTCCTCACCTCTCTCCTGATCCTTGGAAATCCAGTCCTACTTCATAAGGTCATTGTGAGGTTCAAATAAGATAAATGTATGTAAAACTTTTTGCAAACTTGGAAGTGCTATAGAAATGTCGGTTTTTTGTTTTGGACCAGACCTGTGATTACACTGATCCCACCATCCTCCTTCCATCTGTTCTGCAATTTAGGTTTTTGAAAGTTGCCTGGGGGCATAGAGAGATGAAGGGATCCCATAGTCAGTAAAAGACAGTGTCCAAGTCTTGACTGAATGGGATGCACGAGTGGGATCCATTAGTGTTGTCTGCTGGGGAAACACTTCTACGTGCTGAACGCATGTGGGAGCTATGTTTCCTAGCCCGTGTGGATCCTGGGAACGTGAACGCTCAGGATACAAGGAAACAAAGCATCTAAGGAAGAAAACTTACATGGTTAATTCAGTGCACTAAACACTTACAAACAGGTACCTGTGCAATGCCCTATGTTAGGTACTAGTCAGTTTCCTGAGTCTGAGTATACGTAAAGATAAGTTTGGCGCCAAGAAGTGGTGACCAAGTGTGGGGGTCAGGGCCCACATGAGACTAGGTGAGCATTAGGAGACTGGTTAGCTAGCTTTGGTCTGCAGGCTGCTTTGAGTGGCCATCCCAACTCCGAGGGCCTAAAAAACCCCAGGCTCTGGGCGCTGGGATCCTGACCCAAGCAGTTTGCACTGCACTGTGAAAGGGAATGTGAGTTGCTGACAAGTTCTTAGTGTGTCCTCAGGCTCAGAATGGTTCACAGTACCTTTGGCAAAGAGATTGCCACTTAAGTGGGCATAACCTTTTAACAAGCCTTTTTATGCCTATTTGATATACGTAACTGCAGCTTAGGGACGGCTTTGGTTTAAACAAAGACATTCTAGTAACTCCAGAAAATTTCAAAAATACAAATGAGTTGGTAGTGTTAAATCTCTTCCCTTTTACAAAGAAGAAAAAGGAAAATTGAGTGGAATTCTGATCTTTCCCCTTATTTAATTTGATATTTTCTAAATCCTTTCAGCTTCTGTCAAAACCTTGATATTATTTAAATGTTAGGGTTTTTCTTAATTTATGAAAATGGGCTTCCCTATGAAGAATGTGGCCTCTAAGCTCTTTCATTCAACTTTAATGACATTCTCTTCACAGCACCAGCTGGTTGAGCAGCTATTTACATAATGAGGGTTTCTGCATTAAGGCACTTATTGTCATAATCTTTATTGCCATAAAGTAATATAAAACTGCTTAAAAAAAAAACCTTCAAAATCCTGGTCAAGAGAGAGCCTTAAAAACTTCAAATCTGGTTAAGTCCTGCTTAGAACATGGAAATCTATTCAATTACATTACGAATGCTATAATCAATACCCTGAGCTGGCCCTTTTCCTTAACAGTTTTCATTGCTTAAGAGTCCATCTGCTTCCCACATACTTCATTTATACGGGACTATAAACCTAGGTAAGTTGTGGTCCCCCTAAAATATTCATTTCCTTCAAAGCTCAGCTCAAGTGCCACATTCTACCAAACATGTCTTCTGATCCTCTCTCCCCTGCCCTCCAAAATTACCTTGTATTCATTGTGTATATACTTATATAAACTGATGTCATCTCTCCCATTAGAATATAAGCTCTGTGAGGGCAGAGGCAGTTTCGGTTTTTGTCTTTGTATCCCTAGTGCCTAGCACAGTGCTTGGAGTATAAAGGGTGTTAATAAATGCTTGTTGGTTGCTTATACTGTACTTAAATAAAGGGGTGTGAGTGGATTTGAATTTCTGTTTAAAAAAAAAAAGAATCCATTCTTGATTCTCTCTCGTAATGGGGATCAGAGATCAAATCAATAATGGAAATCCAGAAGCCCTGTGTCTGCCAGATGTCACAATCCCTTAGAAAGGGGCAAAGAAATGGCACAATGAACAGGTCTGAGTACCAAGAGATGTTCCCAAGCCGTGCCAACTGGCAGTGAACTATGGCCACTGGGATGAGGAAAGGCAGCAAAGGGCTGACTGGGTTCATTCACAAACTGGATAGTCTTTCGGTAACCCAGAATGGACCACAATTCGCAGCTTTCTAAGTTTTTCCTTTTGCTTTTCTGTCATCAGCCTATCTCCAGTCAAACCAGATCATGGGCTGGGGAGAGAAAGCAATCGAGCTGCGCTCTGTAGAAGCTGGAAACCTGGAAGGAGTGTTTATGCACAAGAAATCCCACAAGCTCAAATTTCTGTGTGAACGAAATGACAAGGTGAGTATGTTCTGAAGGAGCAATTAACCAGCAAAAGTTGGAAATTAACTAGTTTAACCAAGGGAGAGATGTGCTTTTCCTCACTGCTCATTAAGAAAGAACTAACCATGCTAACCCAAAAAATGGTTAAACCCAGTTGGTTAAACGAGTTGGAAATTAACTAGTTTAACCAAGGGAGAGAAGTGCTTTTCCTTGCTGCTTATTAAGAAAGAACTAAATGTCTGCATAATGTTGCCAAAGGCAAATTCACCTTTCCCAGCAGAAATAGCTGGGGCATTTCTTGATTGAGTAAATGATTAAATGTGATTTTCAAAGAAAAACATTTGCAAGAAAAATCAAAGATTCCAGTCATGTCCCAAGCAGAGCTTAGCCATGATTTCTTTTGCTGTAGAACAGGTTATTGTATTTGAGCCACAGGCCCTTTTCTCTTCAAATTAAAATAAGGCCTTTAAACAGACTGTAAGAGCCTTTTAAAGCTGTCTGGGTAGCCCAAAGTGAAGGGGAGGTTTGGCACCTGCATTTGATTTGATCAATATTGACAACCAAAGCAAATTTCTAGGCAAGAAGCAAGGAGGGATAAGAGGGCAGAGCTTAGGATGGGGCACCTTAAGGCTGAAAGTGGGCAGCAGGCAGGGCCAGTGAACATCCAAGGTGACTTATAATGAATGCATCCATCAGATGAAGCCACTGGGTCAGAATCAGAATCCCAGGCAAAAAGCGCTAGAGCTGACAAGAACCTCAGAGGTCATCTAGTCCTACTGCCTCATTTTACAGAGAGAGAAAATGAGGCCCAGGGAGGAGGCTCACATAGGCAATAAGTGTCAGAGCAGGGATTTGAATGCATGTCTTCTGACATTAAGGTCAGTGAATTTTCTACCACATCATGCTAAATGGCATCTTTGGTCGGCCCCTTTAAGTATGCATATGATTCATTAGATGAAAAAAGAGTCATCACAGGTCACAGCTGTCAGTAAGAAATATGTTACATGCACACAGCCCATCAAAGCAGCTACTTAGCAGGAGAGCCCTTCCAACGCTTCTGAGGGTCTGTGCGGAGGATATGGGGGAATGGAAGGGGTGCTTTTAGCTATGTCAGGAGAAAAGCAGTGTATTCTGGGCTTACTCTAGTACTTTTCGGTTTGGCCCATTCCAATGGAGTACATGAGCTGTTTTGATCCTAGTGGGCAAAAACAGGAGCAGTGGGTGGAGGTTACAGAGAAGTAAATTGAGGCTTGATGTCAAGGGGGGAAAACTTCTTAATAAGTAGAACCGTCATGAAGTGGAATAGGCTGTCCCCGGCGGTATGGTGGCTTTCCCCACATTGAAAGTCTTAAATAGGCAGCTAGGTGGTGCAGTGGATAGAGCACAGCCCCTGGAGTCAGGAGGACCTGAGTTCAAATCCATCCTCAAGATGCATAACACTTACTAGCTGCGTGACTCTGGGCAAGTCACTTAACCCCAATTGCCTCACCAAAAAAGAAAAAAAAAGTCTTAAATAAAGGCTGGATGACCCTTTGTCAAGGATGTTGTAGAAGGGAATTGTTGCTCAGGCATGGTTTGGACCATGTGCCTCTGAGGTCCTTTCCATCTCTCAGATTCTTTGCTTCTCAAAGTATCCCTGGAAATTTGCAGTGGCCACTTGAGATGCTCAAGCTATCTCACATCAGAGGTCTGTCTCATGGCAGCCATAACGTTAGCAAGTTTGGGTTCCCAGGGACGTAAAATGAAAATGAGTCAACCATTATATTTTGCTGTAAATAAGACAACATTATCTCCCTGGTCTTCATTCCAGAAATCTTGCAAATTTTGCAGATTTTTAGAGACATGAAAGGGAATTTTTGAACCCCCAATAATCAGGAACTACTGTAAGAAGTCCCAAGTAGAGATGATTCACAATGAGTTTGGGCTGCATTGACTTTGACAGGCAGCTCACAAGTTGTATTCAGAAGAATAAATGTGGGAGTTGGCAGAGTTGGTTTCATCTTGTGTCCAAGGGCAAGGAGAGAGGTGGTCTATAATGTAGTGTACCCAAGGATCTATCCTTGGCCTTGGGTTATTCAGCCTCTCTATCAACAGCTTGAATGAAGCAATTAAAAGGTATATAGCAGCTAGGTGGTACAGTAGATAGATAGTAGATAGAGTGCTAGACCTGGGGTCAGGAAGACCTGAGTTCAAATTCAGTCTCAGACACTTTCTAGTTGTGTAACACTGAACAAGTCACTTAACCTCTATCTGCCTCAATTTTCTTCTCTGTAAAATGAAGATAATAATAGTGCCTACCTTCCAGGGTTGTTATGAGGACCAAATGAGATAGTATTGGTAAAGAGCTTTGCAAACCTTAAAGCACTATATAGATGATGATGATGATGATGATAGTGCTAGCAGATTTGTAGGTGAAACAAAGCTAGTAGCAGTAGCTAATATATTGGTTATCTGTGTCCAGAAACGTCTCAACAATATAGAATAGTGGGCCAAATCTTACAAGTTGAAATTTAATAGGGATAAATGTAAAGGTCTACATGTGGGTTACAATAACCATCTTCACAAATACTGAATGGGCAAGAGGACCATTTGTCTTTCCTTGGTCTTTAGACTGTTTATCTGAAAAAGATCTGAGGCTCAAGTCAACAGTTTGGCATGCAGCCAAAAAGAATATAATACCCCAAAGAGGGTAGGCAATAGTTGTGAAACAGTACCATGCCCTAATCAGACTGCATTGGAAACAGTATCATGGGCTGTAACTCTGGAAGGGACCTCAGCCATCATTTAGTGCAACCTCCTCATTTTATGGATTGAGGAAATTGAGTATTGGGTTCCATTCTGGCCACAACACTTTAGGAAGCACATAGACACTCTGGAGTATGTCCAGAAGAAAGCAATCGGGATAGTGAGAAGATTTGAGCCCATGTCCTATGTGGATCAGTTGAAGAAACTGGAGAAGAGAGTACTTAAGCACAACATGATAGCAAACAGTCTTCGATTCCTTGAAGGGCTGTCACATGGAAGAGAGATGAGAGTTGGTCTGCTTGGCCCGGAGAGCAGAACTAGGAACAATGGGGGTAGCAATGGGGGGCAGATTTGGGCTTAATCGTAAGGAAAAACTTGCAAATGGTTAGGGCTGTCCCCAAGTGGCATAGGCTGCCTTGGGAGCTAGTGGGCTTCATATCTCTGGAGGTCTCCAAGAGCAGGAAACCCACTCATCTGAGATACTGTAGTACTAGTAGGATTCTTGTTCAGGGGCGTGTTGGATTAGAGGTGTCTGAGATTCTGTGATTTGTACCACATGTATTAGAAAGTGATAACACTGCATTTTTTTTTAAAAGAGTCTGTAGTTCATTTCAGACTTTTTGCTAATTCAGTCTTCTCCTCCTATCCCTTGCCCTGACCCTCATTGTCTAAATTAGTAAGTTTGGATAAATAAAGTTTACACAATAGGTGATGTTATTCTCATTTAACAGGTGAAAGTAAATTGCAATTGCAGTATTCGGCCTTTTTTCTCTTCCTCAAATATCAGGTTAAAAGTGTCTGAAATGCCAGCTGATGATGTTTCAACTTCTCTCCTTTTTTTTTCTCCCCTAAGGTATTCTTTGCCTCTGTCCAATCTGGCTCCAGTCAGATTTACTTTATGACCCTTGGGCAAAATACGCTCTTCAACTGGTAAACGCCGGAAGAAATGGTTGGATATTTCCAGGGATTGAAACCGTGTCAAAATGAAGTTTGCACACATGCACACATTTGCACTTTTCATCTGCAAATATCTTGTCATTCATTCAGTTATCTTTCCGTTGTATCCTTCAGGAAAATGATGAAAACAAACATTCAGCTTATAATGTAGCATAGAGTAATTCCGATGAGAAATGCAGCTTATAGAGAATTATTGCAAGCTCTATATACTCTCAAAGGAGTGTGCTCTCATTTATAGAATTATTTTAAGCTTTTAAGCTTTATTACTTTAACTTTGATATATTAACCTTTATTTACTTAGTAACTCTGTGTGGATTTTACAGTGCAGGATTCGTAAAAACCTGCCACAAATGTTATTCCAGGCAATTTTTGGAACTATTGACATTGCTTTTTGTCCAGAAGAAAAAGAAATGATGCAAATCAGAACTAATTTTTGAAAGCTAGAACCAAACGCTAAGTCATAAGGTAGAGATGACAGAAACAATGCCATAAATCAAACAAAGGTGGTGCCTTGGTTCCAGGAGCACACAATAACAGAACAGGAGAAAGTTACATCCATGTTCTTCCTGCAAAGTTTAATGACCTGGACATTAAACTTTGTCAAGACACAGAGTAATAACTATCTATCTGTATTAGTTTTTCCCCATATTATATCCATTTCCCTGTAGTGTAGAGACTTTTCCTCTTATACTTGGTGTCCCATGAATAGGATCCTGAGCACCTATCATTGATGGTTTAAGAAAAGAGGCTCTCAAATGTTGCATCGGCAATGGCTGCTTTGACAACTCATGGATGATATACTTGTATTCTTGGCCTGCTAGACACAGAGGCCAAAGAATGGATTTTTACAAGATTTTAAATTAGGTATCTATTAAAATCTCACTCCAAAGAAAGACTGACAACCACAATTCTGATCCACTCTACTTTCAAATTTGCACTCCAGTTACTGAAAATGGGCAACATCTATTCCCAATGATTGTTGAATGGAGGAATGGCAATGTGGTGTAGTGGACAGACTCTGGACGTGGCACCAGGAAAACTTGTGTCTGACACTTAGCTGCGAGGCCCTGGGCAAGTCACTTAACGTCCTTGAGTCTTGGGCAATTCTAGATTTGTAGTCAGAGGACTGGGATTCAAATTCCAGCTCTTCCATTTAACACCTATGTGACCTTAGAGAAGTCACTTATCCTTCCTAGGCTTCACTTTCCCTCTGTAAAATGAGAGGGGTGGATTGGATGGTCTCTGGGGGTCCCTTCCAGCTCTCGAGCTAGAATCCTTTGACTACAAGTTATGAATTGCTCAAGGTCAGCAGAGGGAATTTCAATGCGATTATAGTCGCCTGTTGTCGACTATTTCTGAGTATTAGCTACATTACAAGTCAGGCCATTGCAACATGTATATCAAGGGTGCTGGTTGTCTTTTTATAGCTTTGCGAGTTGCCAAAGAGCCAATGAAAAGGGAGGAGAAAAGGAAAGAAAGAAAAAAATTTCCCCAAACACCCCGTATAGTCCATTACCAAGTAAATGAGGACTTGTCTCCAGAGTTTCCTTTATAGACATTTATATTTCAGGGGTTTGTATCCTGGCCACATAAAGTGGGATTAAACTTGATAACATATAATCTTGGCTCAGGATTAATGAAAGACTAGTGATTTTTTGTTATCCTTAGCTACATATATAATAATTTGCTTTCAAATGAGTAGTACTAGAATTTCAGAAGCTCATCTGAAATGTGTTGGCAATAAGTAGATGAAACATTTTAGTTTGCTTAAAGATGAGAACTTTTTGAAATAATTAGACTGAAAAGTTAAGTCTTGTCCCATTTCTACTGTGCCTGTGAGTCCCAACGTGAATCAGGTGTCCGGGATGTCCTATGTGGTATACCACAGAAGCCATCCAGCTAAGTGGCAGCAAGTACCTCTATCCCCCCCCACCCATCTGTCCTCAATCCCACAGTGATTTTGTGATTGATGGGAAAGTGACAGAGCTGTCTGTGCTCTCTTCACCATCTCTGGCTAGCCAGCGCGTATGGATTTTCCAAGCAACCTGTTTGAGTATAATGTGTGCGCTAACTTTCTCATGTGTGCTGTCAACACAGACACACATGGTTACTTAGCACCATAGTGCCAGAAATGGAGGTTTTTTTTCTTTTTCTCATAGCACAAATCAAGAGTTTGGCACACTATATATTAGCAATTAGGAAAATGTGAATCTAAGAATTAAAGAAATCAATGTGATTATGATCTTTCCATAACTGTGATAGTAATATAATCTGAAGAATTGGCATGCCTTTTAACTGCTGACATCTGTATTGATTTTTAAAAAAGAAAAAATGCACTTTGATGTTCAATAATTTGCTTCAAAGTATAATCTTCATTATCGGTACAAACTCTTACCTGTTTGTACAACCAAGTTCCATGAGCCGGCTCAAAAGACATAAAAAGAAAAAAAAGGATGTTGGTTGAACTTGGATCGGTTTGAGGCAAATGAGACATGCCATGCTTGAACTTGAGAAACGTTGTGCATTTTAAGTACTGCCTATGATAATAATAATTAGATACATTTAAGTTGAATTCATGCTCAGAACTTATATAATTAATTTCTTCTGCATAACATACTTGCTCAGGAAAAAAAAAGTTGAGAGTGGTTTTGAAAAATGTACCTCAGAGGACTATCTTTTTTTAAGTAGTTCTTGGCCATAAATGTTCTTAGGTGCTCTGGGCTCTCATTCTGTAAAACTCTAAATATTTGTGGGATGATTTTCTTTTCCTCTAAAGGGAAAAGAAGAATCGTTAGGAGAGAAGTTCTTTGAGATGCCCCCAAATATCAAAGCAGGAGAGATTGCAGGTTATCTAAACCAGAAATTACAGCAGAGTTTGAGTTTTTCAGGAGGTAAGGATGAGATAAGGGTGAGCAGACTAGAGTGATTGTTGACAAGAAAATGGAAACATTCAAAGAAAGATGAGCTGCAAATTCTGGTGATCCAACAGAAGGAAGTTATGGGAGTAGTTTGTTAGGGCCGAAAGACCCCAAGGCCCTCCACAATTGTTAAGGCAGGAAGCATGGTACAATGGAAAGAGCTCTGGATTTGCAGTCCGAAGACCTGAGTCTGAATCCTTGCTGTTCCTCGTGTGATCTTAATCAAGTTAGTTAACCTCTCTGGGCGTCAGAGAGCTTTACTTCTCTGTAAAATGACAGGGTTGGAATGAATGAACTCTGACGTTCCTTTCCAACTCGAATTCTATGAGCCTAAATTCAGTTAACAAGCATTTATTAAATGCCTACTGTGTGCCAGGCCCTGTGCTAGGCACCGGGGATACAAAGACAAAAGCAAAACCATCCCCACCCTCAAGGAGCTTATGTTCTAATGGGGAAAACAATATGTGCGTATATGTGTGTGTGTATATATATATATATATGTATGTATATATATATATGGGGGGGTGAGTGTGTGTGTATACATACATGTAGGTATATGCAAAACAGACACAAGCTATTTTGAGGAGAGAGGGCAATAGCAGGTGTGGGGATGAGGAAAGGATTCACATAGAAGATGGTGCTTGAGTTCAATTTTGAAGATAACCAGGTGTTTCCAAGAGGTAGAAGCAAGAGGGTGCATTCCAAGCATAGGGAACAACCAAAGAAAAGTCACTGAGATGGGAGATGATGGAGTGTTGTGTGTGAGGAAGAGCAAGAAGGCCTATTTGGTGGAAACCTAGAGTGTGCCGAGGGGAGTTACGTATGAGGAGACGAGAGAGATAGGAAGGAGGTCGGGTTGTGAATAGCTTGAAATGCCAAACAGAAGGGCTTGGTTTTGAGCCAGATCCTTACAGACAGCATGCCTGCACTGCAGAACCATTTGGCCTCTAGCAAAGTGATTTATCAAAAATGTATGGGACTTGGGGCTTCACTGCGCCCCCCACTCCTCAGTCAGGGAGGTAGGCTAGTCCCGCTCTGTTCTGTTCTACACGCTGCGTCTTAGGAAGGGCTTTGTGAAGCTGGTGTCCATCTAGAGAAGGATAGTGCAGGATGGTAAAGAGGCTGGAAACCATGCCTTATGAGTAAGGAAACTAGAAGTGTTTAGAAGGCAAGGGAAGATGTGAGGGGGACATGATCCCTTTCTTCAAATAGTTGAAGGGCTGTCCCACAGAAAAGGTATGAGATTGGTTTCACTTGTCCCAGAGGGCAGAACAGAAACCAGTGGGTGGAAGTTAGAGAGATTTCAGCTCGATGTCAGGAAAAACTTCTGACCAATTAGAGCTGTCCAAAAGTGGAATGGATTGTTTCACCAGGTAATGAGCTCCCTGTCACTGGAAGTCTGTAAGTAGAGGCTAGAAGGATGACTCCTTGTCATAGATGGTACAGAGGGGATTCCTACAGGTTGGACTCACTGACCTCTGACAGCCCTTCTGCTTTATAAGATTGGATGATTCAGCACTCTATTTGGGAATATCCTTCAGCTAGCACCCACCCCAAAAGTCTGAATTGCCTTTCCCAACTTGGATACAGACCCCTCTGAAATCTTGTGCTCCAGAAGCCAGCTGAAACTTGAATGCGAAAGAAAATATTGGTTTGGTTTGTTTGTTTGTTCTCCCTATCAGTGCGTCTTAGGCCCAATGGAGATTCCCATACCCCACCCGATTTCCACCTTTAGCACCCTCAATGCCGCAATGGGCCCCAGGAAAGTCACCATCCTGTCCAAGACCATATACTTGAATAGGGCATCAAATCTGTTTTTTTTTTTTTGACCAGCCTTTAGAGGCCTCCTCCACTCCTACCCCTGAACCCACTTAGAACTCACTTTTTTGGTGCAGCTCCATATAAAGCTGCTCTCAGTTTACTTGTAGCTGCCACTCCTCTGCTAACCTAGCCATCACCATCACAACCAGTTTTGAAAATTACCTCCCTGGGTAGGAGGAGGAAAGCCTGCCTTTACCAACCTCCCCTGACTATAACCACTTCTTGATTGTGTCCCCTTCAACAAGCATTTGTTAAATGTCTACTATCTGGAAGGCACCATGCCATGGCATAGTGGAGAAGGCACTGGGTTTGGAGTAGGGAAGACCTGAGTTCAAATCCTGCCTCAGACACTTGCTAGCTGTGTGACCCTGGGCAAGTCACTTAACCTCTCTGTGCCTCAGTTTCCTCATCTGTAAAATAAGAGGGCTGGACTTG